CAGTCGTTAAAATAATTCTAATGATTATTCAATTATAGAGAAACCTTATTATGCCCCAAACAGCACAGCATATATTTACAGAATTAAGATTCAGAATTTTTCACTGACCAAATAATTGTAGAATAAAAATTGTTTTTTTATATGTCGAGCAAATTAGAATTTTGTTAATTTTGTTTTCTAATAAATTAACGAGGAGATTTAAAATTTCTATTCGATAATGAAATTTTAATAATGAGATCATCAAAAATTCTAATTTGCTATCTAAAATGTACACATCGCAGAGAGTTTACAAGGATTTCTTCTACTTCGACAAGTCTACAAGGATTTCTTTTACTTGGACAAGTAGTGGTAACGACTATCATGGGCAATATCAAAACCGTCGTGTCGTCGTGACATCTGTCCGACTTGACGTCGAGCTTTCCAAGTATTTGTGAGACGCGACCGCCGTCGTGCCATTCACGCGAACAGGAACGAGAATGAGAATGAGTATGAGAATGAGAACCGTAGGTGTAGGAAAACGACACTCACTAAATAGTGAATGTGTGCATGCCTCTACACATACGTGTATGTGTGCGAACCACATCGCGTTGTAACCGTTAGCTGGCCGGCTTTACGTCCAGCCGGCTCTCTTCCAGGAGTCTCTTACAGTTTGTTCGAGGTGGACTTTTGTTAACGGCAATGTTGGTATCCCGCGTTCTATGGACTGTGTCTGGATTCTGGTGAACCCGACACGGCAAAAACGAGACGAATCAAGTTCATAAAAAACAGACAGAGTCCACTTCGACTCCCCTTAATGACTCCCCTCGTCTGAACACTATCGGGGTTTACTACTTGATACTTAAGAAGACTTTAGAAATGCGTTCATGAGTCACATCGGGAATTTAAAAGCAGAAGATGGCAATCTCGAGTTTCCAGCCTTAATTACGAATCGAATCAATTGGATAATCTTCACCTTTCTTCCTCTTAATGGAAGATATGATGCAAAATTACTTCCATCAATCGCGTAGAATCAGCGTGTCTTCAACATATTTTTATTTGATAGATAAGTTATTTTTTTAATCCTCGTTGAATTTCTATCTTAACTTTCTATAATGTATGATATTTTACACAATTTTATTTTAAATTGTATTATTTAAGTACAAGTATTACTATTACAAGTATTACTGATAAAAAATAGAATATTATTCTTGAAAATATGCCATATAATCATGAATGTTAAAATTAATTTCTAATTTCTGACTTCTTACAGATTTATACCTTATATATTCTACAGTTTTATATTTTGATATATTTTTAAATCAGCAATGTGTAATTTAAAATCTCTTTTTTTTCAAATAAATTTAATATAAAATATAAAAATATATCTGAAGAGCGATTTAAAATAAAATAAAAAAATTCAAGTAATATTACACTGATTTTTTTAAAAAGTTGCTTGATTAATACTTTCCTAAAAAAAGAAACATCAAGTATATACACTTGAAAAAGCATTTACAGATTCGAAATCCTTTGATGGTAATTACACCTTTGCCTACCTAATTCACAGAAACGATATTAATCTTCTTTGTTTTGCTTTGTTTTGTGTGATGTAGATCTTCTTAAGGAAGGATCGTGTCAACTCATTTTAAAGTGTCGAAATCTTGCGATAGCGCAAAGTGTACAATCATGTACGCTTTTCACTCGTTGCTTTGTGTGAGAAGATAAATCGCAATTATCTTAAAAACGCGAAATTTATTTCATTAGAAAACAGGATGCCATTTTCCTGATTTCCATTAACCTGTCATATGTCAGAATTTGCAACAAAGTATAAGAATATTTTTTATTCTACGACACATTAAATGCTTATATCAATCAGAAGAAAGTTTTCAAATCTAAAAAAATACAGGGAAATGCGATAAATGATACAAGTGAAAGGAAACTTCAAAGAGGATAAATCATTAAGGAAATATTAAAAAAAAAATTTCTCTTGCATAAATGACATATTTAACGTTCTGTGCGTACAACGAAACAAATTGAGAATCTAAAAATATTTATATACATAGATGCAGGTGTGTGTAACCCGCACAATCATTTACGTAATCGTGCAATTTTATTTGAAAATACTGAGCGAATAAAAAAAGATAAAATGTTAGGAAACTCTCTTGATACAAAATGAAACATGTTTCGAAATAATCATTAAGAGCATTAAATTCTCCTGGTGAGAGGCAACATGTTTTTTCATAGTTGATTTAAACATTGCATAAACGACCGATGTAAAAGCATTTTGGTAGCTTCGATTTCGCAAAATAACATTTTAATGATCCAAAGAATTTAAATTCAGCTATTAGTTTGCAAAACCAGTTAACATTAACGTTAATATTAAATTAATTTGAAGCTCAAAGATAATAAAAATAGGTTTATAGCATGATTGATATAGTTACTTGTAAGCATGTAAAGCATGTAAAGAGAAACTTTATGATACTAACTTAATCATGCACATATTTATTATTATTATTTCATCAATAACTGACATAGATTATTTGGACTTCCTAAAATTTCGAGAAAGTGATTTTTCATCAATTTTATTAAATAAAGAATTTTGCTTCTATTATAAACTTTTAAATGCTTCAATTTTTATTTTAATAACAAATGTGTTCCTCTAGTTTCTATTTATTAATTTATTTTTATTTTAAATATGAAATTTTTGATATTTAAATTAATCTGTATACATTGTGTGTTATTAAAATTAATGTTATAGAGATTTATCTAGATGTTTTTTTTAACATCCAAAAATAATTCTCACTCCTAAAAAAATTGATAAATATCGTTCTACTCGAATGACTTTTTTTCGTTCAAAATTAACAAGGAAACATGTAAAGCAAAATAAAGACAATCGAAATAAGGACATGCTACTGATGAGGAATTGAAGATTCGAAGATACTTTCGAAACGCGGTCACATCAAGATGAAAAAAAAAATCGTCCAATCAATAATGCGTTGGCGTAATTCGAACAATATTAATTATTCGTACAATTAATTTGCGGAAATTTAGCAAATCGTTTTTACAACAAGCTTAAAATGATTGTATACATACAAATATTTAGAAATATCTGATATTAATTTTAATAACATCTCGATATTAATTTTTAATTAACTAACTAAGAAATCGGGATATCAATAACTTTTTTCATATTGTAAGTAATTTATTAATTAAAAAACAAACTTTTGTCAAAAGATTTAGCTTATTCACGTACATCCTTAAATACAAAATCTTTATCGTTATCAATACTGCAAACTTTGGATCTATATATCAATGATGTTATTATTTAAATACACATCTATCTAATATATATAAGTTTATATGTTTTTGCGATGTTCTATCGTCGTAAAAATTGTTCACATATTGTCGGACAGTAAATCGAGTAGATCCGTTACTTACAACTCTGCATGCAGCATCTTGCATATAAACTTTCACGAGCGACCGTTTACTTATATCATTAATAAATCGAAGACCCCGTACGAGATAGACTGATGCGAGAATATTAATCTTGAATACACGTTGTTATTTATTTAGCATCGACACGAATATTATAAATTAAAGGCCGAGAAATATTTTAAAAAATTCCACAAATAATTTCGAAGAATTTAAAAAAAAATAGGAGACATTCTACATTTTTCTAAAGAAAATTTATACTTAAAATCACCTTTATAAAAAATCTAGCGTAAAAGAGACCTTTTGTTAAATTGAGTTAAAGAGTAACTGGAACAGATTTATCTAATTTATTCTTTTTATGTGAATATCGGTTTTTCTAATTGTATACTTTCTTCGTTAAAATTGACTTTGTCATCTCTGTTGATATAAAAATTAATATCATGCATCTTTCTATATTATCAGAGACACCAAACATGTTTTCACTACATAAAAGTTAATAACAAACGACATACTAATTACAACTTTTAATTCAGAGAAAATAGCACTTTATTTTTCGGGAATTAATTTGAAATTGAGTTGCATAAATATTTAATATTAAATGTTAAAGAATATCAAAGTCTTGAAATTTTTGTAAAAGGGAGGAAAATACATCAAAATCATTAAAAAATCGATCATTAAAATCAATATCGGATATTCTGACTTATTTTGCATAATGAAATATTTACTTTAAATGAGTTTTTTGCGCATTTTTAATGCAAAAGTTGAAAAGCTCGTTGATTTCAATCTACAATTTGTATACAATGAGCATGACTTTAAAATTGAAATGCAACATCCTGTCATCACCTTGTATAAACCGAAAATTGAGTAACATGCGCGTTAGAGCTAACAATAAGATGTAACTTTCAACCACGTCAATTAAACAAAAGCTCGTAAATCGTTGGCGCAACATTACTACATTAGATTCTCATGCAATATACTATTTTTCTTGATGTATTGCGCCTTTATCCGAAATGAAGAGGATTCCCGAGCTTGCATAAATGATTATGACATATCTTTGGCAAGTTAGGACTATCAATTGTCAGATATTTAATATTTTTATCATTTTGTTGGCAAGGACATGTCACATACACACGCGTATTGATGAAATTTATCAGGACTTGAAGCCCACATAACTTCAGTAAGTTCAATGTTCGATATTGCAACAGAAAGCTGTATTTATGCCTTATATTTCTATCCTCGCGTCAGTACCATAGAGACATTTTTTGAATATATGCTATGCTTTTCACCATTTCACGAATGTTTATAAAAGATTGTCGAAATTTTCGATAGAAATATATAAATATATAAAACTGCTCTTTGAATTAAAAACGTTTTACCAATTAGAAATTAAATATTGAGAGAGAGAGAAGAGGGAACTGTTTATAAGGGAATAATTTATAAGCTTATCTCATTCTTGCTTTGAAATCTTGAAATACAAACGATTTAAGAATCTTTAGTCGATTGCTTCTCTATTTTATATTTGTACTGAGATTTTGGTATCAAACAGCGTCGAAATTTAAATACATAGAAGTCGAATAAAATATTTTACTTACAGAAGAAGCGGTCCTTGAGGATGCTGTGAAATTTTGAAGATAGTCGACGATCCCCTTCTTTCTGGCTAATCGCCTTTTTCCCTGATCGGATTTACCTAGGGACGACAGCTGAGAAAGAGACTTCGATGTCAAACGATGAGGACGATAGGAGGAATCGAGGGTCGATAGTGCGAAGCGCAGGATCTGATGAATCGTAAATACGGGAAAGGAATGAACTGGCGGACGGTCGCGATGAGCCAGTATATAGTCGGCCCACATTCCCTAGTGGTACGAGTAACCTAAATTGCTCCCACCAGAACGGGGCATCATCCTCATCAGGTAGACGTTGGGTCCTCCACAGGTGGGGTACAAACCCCACCTGTTCGTCGACATCGCGGTTGTACTTGTGCATACCGGTTCACACAGCGATAGCATTATCGTCCACCTTTTCGTCCTCTTCGTCTTTATCCCCACCAAGGAGATTCATCGACGATCATCGTCGTTTCGAAAATCTCCTCTTATCCCGTCGGTGATCTTCGATCATGCAAGAGTGCAATCCCTTGTCTCCTGCAATAAGAGAAAGAAACCTCATTGAAAGAGTATAACTGGTAAATCCTGATTTCAGTAAATGTCAAATTACGTAATATTATTTTATCGATGCAATAATCGCATTAATAATCGATGGATTAAATATTTATTTAATTAATTATGTAACGACGTTGAATCGACTCATTTGAATGAGAAGAATAGTACCAGTTTTGTTTATTAGAACGGATTTCATCAAGCTGTCATTTAAATGGCAAGATTAACATTTTGAAATCTGGATATCAAAATTAGAGAAATTTGTCTCTCGATCTGTTATGCAACTGTCGGATCGAAAAGAATATCAGACGAAAAAATACAGCCACTAGTTTACATTATAATAATATTAAAAGGAAGAGCAAGTCTATCAGAACAAGCAATTGTATCGAAAAAGATATTTTAAAGAACGAAAGGGATCTGTCTCGTTTGAACACATTTGATCTTTTATTTTTTTAGAGAATATATTTCTATCGAATAACGAATTATATTATTATCTTGCTGGTGAATAATTCGAAAGGCCATGCCTCGTGACACCAAAACTACTTACGGCCGGGACTATAAAATATACGACATAATGACTATGCAAGCATTTAGTAGTCAAGATGACAATTCCTTGGGAAATGTCTTTTCGATCGCGAAGTACGATGAGTCGTTTGCCGTTTGAAGCGGCTACGAGAGATGTCCTCTCGCTTCTTCAAGTTCTCTTCTCACGATATCACAGAGTAGCATCAACTTCTAAAGTCATACCTGCCATATTTGATGTGACGTTTGCTACAGCTGTATCTTCGCAATAAATTTATCGTCTGTCTAACGAGACTTGTAACGGTTACAAGTAATTATATATATATGAAAAATGATATAAGTAATGTGCAAGAAATATTGTCTCAAAATATGTGCAACAGATGCATCATTTAATTTTTATTCTAAATAAATTTTAAATATATTCTAATTGTAAAGTAAATAACAAATATAATTTTGAGTGATATTAATTACAATGACAATAACATCTTTGAACAATTTATTCGGCAAGCATCGAACATCTAGTTTTAGTTAAAACTACGGGGTTTGTTAAGATCCGGTTGCATGAATAATAGGAATAAATTATATTAACATCTATTCATTTTGAGTCCAATTAATTATCGATGTCACACAATCTTTTACACAAAGATTATTGGCTTTGCAAAATTCTTCTCGCGAATGATTTCCTCGAATTTTTTTTTTATTTATAAAAAAATCGCGGTTGACTCGTTTAGTTGTCGTTACATTATAAAATTTATATTTCATGAATGCTTAATCCCACATAATACATGTCACTGAAAGAGATATCTAAAAAAAACGACTTAAGATGTTTTATCGTCTTTTAAACGCCTGTAAGATGTCTTTTGGTCTTTTTGTGCCGTCTGGGATATTTCAATTATCTCTCATTGCATTCATAACTCGAAGATATTAATTCAATATTTTTCCTTATGTAAGAGAGAAGGTGTAATGAATTTTTCACAATTTCTGCGAAAATGACATTATTCAAAAGACATATTTCAAGATATCGCAATTTGTAATTCACGATAAGACATAACGATTTAAAAACTTTAATGTCATGCTACTTTACCATAGAAAGATGTATGCCATCCTATGCATGTTTAATTACACAAGTAGCAAAGGTCTTCCGATAGAAATTAACACACCGCAAAATATAATTGATTGATAAGTATCTATGCATTCAAGGATTACTCGGGTACTTGAGATATCTACGATTATTCTATTTAAATCGCGATGTCATACAATTTGATATATAGTTATGTTAATAGGATTTTAATTAAAATTACATAAAGTGCGTTTCCGTCTTGATATGATACTTAATTAATTTAATCATTAAATCAATGATATAATAACAGTACCTGTATATCTTGAAGAGTAAATTTTCTCAGACTTAATATATCTTTCGTAGCTATCTTATCTGGAATCTCTCACAATCGCAATAAAATTTCCGCAAAATCTCTTACGTGCGCGTTAAAAATGGACACTCTCCCTCGCAATTAAATATATATCACAGCGCCCTCGTAATATCATAGCCGAAACTATTTATCAGATGTCATGATAATTCGGATACTACAGTCTCGTACGAAATTTACATGTCCCATGGTCGATAATAAAGTTTTCAAAAATGCGTAATATAAAAATGTATAATTTATGCTGTCAAAATTACCTTTATATCAATGACATGTAATCATTAGCTAGATACGATCAAAAAATTCAACATTATTTCATCTCGTAATAAACGCGTATATAAAATTTCATTCGCGACGTCTACAGGTTATTCCTTCAACCATTAAATCCTGGCTGATACGCGACAGGAGAAGAAATTCGACGCGGCCTAAATATCGCGTCAGGTTATCGTTGCTCTTTCGTCGCCGCAAAAGAGGGAAACCTCGAAGGAACGAGCCGGCTCGCGAGGCTCGCCGGAAAATCGATGACACACGGCCGGCCGTCGCCATTTGCGCATTTCGCGCGCGGCGCTGCGTTCAACGATGTATTCCTACGCGTCGCGTATCGACCGCGTCACGCAACTGCACGACGCCGCGTCCGCGAGGCTCATCTGGCGCCGCGCGCGACCCCGAGGGACCGTCGGAGCGAGAGGATCATCGGCGAGCGTCTCGTCGCGGCTCGCGCTCGCGTCTCCCCGCGCTATTTTTCAGCGTCCTCGCGCCCTCGTATCGACGCCTCGAGGCGAGATCCCTCGCGCACGAGAGGCCGTGGCGTGGACACGGGGTTCCGGTGGCGCTGGCAGCGCCGCCGTGTCGTGGAAGAAGAGCGGAGAGACAGAGGTGCGGTGTTGCGTGACTGGGTGCGAGCGATCGTAGCGCGTGTGTGTTTGTTGTGTTGCGAGAGTATCTTAGGCGAGTTTGAAATTCTTCGTATTCTCCTCTTCGTGCGCGGGGACTGACGAGCGAAGCTCGAGGGGGCCAAAGGTACACCCGGAGAAACGGAGAAGAGAGAGCGTGAACGAGAGAGAGAGAGAGTGAGAGAGAGCGAGCGAGAGGGGGAGCACGCGTCGGTAGGAGCGAGAGACGAGAAAGGGGAGCATCTTGTCGCCCGATCCGCTGACAGGGGATCATCCGCGAGATCACCGTCGACTGGGACAGCATGTCGTCCTACATCCAGGTCGCCGAGGACGAGGGCGAGGAGCCCATCGAGCTGCCCACCGAGGACGACACCACGCTCCTGCTCACCACCCTGTCCGCCCAATTCCCCGGCACCTGCGGCCTCAAGTATCGCAATCCGGAGTCGCGGACGATGCGCGGCGTCCGACTGGTTGACGGTCGTCTACATCCGCCCGAGAACGGCTGGGGCAAAGCGATCTACTTCTGCGTGTTCCCCAAAGGTATAATTATATGTACATACATATACGTGTTCTCGTTCTCGGGTAGTATATTTATAACGTGGGGGCGCTGCTCGCACTCGCGGCGTCGATGCACGAGCAGGGTCGCCGCGAATACGGGGGACGTGACGACGTGACGAGCGTATGCGGGGAAGCGCTAAGTTAGGCATGTCTACGGAGTAGCATCGTGAACCTGGGGAACATCGGGTTCGTTCGATGGACTTGGTGCTTTTTTTTCTTTTTATTTATTTGTAAAAATAATCGCTCCTCTCTTAGTAATACGCTTCAAGTATGTCATATGTTAATGAAACACTCGTCTCGAAAACACTCCTCCGTATTTGCTCATGTTTTATAATGAAAATAGATGGAATTGTACTTTCGCAGTTGATGATAATTTGTATTATTATTTGTCGAAATGTTGGACAATATTAAAGAATAATGTACAGAGATCGAAAGAACTTTCTTCTTTTCTCTATTTCTTTCTCTTTTCTTTTATTTTTTTTTTCTCCAAATAATAAGTCGTTAGACATGAACATCTATTATGTCTTTTCAGAGAACAAACGTAAATCTGATGACAATTTGGAAAATTCCACAGCTAAGACTAAAAGAATGGAAACGAAGTTGCGTTGCACTGACTTGATTGTACTCGGTTTGCCATGGAAAACTACCGAACAGAACTTGCGCGAGTATTTCGAAACGTTTGGTGAAGTTTTAATGGCTCAGGTGAGTTAGCGTTTGTACTTGCATTTGCTGAAATATGCGCTTGGGCTTGAAGAATAACATGAAAGAAACCTGCATTTTGGCGGTATTATTTGTAACTTACTAATTTATTGGACAAATAAATGCAATAATGCTATAGCTTTAAATATGATTAAAGTTTTTAAAACAATAAACTTTTAACTTTGGTTTTTCACTAATGAATAATTTTAATTTAAATAAATATTTGTTTATGACGGGCGCTACATTTCTAATAGAATAAAAATGATTATTAGAAAAAGTGAAATATTATATTTTCTTATACATATAAATGTATTTATTTATAAAAGATTGTATTAAAATTTTGTTGTAGGTAAAGAAAGATGCAAAATCTGGGCAAAGCAAAGGATTTGGCTTTATTAGATTTGGAAGTTATGAATCGCAGTTGAGATGCCTCGCTCAACGTCATATGATAGATGGCAGATGGTGCGATGTCAAGGTTCCCAACAGTAAGGTAAGAATATAACTTATATGCAGATTCTATGATTTTTTTGCTATTTTATATCGCTTTATCTCTAATACATAGAAATATCAATGTTACATCAATGTGTGATACATATTTCAATCAGGAGTGAATAAATCATTTTCAAAGGCAATAGAGAAAATACATATAAGGATATTTTGCACTTTTGTCAGAAATAATAATAATGTTGCAATTTCTTGTTATATTTCTTTTGTTCAATTACTTAGTAATGCTGCTTTTATTTTATGATTGAAATCATTACTGTTACCATTGAACACGATAAAACTTGCATATAATGCAACTTTAATATTATATTAGTCATTAATATATTTATTGTAGTAAAACTATAATAATAATATATAGCATATATATTTTTTTAAATATATATTAAATAATATTCAGATTGTATATTAAATAATATTCAGATTGTACCTGATACTGTTAAACAATTGATCTATTTTGTTTTTGGAATGATATATTTTCTCCCTCAATTGATGGCTTCGATTTGTACATATTTTCTAAAGTAAAAAAATCTGCAGCAAAACTTAAAAATTATCAAAGTAATAATTTATGTAATTTATTCATATTTACATCTACAGCAAAAATAACTTGTTATGCATTTTATTCTCAAATTATCTATTGAAATTAAGGTGAAACATCTCTGTAGCATTACTGGCTATATTATATTGCATGTAATATTGAATGAATATATATATAAACAAGTTAAACTTATTTTACGATGCTAGTTGTAACGAATGCCGTGTTTGTAAACTTTTTCTCAATGATTTAATGTTACAAAAAAATTCTTACATAAAAAAGGTATTTTATTTAAAAAAATAATATAATACACATGGAAAATACAAAGCAATGTGTAATTTTTCAATTAGACAGATCTTTTTAAAACTTTGTCTGCATTAGTTTAAATATGTTTACATTTGAAGGTATGTACAGATATAAGCACACGTGTAATATTTTAAATAATTTAAATGATGGAATGTTGTGTGAGAGACAACAAATTAAAATTGATAAGCATATGAGCACGTGGATAATATCTTATCTTGTAGACTTCTCGTCTATTCCCATTTATCACAAACGTAAATGTCAATGTTTTTTCACACACTCTTTGAATATATTATATAAAAATCTATATATATATACACATACGGGGCGTACTCGCTGTGGTATAAATAGATGAATGTGCGAGAGGCGAGTGGTGAAATTATATAGGAAGAATGCAAATTGTCTGTATGTATGAATGTATGTTTATACGAGTGTGTTGTATGAGCGCGCCGAGGAGAGAGCAATGTTAATAATGTGTTTGCATGAATACGTAAATAGCATAGTATGTTTGTGTCTCTCTAAACGGTATGAGATGAGATCTCTTTAGAGAGGAATGATTAATGGTCTTATCAGAGAGAAATGACTCGATAAACATACCCAACTCATAGCAAGCTTCAAATAAAGTCGTGTGTTATCTTTCTCAAGATTTCTTAATAGTGGCGACGCTCCCGCAAGCTTCGATCACAATAACGAAGAAAAAGAAAGTACTCGATACATAAATTGCGTAATATTCTGAAATACGTGAATGAGAATATCATGAGAAGGAATGTATCGCTGAGAGAGCGTAATCGTGTTAAAGAAATTATAAATATTTTCGCGTTTTCGAGCGCGTGTCTTCTTGTGGATACATCAAATATTGTAATGGGTATGACTTGGTGTGCTGCTGGAGTATGTAAATACAAGATCTCGTATTCGCGTATGAAGCGGCCGTGATCAAATTCCTTTAGTCGTGAAAAATCGCGTGATTCCGGGAGAATTATTAGGAACAATCTTTTTGATATTCTTGCGAGAGATCCGCGATATCATCGTCACGATTATCCAATAAAAATAATTACACGATAGAGTTCAAGTATGAGTATCACGTGGAAAGGTTTTGTGAAGCGACGCTGAGTATGAGTGCATAACATGAGAAGAACCTCGCGAATGAATAGCGCAAATCTTACGCGTGTGTGTATGCGTGTGCACGTGTGTATGTGTATGCGTGTGTGTGTCGCGCGAATTTCGCGAATAAATTCTGCGAATTCGAATTTGACAACCGGCGGGAAATAACTTCCGATTGCATAGCTTGACCGCGCGACTACGATTGAGCTGCGATGAGCGGAGCGAATGCGTATGTGTGCTTCAACATATCGATTCAAGTCTGTATGTGATTGTCGAGGGCTGGTGTAATCTGGTTGCAGAATATTGATGGCTTAATGATGGCACGTCATTATGATACGGGTAAGCACGGTAACGAGTGCTACCGACCTATTCCGGTGCACACGCCGAGTAATCGCCGAGTGCCGGCGTCGAAGCCGTACGTAGCCAGCGTAAACTCGTCATCGTCATCGTCCGAGGCTGCTCCACCTCCGAGCGCGCCTCTCCCTCGATACGACTCGGAATACGATTACAAAACCACTCACTATCCGTCGTATCCCCCGAATTACCCTTACGAGGATAACAAGTACAAGTACGAGGGCGGCGGCGGTGGCGGTGGCGGCGGCGGTGGCGGCCAGCAGCAAGCAGCGTATAACGCCTACAACGAGAAGCCGAGCTACGCCGTCTACGAGGAGTCCTCCGCTTACGACTCGCGGGGCTACATGGCACCCCCGCACGCGACCGCCGTCGCCGCGACGCCCGCTGCCAATCCCGCGTATCCACCCTCCGATGCGGAATACGGGCCGAGGTATTACGGCATCGAGGGACGCGCGGCGGCTTATCCGGTCGTCGATAATTGCCCGGAGCAGCAGTACTCCGACAAGGGAAGGTACAACAATTACGGGTACGAGCAACGCTGCTACTACGATCAAGCTGACGGACGTTACGCGGCGCCCGAGTGCAGGTACGCCATGGAAGTACGTTACGCGGACGCGAGGCATCCGGATAGTCGGCATCCATCGGTTGATCCAGGTCGAGAGGCGGATTGCAGATACATGGCGGATAGTCGTGAGATGGATAGGCGCTACGTCGTCGACGGCAGGGAACACGTGGACGGCAGGTATGCGATGGACAACCGCGAGATCGACAGCCGTTACGCCGCCCCGGATAGCCGCGATGCTGCGGTCGATGGTAGATACGCCGACCCGACGAGATATCCGGCAAAGGAGAACTATTACGATCGTTATTACAAGCATCGGCCGTCGAGGGATCACCACCACGTCGCGGACACGAGATACTAACTCAAGGAAACTCGTGACTATCGTAAATACAATCGATCATGTTTCAATGGGAATATTAAGTGACGTGTACGCCACGAATATCGCGTCTGATTTCTTTTTTTTTTTATCAGCATTCAAGACATTCCTCAACGGATCGTACCACGTATCTATGAATACGCTGTTAAAGTTTATATTGTTGTTATATATACTTAATTTTCACAGATATACGTTTGGAATATCGTAGGAATCGTAATAGAAAATGCGTAATTTTCATTTGATTGAATGTTGGGAGTGAAACAAGTATTCCCAGACATGTGATGTGAAAAATAGTGTATTAGAAATATATACATTGAGACTATTTATATATTTCTGATATTTAGATATTTCTGATATAAATGAAACGATAGAATATTAATCGAGATATAATTACGTCTCTTTCTCTTTGTATGAAAAATATTGATGTTCTTTTATTGAACATAGTAGAAATAACCAAATATTATATTAATAATCCACATATTAAATTGCTAGATTATTAATATAACACTGTTGCTGTTGATGAATATGTTTAATGTTTAATTATTTTTATCTGAATTTTATTAATTTACTGGAGAAAGTCAGAAAGTAAAGTTATCCTAATTTATTATTTTTTTTTATATTACATTTTTGATTATATGTAAATATATATATATATATATATATATATATATATATATATATATGCATTATTTTTTAACATAGCTGTCTTCGTTGAAGTACTTATTTGGATGATAAATTTATACATCAAAATCTTATCAGTAAAAAGTGAGATTTTGTTCACGCATCCTGCACTTCATGCTTGGCGTCTTTTGATCGAAATCAAATTTTCATTTGTTTCTACAATTTAAAAGATACTTTTATGGCAAGTAATTGCAATCAAACTATGATGTAAAAAGTGGCAATAGAATCCTATTAACAGCATTTTGATGCATGGATCTACTTTCTAAACAAGAAATTTCTTAATGAAAAAGATGATGTTGAAAAATGGTGCAAAGATGTATACATTATATATATATATATATATATATATATATATATATATATATATGTATGTGTGTGTAATATTTTAGCAAAACTGTAATATTAAAAAAAATTAATAATCTCACCTTTATAAAGATCGAGTAGTTGAACTTAAAGCGAGTTGAATCCAAATGAGAAAACTTTACTTTCTGACTTTCTCTCATCACACTAATGGAACGTTAATTTTATTATGAATTATCTCTTAGAAAATAACGAATAGATGCGTGGTATGTCGTTTGTAAAATATGTAGATACTTATTCTTTCATAGCAGTTATAAAGTAACTGTATTTCTAATTTAATTGTCTATTTTATCATGTATTATTGTTGGAACAATATGTATATATTATACATAATAGTGTGATTGATTGAATTTTAGCGCAAGAAAAAACATAGATATAAATATATATTCCCATTAATTCATGGAGTTTGTTAAAAGTAACAAATATGTTGTTTTTTAATAGTAGTAATAATTGACCTGAAATAACTGTTCATATTTTATCAGATATGCTTATTATTCAAATTAAGACAGTGTAATGTAGCATGAAATTCTCTACATCGAAAGTATATAAAAAAAGTATATGAAAAAGAAAACATTGTACAGATATTGATGCATGGATTTCAAATGGTCATATAGTGCTTAAGTGTTCGTTTTTTATAACAGATGAAGATTTATGTGTAAATCGAGCCAACCGATATATACATTTAATGTATATATACATATATACATATATTATATCTTTTCTTGAGTCGATAAATAAATGTGTAAGAATTTTTTTTTCTATAAAACTTGACGTTTAGTGCAGATTAGTTGCAATCGACGGTACGTTAGAGTCTTAAGTCGAAAGCGAGAGATTGCGTGTCTACGGAACTTGATTGTATAATACGCTGGTGATGATATACTTTCTGATGTATAAACTCTATATTGTAATGTACTTATATGACTTATTTTGCCAGTCTCTTGACGAACGGTATATGTCTCGCAGCGATTCTACCGGCGCCGGTGATTGTGAGTAATGTGCACTGTACGCAAGTTTTACTTGGATAACTGTGAACCTGTCGTACATGATTGACTGATTGTGCGTTTGTGTGTAGGAGGGAATGATTCAGCAAGTACCCTGCAAGGTATTCGTCGGCCGCTGTACAGAAGACCTAACCGCTGATGATCTGCGAGACTATTTCTCCAAATTTGGCGAAGTCACGGACGTGTTCATCCCGAAACCCTTCCGCGCGTTCTCGTTTGTCACTTTCCTAGATCCCGAGGTCGCCCAATCGCTGTGCGGCGAGGATCACATTATCAAGGGCGTATCGGTACATGTGTCGAATGCCGCGCCCAAGTCCGAGGGCAATAATAAGAACTTCAACAATCAAGTGAATTCAAACATGAGGGGTGGCAGGGGCGCACCGGGACCCGTTGATAATAATGTGCAAGGCAATTATCAGGGTAATCGTTATATGGGTCACTCGGGCAATAATATGGGCCCAAACGGCTGGAACAATCCAGGCAATCGTGGCAATCTCGATATGCCGAATTTGCAGGCCCTAGGTATTACAGGGCAGAACAATGGCGGTGGCGGAGGCGGCGGTATGTCAAATCCGCTGGCTATGGGCGGTTTGAATCTGTCCGCGTTGCCGGTCAATCCGGCATTGGTGGCCGCCGCCTTGAACCAAGCGTCCTGGGGTCTGATCGGCAACCTGCAGAACCAGGGAAACGACCAGGGTTATTCGAATCAGCCGGGTCCGCCGGGCCAGCCGCCCTCCGGTAATAATAGCATCGGTAACAGTGGTAACTCTGGCTTTCTCAGCTGGATGAATCAAGGCGGCGGTGACGGCAATACCGGCAATCCCGGCACCGGTGGGCCCGGGCCGAATAACCCAAACGCATCTCAGGGCGCCTGGCAAAATCATCCGGGCCAGCGCGATCAAAAGTCGAATACCTTTCTCAAGTACGAGTAAATTCAGCCGGGGCCGTGAGTCTACTCGTAAAACCAAACGGATCCTCTATCCACGGGTCCCGACGCAAGAACCTTGACAAATCTGATGGCAAATGAGGGGCGGGTCGAGAGTACAAAAAAACGCGCATCGACCCCGTCAACAGGATAAAGAACCAGAGCCTATAGTACGTTGACATTTTTTCTAATGTTTTGCACTAATCTGCCACTACTGCGTGTATTATAATATTTCGAGACTCTCCCCACTCTCTTAATGGTTTGACGAATTAGCACAATTCCAATTCGTTAAAAGAGTTTAGGCTTACGTGTAATGCGTGGATAGCTTCGATCATCATGCGTGTTTTTGTGTGAAGTGTACGATCTAACGGCTAATGAAAAAATCGATATGTATGATGTTAATGTATGCGAACGATATAGTGTTGCAAGGATGTAATAAAAAATGTTATAAAACGTACATGTATGTGCTTTTAATGTAACGTTTGGTACATGAATGGTTTATACGTTAAGAGTATCTAGGAGATTTTTGAGTCCGAAAGAGACTTGTACTATTTTAGTGTATTAATTATATAATTATTACGATCAAAAAAAAATAATAAAATATATAGAAAAACATATATTCGCATATAAAATAAATCATTACTGCCATCGTATAGACATCATAAAGGATAATTAGAAGACTGCAGCATTTGCATTATTTTTCCGTAATTAATTCGAGAGAGAGAGAGAGAGAGAGAGAGCAATCGAGCAATTATTAAATTATCAAAAAGTTGGAAATAGATCAAGTCTTTCTTCGTCACACAAATCTCCAATATATAAAGGGGATTTTAGAAATGTAAATATTTTCTAATCTATTTGAGGTTTAATCGCATCTTTAGTTTAATTGTTAGTCACGATTAGTAAATTTTCTTTTCCCTTTATATATACATTTATATGGAAAAGAGGAGACTGAAAAATGAATCAGCGAAATCATGTTAGTTAACCATGATTATCGATGTATCAAGCGCAATATGGCAATAGACACGAAATCATGATTTATCAATATTAATTGATTTATCATGTTTAATCGAGAGTTGGATTGCCAGGCGTTGCTGTTTGTAAAAAGTTTATTCGTTATATAATAAGATATATCAATCGCGCCATCACATTTTGACAATGTTAAAAGCCACGCAAGATGTTTCTTTTGAACAAAAATCTCTTGACTAGGTTACAAAGTCAATTTGTTCATCGTATATTCACATTATATTCCAAGGATTTTTTAATTCGAGGAACGTGATGTGTAAATACAAATTTTTTGTTATTTATGAAAGTAATTTTCTTTTGAAAAGGAATACTTTGAAACATGGATGTATATAATTAACAATATACATTATATATGTCTATGGCTTCGCAGTCGTGTGTTTTTAAAACATTTTTACTTTTAGGTATATAAAAATTTTCAAAACTTTTCTGACATGCATAATATCTTACCTCGCAATTTTCTTCGTAACATACTATTCTATAGTAAATTCTTATCATTCAATTCTTTAAAGATCCGTTTTCAAAAATAATGCTGAATAAGTGATATTTTAACTCAGACAATGGTTATATTGACATTGAATGTCATAAAATAGACTGATATAACAAGAAACATTTTGTAATACGAGAAAAAAAGATCATTTTTAAATGTCTAAAAAGTAAATCAACAAAGTTAATTTGATTATCTTTTTAGGCATTATTAACAGATTGAAAATTTTCTTTGATTGTGGTGCAAAGTTACCTCCGTTGGCGCAATCTTATTATATCTTACAATAGTTACTTTTCTATTTTGTGGAAGATTGCTAAAACATTGATTCCTTGACATAAAGCGATAAGTATGACTGTTTGAAAACGTATGAATGTATTGAAGTAACTCGCAAGACACCTAGAGATTGATCGCAGCTATCCGTATTGTATATTATTATACCGATTTTTGAACTTATGTTTCAAATATCTTAAATGTAACACATAAGTAGTCTATTATGTGAGAATTTTACACCGATGTATGCAAGTGTGTCAAAATTATTGATTGATTGCGCGTGAAAGAAGACATTTGAATTGATCAGATTTTTCTATTTTAATTGAGCGATCTTTCAAGCAAACAACAGAAAGAAAACGCGTGCACGCGATTTAGATGTCTTATATGCAGAGTCGGGATATCGATATCATTTTCCCTACTCCAAGTGCATGCACTTGAAGTAGGGAAAACGGCACCGAGATCCCAACTCTGCTTATATGTATGTGTATAATGTGCCGCAAGTTTTGAGTGAATATCTTTGATAGGACAGACTTTTAAAGTGTTTCTCCTATGATAATAAAAATAATAAAAGAAATAGCTTTACATACAGGTTGAAAATATTTATTTTTCAAAAAAAAGAAAACGAAAGAAAGAAAAAGAAAGAGACAAGTTAGCAACACACGATGAGTAAAAATGCTATTCACATTTCACAATTATAGTCAATAACTTTAACATACGGAATAGTTACGTCGTAATTAAACTTAAAAATCGCATCCATCACCGCGATATCACTGTGTACGCTACCATTAAAAGAATTATTTAGATTGAAACTCTATCTCAGAGAGAATACACTAATTATCTAATTATATTAATTGAAAAAATAAAATAATCCTTGTAAGAGGTGTATGTGCTGTTGTGCTTTTCATTTATCATACGGTGATTTCTCATAAACTTCCTATACTTGACGCAAAATATTACTTAATAATACCATTTTCTAAGGATAATACTCTCTCGCACTCTTTCTCTCTCATTATATAGCGTGAGTTCTCGTCGATATGCGTGTATAGAAAAAAAAAGTCTCCTCTATGAAAACGTCGATTGGATTGTTCGACGCACGTGTATGTGTGTATATGACGGTCGAATGTATTTGTTAACGGTCGTCTCAGAACTACAGGCGTGACAGAGTTTTTACTATTAGCGAAAGTAATGATAAAATGAACACGTGTACTTTGCAGCGCGAGATGAAGCAATGAGATGACTGAATAATAATATATAAAGCGTGCGCGGGAAATTATATACGGTTTAAGTCTTAGATGAGAATGAGCAAAAAAAATCGTCCAATGTGTGTCTGATGTATACTTAGAGACCGCGCGAGAAGAGATTGTTTATATACGTAGTATATGTAAAAAGAAAAAAAAAGTTAAACCAGGTTCCGGTCAAGAGATGGACGGTATGGATTTCATTGATCGCGCATTCTTACGTCTGTAAATTGTTAAATCGATTTACATAAAAGTGCTGTAGTTTAAGACAACTTTTAACAGACACTAGAACCGTACCTAGCTTGTCACTAAATTGGCACGAATGTTCGCGCTTTAATTTTTTAACGTCTGGAGATATTTTCAGGGAATATATTCACAGTTCCTTACGATATAAAAAATAAATAGAATAAAATAAAGACTCAAGAAGATGATATCGTTGGTTATACAATGGACAATAGTTAATTGAGTTCGAACATTCGTGCGTGAGTCGTGATTATGGACTACGTGATCTGACAATCAAATTCGTAGACACTTTTTTTTCTTCTTTCTACGTAAAATATGCAGTTAATTTTTTATCCGCTAAATTTCATAGGGTAGTATAAACATGCTCAGATAATTGTTTAGAAAAGAGCAAAGAATCAACATTGTATAAATATTCGCAGAGAATCATCATTGTATAAATATTCGCGTTTAATTTGAAGAAAATGAAAAAGAAATTATATAAATATGTTCTAAGATAAGATCCTATATTCTCCTTAAAAAGATAATATATAAAATTCAATTAAACTCCAATACATTTCGTCTTTATTGAACAAAAAATGAATTGTATTGGAGTTTAAATAAATTTTGCCTATGATTCTAATTGTCAGATCATGTATTTTTTTTTTCAAATTGTTTAAGATAGCGATGCCTACGATGTTGACATCTTCGTGATCCCTCAATTAGTTTCGTGAGGTTTCGCGCGCGATGTGAGTGCTCGATGCTCAAAGGATGCCTTGCAAAACGATTTGGAAGTGATCTACGAAGCATGTAAATACGGATTGATACAAAGCAATTTTAATATCGCTCAGAAAATGTAACGAATTTTATTGTAGAGTTAGTTGCGCTCTGTAAATCGCTCGGTATTGTTGTGTCTCGAGAGAGAGAGAAAGAGAGGAAATGAAAAACTGTGCATGACAAGTCCGAGACGTGTGTCGTGTGAGAATGTTGATTTTAATCCGTCGATCTCTCGGTTGTTGAGTTAGAGGGGAAGGGCCGGGGGGGAGAGGAGATTTGGAGTCTCGTCGAAAAAGGACCGAAACCGACGAATCCGACGTTCTTTTAAGATACAATAATAAGTCGAATAAGAATTGATGTCGAGAATTTTTTTATATGTGTATGATCTCGTAACTTTTGTGCGTGTCGAAATTCATTGGAAAAAAAAAATGTTGCAATATCCTTTTGTCCACGACGAGAATTACCATGTGTTGCGCGAAACTTTGTAGGTATGAATATTAATCCGACGATCGCAAACGGCACTCGTACGTATGTTTCCCGATTCGTACCCCGAGTTTCAACATAAAATTGTCAAATGTCTCGACAAGTTTGCCGTGATGCGAAAATACTCAATGCTCTCCGTAACGTTCTCCGTTGATTGTAGTGTATGTTAAACTATGCCGAGAATAAAAGACCCAAGCACCGTGGGGTATCACAGATTCCTTCGCGTGCCTTTAAATACGAATCAGCGACATAATCACATATCTGTTGGTTGTCCCAGAATTTGGATGTTATTTCCTGCGAAATTTGGAGTTGATTTTTGTTTATGCACTAATCGCGATTCCGTATTGTAATTTGATGAAAATATATGCGAATTAAGCTTCATCAAAAGAAAAAATGATAAAATATCACTCGACATTCAATAAGCCAACTCTACTTTAACAGAGATTTGAAGCTTTTATTATTTTTTGAGATCTCGAATATTGAAATTTGTAAATTATAGAAAATGATAGTCTCCATCATACTTTTTTCGCATTCATTTTGGTATCGTTAGTACTTTTAATCGATGTATACAAACGTGAACAAATTTTTAATTTATCCTATTACATTTTAACGTGAAATTATTAACAAAATTATTCTCGATATTATATTTATTATATCTGCATGCACAAAGTTTTAATTTACCTCGACGAATTATCAACTTTGTTGAGAAACAGAGTTGCTATTCGCGTTTCGTTATAAACAACCGAACGTCGCGATAATGTGAGATAACAATTTTGGGAGGATGTTTATATCTGTAGAACTGTAAAAAAGAGAGCGAGTGTGGAAGAGTTTGAAAAGTAATGTAACAGTGCACAGCCAGCCTTTCGATTGATGACTGAATGAAGACGATGACTGAAGTGAACGTAAGGCTATGGAAACGTCCGCAGATCCTCGAGGCAACAGGTGATTACGATCTGACATTTATTTCTCCTTCATAACGTCTCACACCATCAAGTAGAATAATAATAATTCGTCATCGATATTCTGGCTTGCCGGCAATTTTTACGAAAAATTTCCTTTTGCATATCCTGCCGTCATCATTTTTTTTTGTTTCATCCTTTCTTCACTCACCATCATCTGCAATATTTTCTTCTCGATAAAGCAAAAAACGATCCCTTCCGCTAGTCGCATACATTTCTCGGAACGTAGCTCTTCTTTCGAATGCTTCGCGTGATTTTTACGATAAAAATTGTCGCTCGCTATAAACTAGTTTCTCTCCTAGAAAAAGATAATGCGACAAATACCGGTGAATCGTAAAGCAATACGTTATCCATATGTTTTGCGATCGGTCCTTGTCGGATTATTTTTCTCGTGAAAAATGCAGTCCATCCCGTGTTACCAATTTTTCATTATATTTAACAGGCTTTGTAAGAGAACTCTTTGTTATGACAAGGTTTTATGATTTTACGTTTTCATCTCATCCTCGATCTTTCTCGTTCTCGGAAGAACAAGGAACGAGGAGAGTCTTTTCGCAACGAATTAATCCAGTTTTGCCGCTTCGCCGCAAAGATTTTATCTGACACGCAAGAATTACGCAAATTCGTGTTCCATGCTTTTTTGACGTTTGAGAACACATCATTTAACAAACTTACATGCCGCGGCCGGTTAACAATTTTCTTAGATATCACCGGCAGGAGAAATGAGATTTCAGGCATACTTTTCGCGCGCACTCGCTACCTTCATTCAGAAACGAGCCATGGAGTCGAACTGTCAACGAATTTTGAGGAATGCGTGTGTTTTGTACGCGTCTGAGAGAAAGAAAAAAAAAATAAAGAGAGAAGGATCACATACACATACACACTGTATGGAAGTTGTACCTCCTTGTTCACATCACGTCCTGGAGTACAGTAAGACAGACCACCCACCACCCTTCGAAACACCAAAGTTGTAAATTGGAATGTTAGTACTCTAGAGTTAGTTCGACCCTCGAAGATCAACGCCAGACACTAATCCTGTACGATTCTGTTCAACAGCCTGGGTGAATTATATGTGATGGTTGATGTCCGTGAACGTACCTCTTGGATGGAGACGAACGAACAAATGTTGGCAAGTTGATGATGCAAGTGGAAAGAGCGAAAGAGAGAAAGAGAGGAAGGTGAAAGGAGATGAGAGAGTAAAAGGAGGGAGAGAGAGAGCGAGAGAGAAGAGTATATTTTTACAGGAGAATTATATAGAAAAAAATTTGATGGGATATATATGATGGTGATGATGATGAGATGATGATGATAATGATGATGATGATGATGATGATGATGATGATGATGCACTGCGCCGAGAGAAGTTGCTATAGAGACAAGTGTGGAGCGAGTGCCTTTTTGAAAGCGTGGGGCGATTCTTTCGTAAGCGTGACCGCGAAAAAAAAATTAAAACACATAAATGAATGCCGGGCGATGTCCGCTGGACAGTTTAATGTCTTATCGCGGTTTTGCTTTCAGATTGCGAGAGCGTGCGTCGCGATCGACAGTGGTTGATCCGCGATTAATCCGTGCTTGCTCTCGCGGAAAAAGAGATAAATCCTGAGGCGACGCGGACGCGGTTATATTTGGAAAACAGGGTCTCTACGGGTCCGGAAATGTTAATCGATGACAAGCGACGAGGGGTGTGATGCGATCGAAGTAATTATTAGCATATTATCATACAGTTTAATTTTTTCAGGAAGCCTTATCCTCACGAAAATTAACTTTACGTTGGATTAAAGTACTTAACTGTCACAGATTTGTATTTAACTTGATTTATTAGCAGCAATTTTCATTGAAGCTGTAGCTTTGTTAAAAAGACGAAAAAAAGAAAGTATATTATGTGTAATGATTCTCTATTTATTGTCACTTAATTTATATGTAAATTATATCTGTAATAAAAAAATATGCCTGTGTTATATTATTAAATAGAAATTTATAATAATCCAGAAAAGTCCCTTAGAAATTAACACGTAAATACTTTTCATTCGTGTCTTTTCAATAACAAAATTTATTTACTTGTTTCAGATTCGGTATGCGTCGCACATGTACCCTATCGGGCATCGTATGTGAGGGCTTTGAGCAGAATGCGGAGTGCGTAAGGGACATTAAAACAATCGCAAGAAAATCGGCTACTAAATAAAAATTGCATATTACAAATATTATATCGGAAACGCGTTTTCATTCGCATATGTTTTATATCTTGTTTTATATATATAAGAAAAAGAGAGAGATATTATATATAAAAAAAAAAATATATATATATATATATCGATAGTATTTAATAAATATTTCTATCGTAATATTTGATGTCACGTGTTATTGCCGACAAGTATCTAGCCTTATTTTAAATGAAAATTTAGAAAATATCTTCAAGAGTAAACCACGATCAAGTTTTGTGTCAACAAATACATGGATGAATTTAATTCGCTCGGTCCCAAGGAGTTTATTTTCTACGCTAGATGTAAGACGTTGGCAAAATAATGCAATCGAATTTGCCTCCTGCTCCGCAGGAGCATTTTGCATTCGCGAAGTATCGTCGATAAGACAGGTTACTTCCTCGAGGTGGTTTGTATCGGCAAAACTTCAGTTACTCAGTATCGGTAATATTGTAAACTATTTTATCGACAGTGACAATGGTTCAGGGTTTCGTGAAACGAATGTAAGAGCGCCACAGTCGCACGCATCTCCCCGTGACACATCTTTCCGTCCCTCTCCCACGGGTTTTCACGGGCCAAGGTGCATCTGTGATGGTGCGTGGTCTGACCGTGAGTCGTGTGTGCGCCAAATCCATCGATTAACGGGAACACAAAATAAGATGCAACGTCGTCTCGCCGTTCGCCGCGCGTCTGGCCGTGTCGAGGAGCTGACGATACCGAGTGTTGTCGCGAGCAGGATCGTCGGACGTTAAGGGACGTTATGGGAAGATGGTGAGACAGCTCGGTCTCCTCGGCCACTGGCAACATGGGTTCGCAAACACTGGAGATCCTGAGACAAGGCGTCTGGGCGAGCCTGACGGGCGGCTGGTTTTACGATCCTCATCTCGATGTTTTCTCCAACACCTTCCACCTGTACATCTGGCTGTTCCTGCTCTGCCTGCCGTTCACTATCTACTTGGTAAAAAGAGAGGAGGCATCCTCCTGAATGTTTCTACAGCTGTTTATTTTGAAAGTTGTACAAGTCTTCAACTTTCTCGTAGGATGAATTTTTTAAAATTAAATCGCGCGAGGATTTATTTTCAGAAGACTTGAAAATTCGTCGCAGTTTGACTTATGCTACTTTTGAAAGAAACACAGTTATAATGTTTATGATATAAATATCAAAATTTTTTCAAAATGTATTTATACAGACTTTGTGTCACTGTATAATGAGAAGTGTTATTTTTGCTTTTATGATATTTGCCATGTGTGACAAGTATGTTAAAGATAGTATTTTGTGTGTTTTAGTATTTTCCTCCTACGTTATATGTTTGGTTGGCGTATTGCTCGTCGTTTGTCGCCGTTTTTGGAACAATAAAGTGTATGAATCATGCTCTACACTGTGTATATGATACAACAGAGTGTTTGGAAGAATCAAATCAAACCATCAGTCAGCAAAAATCTGAGAGCGAGAAGAAACGAGCAGGTCATAATAAATCCAGAGAACAGTCACAAGATCAGATGGGTCATGGCATAGAACTGCAAGTTTTGAATGGTATAATTCAATTATTGTATAATTCAAAGATTGATTAAATTAACAATATCACATACATATTGAATTTCTCATATGAAAAAAATAGTAGCATATATGTAAACATTGGGTTTTTGAGAGAAACAACAAAGTTAATAATTTTTGTATTATAATAGCTGAGTTAAAGCATTCTTTTCGTTTAGAAAGATTTGAATCATCTATGTTTTTTTTATCTAATATGATTGAATTCAATAATAAAATACATAATGTATTACATGAGAGTGTAACTTATTCTATTTAGTATTAATTATAATTTTTTAATGTATTTTAATTTTTTTATTTCCTATTTTTTATACTTTTTTATTTGCTGTCGAAAATAGAAATTGCATGTATAATATATTTTTCACATATTTGTCAATCTGTCTTCAGGTAAAACAGATACACCACCTGTAGAATGTTCATCACGTAATTCATTCATAGAACCAAATATACAGAATGCTGATGCAGACAGTATAACATCGGAATATAATCGGGATAAACCTAGTTCGACCATAGATTTAAAGGTAGAAATACATAGAAAAAACAGTTCGGAAAGTTCGGAAGAGGCGCAGCAACTTAATAAACCAATGGTGACTAGCATTAATGTGCATGAAGCTGAACTAGTTTCCGCACAATATCATGAGCCACGTTTTAAGAATATTATAAATGGTAATTGAGTGTTTAATTACCTCTAATATGCATGTGAGCAGATGAAAGAGATAATTATAAATGATTGTAATATTTATTTATTTGTAGAATGGAAATTGTTACGACAAAAGTGTGTAGTAATAGCGGAGGAGGATCGACCAGGACCGCGTAAGTTATGTCGACATGCGCCTGAGGATTCCAGAAATCGACATCCTAAGCAAAGCAGCCTCGGAAAAACTGGATCGGAGAGCCAAATAAAACAAACCAGCTCGTTGGAATTGGAACATCCTGGTGATGATTATCCATATTGGAAATCTAATCAAAGCGTTCGCAGACTCAATTCCAATTCTATACCAATGGAACCACATCTGATGAATGACCATCCACAGAGTTTAGAAATCATATCGAAAAAAGGAGATACAGACAACAATAAGATCTCGTCTCATCCGCAATCGTTAGAGGTAAAAATTTGCGACATATCTCTACAGATTTTATTAATATTTTGAATATAAACGTAAATAATCTTTGAAAACTTTATAATGCTTACTTTCTTAATAAGATAAAAAAAATTCCATTTCTAATTTTAAGGTCATTAACAAAAAACCGCATCAACAACTGATACATCCACAAAGTCTTGAAACAATTGGTGCTACTAGTAAAAATATAAATAATACTGATGACAACAATTTGCCTCTTCATCCCCAAAGTCTTGAGACGATCAATTCCAAGAAGGTATATAAACAAATTATTTTAAAGTATCTTTTTGCAAATATTTTATTTCAAGAGATATATATTTAAACAAACAAAAATGAATGTTACAGGTTTTACCGCAAAATACATTGAAGAGAAATCAACTACAACTCTTACCATATCATAGTTATGGATCTGAAATAGTACATCCAATAGCTGAACAGAGCGATGAACAATTTGCCAATGAAAGTTCGGGAGGATTTAGTCTGCGAGATTCTTATAGTCCATTACTTACGCGAAAAAACATAACCGATACGAACGCTACATCTAATAGAGACAGAAGTCTCAGTGCTGGCAGATTCGAAGATAGATTCTCGAGGTATTCTCGAATGATATCATCAAAAAATATTCTATATTTTAATTAAATGTACATTTAAAAAAGCGAACTTGTATATATTAATATTATCTTTTATATTATTCTAGGTTTAACGATGACAATGGAATAGACAACAACTCAGCAAATTCTCGAGATGCTTTACTCGATGAATCAAAATCCGGCGTGAAAAGAAGATACAGTAATGCTAGCCAAAGTAGCCATGAATTTTCAGATGGTGAAAAAAATAAAGAGAAACGGCTGGATAAATCCAAGAACGCGGAAGATCCTCTCAATTCAGGAAGCGTAGTCGGAATAGATTGGTTGTTCGAGAGTGGAGATTATCCAGTGGAACCATGGACGAGTAAGAGTAAGTTTAATATAAACAAAAACGTGTTTTTTTAGGTAAAGAAAAAAGTTCTAGTCCAATTATTTTTTGCTCTATGCAAGCTTTATACGTTTTTCTAATTCGTGCTGCCAGTATTTTGGACTTTCACTCGCTCTGATGATACGGATACGTCAGAAAGCCTACAGACGGCTAGTACAGATTGTAAGTTGGACGTATTATAAAGTTAGGATGTCGCTGGGAAGATTATTAAGTTTAAAAATTCACGACATTCGCGAGAAACTGATGAGCATATTATATATTTGGTATTTCGCGAATAATTCTTAATTCACAATAAGATTGAATATGATGTTCGTGATAGCATAAAATTTAAAAGCAAGCTTTTAACGCTGATCATAAACTATAAAATCAACAAAAATTAAATAAGTTTGTATGCTGATTTGCGTGTAGATCTTCACACTAAAGAGCCCGATTTCGGGATCGTCCAGTACAACGACTCTCAGCATCGAGAATGAGGTGAAGCGAAAATTGCTACCGCAACTAGAAGTGGATAATGCCGTCAAGCGTCATCAAGGAGCTATCCCCAAGCAAAGCCGTCCAAAACCTGCCGCGTCGGACGCTACAGACGACAATATCGTGTCGAGCGTCGAGCATCCGGGAGAAAATCTCAAACGTTATCTCGAAGTAAGACGGGAGAAGGCTAGAAGGCGAGGTGGCAAATTCGAGCAAACTAGCGGTTCGAATAATGAACTGAGCACGCTGTTACCAAATCCAGCACCACCGTTGTTAGCCGCGTTACTAAACAATTCCGGCCGGGATTTGCCCGGCCAATCGAGCGCCGCATCATCTGATCTACGATTAAGTCGTAGCTCCGAAAATCGAAATTCTCGGAGCAGATATGGACGATTAAAACATCCTCGTGCTCATCGTGGACCTCGCAGCATCGCCAATCGCGACGATAACGTTGTACCGTTGACCGCGTTATTTGGTTTAATCTCGAGCGGTGAGTATCACTTGGCCACTAATCAAAATGATACTTCGGAAGGAGCTGTGCATTACTTTCGCGACGATAATGGTCGCTGGCTAGCTTACACATTTGACGAAAAGGGCTCGGACGTGACTGCCGCGACGGCGATGACACAAATGCCCGCCAATCCGCATAATGAAAAATTGTTAAATACTCTACTGCGACAACAACTCAATCAGAATATACACTACGACGCTACGAACTGGGAACTCGCTGATTCGCTTAGCAATAGTTATAGCAGCCTATCGCTCAACTCTGCCGGATTGACGGTGATAATTGACACACCACCCGTACTATCAAGTCCAGCCAGCAATCAGACCAAGACACAGAGCTCACCGCCCTCGAATCTGATTTCCTCAAATACTGGCAGCTCGAATCAATACACGCTCGGCGAAAATTCGGAGCGCGAACACTTTCATCATACGCTAATCGCGCGCTCGGACTCGATGGCCGACAGAAATCGAAGGTTGAATTTGCAGAATTTGCTGAGCAACATGAACCAGTATCAATCGGATCCTAATAACCGTATGCCCGTACTAACATTGCCACATCGGGAACCCGACATAGACACAAGTTTGTCATGGAATCGTTTCGTCGACGGCTTGGACGGCTCTGACGGCTCCAAACCCAAGCAAACCAGACATTACTATAAGTGGAAAATTGGCAGGCTGCCGCATATCAAAGTGCGCTTCGATCGTCTCGCCCTGTTAGCTCTGCTCGATCGCAATTTGACTGTGTTCGAGACCATCGTATCCACATTCCTGGCAGGTGCGGTCGCAGGACTGGGCCTTTTATTGCTTCAACAAGGTTTTTATCGGGACATATTTGCATTTATATTTTGCTTTGTGACGGCTGGCTGCCAGTACTCGCTACTCAAATCGGTCCAGCCTGATGCCGCATCGCCCACGCACGGCTTCAATCGTATTATAGTGTTCTCCAGGCCTGCTTACTACATCTTGTGCTCGAGTTTGATTCTGATCTTCAACGAGATACTGAGGAACTTTAAATCGTCTGACTTTCGCGTGTACGGACTACGTGTCGCCGATTACGATCTTATACTGCAAGTGCGAAACATTCTGCTAATATTTCTGCTGTGCTTTCCAATTGTGTTCTCCTTAGGATTATTTCCACAGATCAATACGTTCCTCATGTACGTCTGCGAACATTTGGACATTCATTTATTCGGTGGCAATGCGACCACTAGTCTGGTGTCGTCGTTGTATTGTTTATGCCGCAGCTTAATCGCCGTCCTTATCCTTTATGGATTTGCCTATGGTGCCCTCCTCGAACCCAAATCCTCACAACATATTTTATTCTCCATATTCGTCGGTCTGCTCGTCGCGATATCTTATCATCTGAGCCGATCGTCCTCCGATCCAACCGTGATATGGGATATCCTCAAGGCGAATCTGTGGCCGTTGGAGATAGGAGACAGATACGCAGAGGAGAAGGAAGCGAAGATTATCGAGAATACATCATCGCAACGCGACAACGTGGCTGCAAGCTACAAGGAGGCCAAAAGTAAGATGTCTGGTAGGAAGAAAGATGTGAAGATCAAAGTGGGCGAACAAATGTCGGACACCGAACTAGTAGATCCGTTACCAGAAAAACTCCGTTCGACCGTAAACTCCAGACTGAAGAACGACGTAATCGTATGCGCGGTAATCGGCACTCTGTCTTTCGGTATTCATCGTACGACGGTATTTACTGCCCTACAACCAGAACTTAATCCAGTATTATGTAGCATCGTCAGCTGCCTAGGCTTTCTTCTGCATTACATCGTGCCGCAATTGCGCAAACAGCTGCCATGGCTGTGTCTGTCGAGACCAGTATTGCGCAGCCACGAACACGCGCAATTCGAAGTGCGGGAGCCAGTGAGAATTATGTGGTTCGAAAAAGCATACGTATGCCTGTGCTTTCTCGAACGGAACATTCTTTATCCGGTCGTCTTCCTGGGCGCGCTCACCGACTGTTCATCGAAGATTGCAGACAAGTTTGGCGAGAGTGTGGGTGCGCTCATTGTCGTCATGTGCGGTCTCAAGTCCCTCAGATCGGCGTACTCGGACCCGTCCACTCGCTACCTCGTCCTAGTCTTCGCGGTGCTATTCTTCCAGCTAGACTTTAGTAATTTGAGCGAAACCTTCCTGATGGACTATTTTGTTACGGGGATCGCGTTCGCCAAGATCTACGAACTGCTGCTCAAGATACGCTTCGTCGTCACGTACATCGCGCCCTGGCAAATCACCTGGGGCAGTGCATTCCACGCGTTCGCCCAGCCCTTCTCCGTGCCGCATTCGGCGATGCTCTTCCTCCAGGCCGGCATCTCAGCGATGCTCAGCACGCCTCTGAATCCATTGCTAGGCAGCGCGATCTTTATATCATCGTACGTGCGACCCGTCAAGTTCTGGGAGAGAGACTACAAGACCAGGAGAGTGGATCATTCGAACACGCGAATGTCCTCGCATTTGGAGCGCAATCTGGGCGCCGATGATAACAACCTGAACTCGATATTTTATGAACAACTTACGCGCTCTCTCCAGCACAGTCTTTGCGGCGACCTCGCGCTCGGTCGATGGGGAAATGTGGAACAAGGAGACTGCTTTCTGCTCGCTTCAGATTATTTGAACTGCTTGGTGCACATAGTTCAATTGGGTAATGGATTGGTGACATTTCAGCTTAGGGGTCTCGAGTTCCGAGGAACATATTGCCAGCAAAGAGAGGTACATTTAAAATTATACAATACTATTGTTTTTTTTTAATTAAAATTATAACAATGATATGACTTTTGTACGTATTTATTTTTAGGTAGAAGCGATCTCGGAGGGTATCGAAGACAACGACAACTGCTGCTGCTGCGAAATGGGTCACCTATCAAACGTACTTAGCGTGAATGCCGCTTTCAGTCAACGTTGGCTTGCTTGGGAAGTTGCGAGCGCCAAATATGTGCTCGAGGGATACTCGATCTCCGACAATTCGGCGGGGTCTATGCTACAAGTGTTCGAGTTTCGCAAAGTGTTGGTTACTTACTACGTTAAGAGTATCGTCTTCTACGCCGTGAAGTCATCCAAGTTGAAACAATGGCTGGAAAATCCAGATATTGTCGATGCGCTCAAACCAACACTCGATAAGAACTTTGTTGATCTCGATCCTGTTTTTAACGTGAATATCGATGAAGATTTTGACTTCCGAGCAAGCGGTATCACGCGGAACAGCTTCTGCAATGTTTATCTCGACTGGATACAATATTGCGCTGGTAAACAAGATAAGGTGATACATTAGTAATACTTACATTATTTCGTCATTTTAATACTAAAATAACAACTTAGACAATTTTGACGTTATCTGCATATATTAACGCATTAAATCAGTCGAAAAAAAACACCATTACACTTTTCGATATTGTAAATAGATAAGTAAAAAATTTATAAATTCTATAATAGCAGTCTGAAACTATGAGTTATATATATTTATTTCATATTTAACTGAATGAGAAAAAATTTATATAAAAAAATCATTTAAAATACTTAATTTGTAAAAAATAATAATTTTCATAATATTAAGGTGACGATCTTAGTATTAAGGGAATGATCTATTTATATAAAATTTATAATTTTCTTTTTAAAATATATTTCATATCGTTATTATACTTTCCAGTCACTGGATAGAACACGTGATTCATATCTTGTGTCTCTGTGCCTCTCATTGAGTCTGTTGGGAAGACGCGTTTTAGGCGCTGCATCTCACAACACATTATCGGGTGTTGAGTTTTTTCTCTACGGGTTACACGCGTTATTTAAAGGTATGTATACTTTAATAACTATTATATATAATATATTTTCACTTTAAAATGTACTATAATATGTTATACTTTATTTCTTTAATGTATATTGATATATCGTGTTTTTTTAAATATTACACACATATATATATATATATATATATTTATTCTGTATATAGTATAAATATCTATATTTTTTTGATGACAGGAGATTTTCGGATAACATCAGTTCGCGACGAATGGGTATTACACGATGTCGATTTATTGCGCAGCGTGGTCGCTAAGGGAATAAGGATGGCCTTGAAACTACATCAAGATCACTTTATGAGCCCGGAACAATACATCGAATCATCAGCGCTCTTCGAAGCTATTGACAATCATGATCAAAATCTTGTTATTAGTCACGAGGCAGATCCGCTTTGGAGGAACGCAGTCTTAAGTGGCGCGCCCAGCCTTCTGGCACTCAGGTTTGCATTATGATTCAACTGCTAAAGTATATAAAGTGCTCTAGTGTAATTAATGTAAATATTCGAAACTTTTAGACATGTACTAGATGACGGTATAGATGAATACAAAGTGATAATGCTTAACAAACGTTACCTGAGCTTCCGAGTAATCAAAATGAATCGCGAATGCGTCCGCGGACTTTGGGCTGGCCAACAGCAAGAATTGGTATATCTGAGAAATAGAAATCCAGAGCGCGGCTCTATACAAAACGCCAAGCAAGCACTGAGAAATATAATCAATAGTTCCTGCGACCAACCGATTGGATATCCGATTTATGTCTCCCCGTTGACAACCAGCTATGCCGAGACCAACGAACAATTATGCTCGATAATTGGAGGGCCATTGACTTTTGGTACCATAAAAAGCACCGTGTTGAAATTGTGGAGAAGGTATGCGCTCTCAAATAATATCTCAAATAAAGATAATTTTTCATCTCTGATTGATTTACATCTCAATTCATTTAATTATTAATTTAGACTAAAATCTGATAATTCAATGTGTATTTTTAGAATAAGAAGGAGATGTGGTCAAGGTTGTTCTTCGGGTGGTACTGGTTCTCAAGACGATGGAGGTTTCGGGAATGACGGAGTATATGCGATGACTACTTACAACATACACTCTGGTATTTATAGATTAATCGAATCGCACAAAGTTTAATTAATTTTTTGATGTTATTAATTATCTCATTGAACTTAATATAAAAGAAAAATTTAAATTAATGTTTAAAATTAGAATTAAGATAGACAATTAAAATAGACTATAATTTCTATCAATTTTCTAAGACGTCTTTCTTGATTTTTTTTATTATAATATAAATTTTTAGTTTTTTAACAATTTTCAATATTGATACAATGGATATATGCCTTCGTACTTATACATGTTTTACGAATATAGGCTATGCTCAATCGGGTCATAATACTTCTGGTTCGCAATCGATGGAATCTGGCTGTCAGATCGGCGGCTCGACCGGTCGAGGATCTCTCGGTCGTGCGAATACGGGTTCTCTTGGTGGTAACAGAGGCTCGCTCGCCTCCGTTGGGAAACCAACCAGTTCGACGCTCGCCAGTCTGGCCGGATTGCTTAGTAATAGCGATATCAAAACAGAAACAAAGAGCGAGACAAGCTTCTCTAGCAAGCTTGAAAAAGAGGAAGTTTTTCAAAGAGTACGAGTAAGTTTTATAACAGTATTCATATCCGCAAGATGAATCCATTTCATATCATTTCTTCCAATGAATGCAATGTAGAATTTCTAAAAATTTTATCTATTCTATTAACTCTGCTTATAAAAATAAATTAATTTCTAACATGTTAAATTACGTTTGAATTTTATTAAAATTTAAATGTTTTTTATTATTATTCACGAACAGATTATGGATCCTAATCAAGTATACGACGCGATCAATTTGGGTCGGCGTATAGATGTGATTTGGCCGGACGAGAGGATGCGACAACAAGGTGGTCGTTCCGGCTGGCAACATTGGGTACCCGAAAGAGGTATGGAGGGTTGCGTAGTTCATCGTTGGTCGCCGAATCATCGCGATCCTAATCGACGATCGCATGTCGATAAGGTCATTCTACTCGTGAAGATCGAAGATAAATACGTGCCGATAGCTGAACAAGGCGTACGAGATTTAGGAGCAGAGGTTTAGTAAAATATTTTCGAAATTAGTGCAATAACATGCGATCATTGTGGTTTTTGTACTCATTAGCACGATCGCTCTTAGATATGCAGATGCGCGATAGCGCATGCATATTTAACAACTAGAAATCTTCACATAAGAATCTCTAAACGCTATTAAATTCCAACGATGGCAGCATTTGGCATTATATAGAGTTTATTAGTGTTTCTTCGTTTCATAAGAAAACAATTAGTTGTTGATTTTTCTCGTGTATTTAATGTAATTTAATCCAAGAATTTTTAATGAAAATGTTTTTGTAAATCGTAATCGGAGAACATCACAAATTATTAACATTAATATAAACTGGAAACCTAAGAGAAATAGTCGCATGTATATAGTATAAATTATTTTTTATTGTGTAATTACTTTTATGAAAACATACTTTTCTTCGAAAACGTATAGCCAAGACTCTTACTTGAGGGTTTCTAGTATCAACGACGAAAGTGTAAAATAATGCGAACAAATGTATCATATTGACGATGTTGAATACTAGTTTCGTACTTCCACAAAGTCAATACTCGCCATTAGGACATAAATTGAAGAATTCAACGATTTACTTAATATATTATATAAAACGTTTAACTTATCTCCATTGACAAGTTTCATTATAACATTGCAATATCTAGCTCTTTTTTTTCAAAATATTAAGAAATTTATATATAAATTATATAATTTTTATAATTTATATATATTTTAAAAATTTATATATAAATTATATTATTTTATTATATATTTTATTATATATTAATTATATTATATAAATTATATAATTTTTATAATTTACATATTTTAAAAATTTATATAATTTATATAATTTTTTATTTGCATAGATAAGATTGCTTATAAAATTTTCTTGGTACTTTAGTTTTACTTGTTTCCCAAATTTTTTTCATTAGTTTTTTTTTGTTAATTTTACAACTTTCATCAGATATGATCGATAAAATTTCTTGTCAGATTTATATGAGACAGATTTATAATTCTTTCATCATCATTGTTAAGGTTTTCCTTTTCAAATTATAAGAAACACTGATGTATTAAAAGAATCGAAAATTGTAAAGTCCTGTATAGAGACAAAGAAATGAAAAGAGAGAAATACAAGAATATTTTATCACCTTGTAAGTATCGCAAATATGACATATGTATATTGTTACTTCTCGCGAATCACAAAAAACAGAGCTAATCGCCAAGTTATTTAATACAAAACGAAATTGTATCATGTTGTACTATATATTGTATATTATATGATGATATATTAGTTTATGTTCTCTCACACTGAACGGAGCAGACGTTACTTGTTGCCCAATGTATATCTAGATTACTTAATTATCGGTTAAGAGAAAAGGTAGCGTTTAAACACGTTCCTCTTCCACTAATCTATAATATAAATGCGGTATATATTTTTAGCGGTTGATATGGGAAAAAAGGACATGAATCGCCCTAAATAGTGAAATAGTACTATTTATGAATATACATAATGATGTATCAAATAAGAACAAGAGAAAAGGGAATCTCTTAAATACACTGTTGCTATATCGTACACAGCGGATTACATATAACAAATGGTAAAATCGATAGACTATTTGTACATAAAATATCATTCGTGTTTTTCTACGAGAGATTTTGTTATACGATTTCCCTTTTTTAAAGTAGATAATGTAGATAAGTTGTAAATATCTTACATTGCGCATACCATCGCAGACCTCGAAGCGTCCAGAATATTATTCTACTCGAGCGTGTGTTATTTCACGGGGCCACACACGACAGGACATATCCGCATGCACTGAAATAGCGGTTATTAAATCCCTCGTTTCATTTTCACATGTTCATGTACAAAAGCTCGTTCAAAGTCACATGACATTACTTAATTGTATAGTAAAGTTGGTAAAGTTGTTAATCTCGCGACATTCTCAGTGCATTTACATTTTAGAGACATATCTTGTTAGATTGAACAAAGATATTCACATGTAAATGCATTGGCATAATGCTCCATCGGGCAATGAAACGTCTACGCTGTTACTCTCGAAAGTTAACAAATTTGTTTTTTTTTTTCACTTTGTATATATAATGTTTGTAAATTAATTAATTTGGCTTTACTTATTTCACATTATACATGTTATAAACGAATTCGAAACATATATACATATATGTATATATATATATATATATATATATATATATGTATATGTTATATATGTATGTATGTATTAGTTATTTAAATACTAAGGAATGGTTGCTTGCAAAAATTCTGTAAATCCATATATATATATATATATATATATATATATATATATATATATATATATATATATAGCTCGCTCGTTCGACGCCGTGTAGGAAAAAAATATATATTTCACAGATAGAGAAAAAAAAAATAATTTTTTGCAAGTGACCAAAGAATCACAGCATTGCCTTATCATGGTGTCTTAACAAACACCTGACTGATGATGAAAAAGATTATTATAGCTAGTCTTTTAATTGTTGGTATAACACACATTTATGTATCGCTTGCTGCCGAAGGACGCGGGAGAGAGAAGTTATATGGAGTGTAATAATCTTTATTATATCTCTGGCCTACTATATCTTTAATGGACAGTACTTTCATACACTGATTGTACACACAAATCATACAATCAAGAATAAACGAAAAAATAAAATCTGATTAGATGATTTATCTCGGTTGCACTGCCACAGAAGGTACACATTGCGATTTACATCCAGTAATCGCTGTTAAAGTAATTATTCTCTTAATCTTTATTAACTGGCCGAAATTAATATTAATAATTTATATGTACACACACGCGCATACACACACACACATTTTTGTATAATTTAAATTACTTATAAATTACATACTGATATTTTTTTGTTTTTATAGAATTAATCTATAAGAAAAAAAATATATAAATATGTGTATATACATGTAAAACAGATTTCAAAAATATTTGACAAATATTTATCTTTATGACAACGCAATTCAAATCACATTGCAAATTTATTATCATCGCACACAATTTGTTGTCAAATTGATTCATAAAGTGATTTTTTTAATGCCATATACATATAAATATTAAGTGAAGACACGAATAGCTATTTTAAGATTTGAAAAAGGTGTCTAAAAAGATGTATATCACAAGTGCTTGGACAAGTTTACAAGTTCTACAATAGCTAATACTCTTTCTATAATACTCTTTCTATTATAATTTGTATAATATAAGATTCTGTTGCATTTATCTCAATATCTCAAAAACAAATCACACTTTTCTAATATCCTTTTGGTCGATTCAATAATATAGGCTGCCAAGTAAGCTCTGCATTAAAGTATGTGCTATATAAATAAGTACAAATATTTCAATACAACCTGGATTTCAGATTTAGTATTAATATATGTGTATATATATTAGTGTATTAATATATTATATAATGAAATTATCTATATATATGCCATTTTATAACATAAATATGTATCTAAAATCTTTGAGTTATATAATGCACGCTTATCTGAGAAGATTAGATTAAAAAAGGCCGTAAGTTTCGGATGAAGTAGCTTGAAATATTACATATTTTCTTTATGAAAATACATTTACAAGTGAGAAAAATGGAAGCATAAAGTTTGTATTATATAATTTTTATAGTGTTACCATGATTAGGACTTTGTATTGTTATTTTCTGTAGTATTTATTGGTCCTTCATTTATTAGCTTTTGTATTAAATTCTCTATCATCTCATTGTTGACTAAGCCGATAAATTTGTCTACGACTAAGCCATTTGAGATTGCTATTACCGCAGGTACAGCTTTCACTTCAAAAACATGCACCAATTCAGGATTCTCTTCTACGTCGATTATGGCCAAATCTAACTTGTCCATAGGTTCTATAAGCTCTATCAACTTGGGTGTTAGTATTTTACATGGATCACACCAATCTGCGTGAAAATTGACTATAACTGGCACTGTACCATTCATCACCTTATTTACAAACTCGTTGTTATTGCTTATCTCGTAATGCTTATTATTTTGGCGAAACAATGAAATACGTCTCACCACAGACACCATGCAATTTCTTATATTGCACAACATCGTTTTTCTTTTTTTTTAAACACGTTACTTGTATAAATAAAAGATTAATAGCTATTTAAACAGGTAAACATTACATTTAAGTCTTGCACAAATTGAAAATCACCATATTTGTCAGCAAGCAAGAATATCTATAAAAAAAAATTTGTTATTAATTATATATATATATATTTATATATTATATATATATATATATATATATTTTAGTGTTTATACAGATAAATTAATTTTTTTATCACCATGTATAATCATAAATTTTAATTCTATTATAGTAATAACATGTTTTATTAATTATTATTAATTTAATACATTATTAATTTAAAACATACCAAGGAGGAAACGCCTAAAAAACCCAGTTGGAAATCCTAACTGGTCTAACAGTCTCCACCAATCCAAATTTAATATATCCGATGAGGGAAATTGCGGATGAGATAAGTAATAAAATCAGAAGTGTTATACGCCAAATGAAGAGTCGATCATACACCTACAAAACAAAGATTATTTAATCTTGTGTCTCGTGATTTATTTAATTATATAATCCTCTCACAATATAAATGAACACGTTCAATGTTGTATTATTTTTACATATCTGTATATATGTACATCTTATCTGTAAACATGTATAATTATCTTCTAATCTAGAATATATCGATTCTTTCAATAATGCAACAGTGAAAGTGATCCAAGAGCTCTTGCAATTTTTTTTATCACAAAATATCACCAATTAATTTAATTTTGATACTCTCTCTTTCTTTCTTCTTCGCACTTTGATATATCAAAGACGTAGGTTAGAGCTTTCTTGGAGCACTGATGTCATCCATCCACGCATTAGGATTTTTAAACACACACAATCGATATTGTATAAATACATTTCCGCGATTATACCTTGCTCTCCGTGGGAGCGGGCTTCTCTGACGCGCGCGGCACGTTAATCAAAATAATAGTAAACGCGCTCACGAGCAGTATAGCGATCACGCCGACCTTCTTCTCAACGCGCAACGATATCACGAATATCAACGCGGCCAGCACCCACAGACTGAGGATGATGAATAATCCCACGCCGATGCCGAGTATCAAGGTGGTCATATCCTTCGACGGGGGAAAATAATACGACGGGGAACTGTCAGAAGAAGGAGACGCGGACTTGACAGATAGCGCGCGTCTCTCATATCGATCACCTCTATTCTAAGAATCTCTATTTTAAATCCTCTCCTTTATTTCAAGTTGGCTGTTTTTCCCCCTAAATTGATTGATTCTCCTCTCACCCCTCGGCCCGCTCATGGGCCATTCTTTTTTCTCTTGTTCTTCTCGTATACAAAAACAATAATACCGATTGTAGAGCTATCTTTTTTCAACATATAGTTAAACTGAGGAATTTTGCCGCTAATGTAATACCTGCGGTGAAGAGCTAAAAAGTTGTCGAAATCTTTTATTGATAATTATCACTTTTCAATATGGATGTGACATATGATCCTATTGGATTCAACAAACAAACCGAGACATTATTATACGGCGTAGGAGGGAAAAACTTGATAAAGGAATTCAAAAAAAGAAATATATCGACTGATGCCTTGCATAAATTAACCAAGGAGGATTTCATACAACTTGGTAATACATTTACTTCAATATATTAATATATTATATATGTGTTTTATATTGTGCACATTGTATTTATAGGAATTTGAATTCTTGTCATTAACACGCACTATATATGATAAAAACCTAGAAGAAAGAATGTGAAGTTAATATTTACATATAAAATTTAACATGCTACATAGATAATTATTGTCTTACTGTATAATTTTCATACAATTTTATATATTTTTTAAATTAGATATTGAATTATTATTTCCTTTGATATAAGCAATTAAAATTTTAAAAACGATATATAAAGATTTCTAAATTATTATTATTATTACTAATAATAATTTATTTTTTTAGGTGCTGATGAGCATCTCGCAGAAAACATGTTCCATTCTCTATGTATTTCGAAGGAAAAAATCCCAAGTATGAAGTTAAAGCCTCATCAAAGGTATTAAATCATTATTGAAACTCATCTATTAATAATATTAAATGTAGTATCAAATCTAAACTCTAAGATTCTTTAACAGGATGTTTAATAAAATAGAAATATTGAATATGGGAAAGAAACAGTTTGATACAATGCAAGCTTTTATAACACACTGCAGAGTTAAGTTAAAAAAACAAAGAATTCATTCTTTTATTGAACCTGATGCAGCTTTAAGCGCTTCTAAAGTTTTAATCCTTGCTGCTGATTCTATTCTTAAGGAAGTTAACGAGACTGAATTAAAATTGAAAGAATTGGAAGCTGTGATAATTACGGTATATATATATTCTAGTATCTCTACAGTATTTGTATGTATATGTTAAATTAATGTGACATTAACTAAATATTTTATAATAATTTAAAGGAATTTGAACATGTAACTATATTTAATTTAATTTTTTACAGCCTAAAAGTAGCAGAAAATATTCTTATGTATCATATTGCATTTCAATCGGTGGATTATGCTTCACATCGTATATATTATTCAAGATTTTGGAGAGAAAAGGATTTGATAAGATACTAAAATATTACTAATATATATAATTATGCTGTTGTATAGATTATATGTTGCTATTTTTTGAGATACCTTTTTGGAAATATATAACATAAATATTTTTGATGACAAGCTTTAAATTAATATATTATTAGAGCAAAATAATTTGATTTAACATCATTCAATGATATATCCAAATTTCTCAAAAAGTTCAATAATATTCAAAGAAGATGTGTTTTAAAATTGAGACTGAGATAATTAAACAGAATAACACATTTTCTATCTTCGAAATTAACTTTAATTAATTTATTGTCCTGCATTATTGGTCTGCTTTTCTTTAGAATGTATAAATTCAATTAAGAGGGCTGCAAAGCCAAATAATGTGTATACACAGTACAGTGGGCGAAATTAAATAAAGAAATAAAGAAACGAAGGATATAAGAATTTTGTTTAAAATTTATTATATAAATTATATATATATTTTTTCAAATTATATTTCACATTGCAAATATATCTTTATAAATTCTAGATTCGTGGCACATTTTAATCACACACAAGCCATATATTTGCTTTTCTCTTATCAATATTATATTTATAGAGAGAATCACAATTACGATAAGAAAAATCGCAAGGTGCCCATAAGGTGAATCTCGAGACTTTCATGGAATTTAGAGATAATACGACATATTCACCCGCGCCTCTCTACTCTCTAGCGTTCGTCTCATACGTATACATATATATATATATATATATATATATATATATATATATATATATATATATATACACATACACATGCACCCCCCGGTCGCCGCCGAGGCGATTGCGCATGCGCGCTCGACCGCTGCGTTAGCTTTGAAATCTCCGCTTCAGTCGTGCTAAGATGGACGGCGGAGCGTACGGCGGTGGAAAGGCCGGGGCCCCTTTCGATCCGATCGCGTTCGTTCAGAGGCCGCAGGTCATTCTGAGAGCGGTATGCCTGGTAAGTCGCCTCGACAACGAGACCCATCGCCGAGCGTGATCGCGACGACGACCGCGATACCGAGGGAGCTGGATACTCCGACGCGGATGGTCATTGATTTTAAAAGAGAGTCCTCGGTCCTCCTTCCCCTCCCTCCCCCTCCCCCACCCGCAACCGCGATGGGGTTCTATTGATTTTTCGCGAATTCCAGCGATACGTACCCCGTATGTCATGGGTCTCTATGGCGTTCGAGCTTTAAATGATATCATTATCCAGTCGATTTGACGAATCGAATTTTTCGCGCGTCTCTTCGTCCCGCTGACCGGATTATCCTTGATGAGATGAGATGCACGAGTCGCTCCCTCCGTTCTGTTCTCTTGTCAGCATTATATTTGTTAATCCTCCTCGATCATGTCTTTCCTTCTTTCTCTGCTTCTCAATGAACATATTTATTTCGCTAATATTATAACCTCGATAGAGGAATTGTAATTAAATATGCAAGGAATCTAAAAAGACAGAGTTTGGTATATAAAATGCACCAAGCCTGCTACATATAATATTTCAAGAATTATAAAAAAGTTTAAAAAAAAAATGAGTCCTCTAAACTATATGGATATTTATATCTTTTGAATACATCTTTATGGCTTATAGACATTTTGATCGAAATGCAGATACATATATATATATATATGTGTGTGTGTGTGTGTGTGTGTGTGTATTTAATATTTGCTTTTTTCTTATGTTGCTAGTTCAATTTGCACTATTATTTGTCCACCCATTTATGTTCTTAATTTGCATACAAATAGCTTATAAATATATTATATGTCACAGTGTATTCTTGCATCTTTCCACTTGGATTATTCTATATATATTTTTATTATACTTTCAGCTTTTTGCAATAATTGTTTTTGGATGTATAAGCAGCAAGGGCTATCTTCCAGACAAAGATGGCAAGGAAGTTTGTCTTTACAATAACGATAATAACGCATGCAATTATGGGATTGGTATTGGAGTACTGGCATTTTTGGCCAGTATCGGATTCCTTGTGGGTGAATACCTGTTTGAACAAATGTCATCTGTCAAAACTAGGAAACATTTTGTCCTTATAGATTTGGGGTAAGCTATGAGCATTTTTACAACCTGAATGTTATAGAATTATTATAATTGTGTATTATACAAAAGATTATAGCAAAAGTGCCTTTTCTCCCTTAAAATATGAATTAATATAATTTTTTGTATTAATATTATTAATATTGTCCATATAGTTTTTCGGGCTTCTGGTCTTTCCTGTACTTCGTGGGATTCTGTTACTTGACAAATGCGTGGAATAAATCTGAGAGACCACCGGATGGATATGGTGTGAATAATTTACAAGCAGCTATCGCATTCTCATTTTTCTCCATCTTCACTTGGGTATGTTTACTTGACAAATATGGGACAATATTTTTTATTAAATTATAAATATATATATTTATAGATATAATATAGATTATAACTATAATAAATAATAATATATATAATGTAGATATTATATATTATATTATAATCTATAATATGTAGATTTATCTCATATATGCAATAATCAAACTTTTATAAATGTGTCTCAGAATTGTATTTACAACTTATTATTATTACAGGCTGCTTCTGCTTGGTTCGCGTTTCAAAGATTTAAACAAGGCACTGATGCAGCATTCGCTCCGAGTTACGAAGCAGATCCTGTTGGTGGTACAGGATATACAAGTTATCCCGACGCTACTGATACTGCTTATCAAGAACCCCCGTTCGGTCAACAACAACAGCGGGGTATGGGTGACTTTCAAGCCCCTGCTTATTAAAAGTCATCCATAGTCAATACCAAAATGTATTTCCATTGGATGCACAGCGAGCTACTTACGAAAGAAGACAATTTAGGATAATTTTTCAGAACAAGATATATTGTTTCCATCACCTATTTTGCTTAAAGGTAACTTGCAATCTTATAACGCACAAAATCATCTTTCCATTTTTTTTTTCCATTTTTTGTACATATAATTTTTTTGTTTATTATTACATTAATACTAATCAAGAAATATAAAAGATACGTTCTATATAAATATATTTCTGATTCCGGTGAATAATGTTAAGGTATGTAAGATATAATCTTTATTCAAGATTAAATATTGTTTAATCTATACAATTTTATTTCTTTTAATATAGCTGTCATGGTATAATGTAATATTAAAGTGTATCTTTTACAGACTAAAGAAGAACTTCATTCGCTGATAGGTCGCTGGGCAGCGCGTTGGTCATAGAGTAAGTTTTCATGGCAAAGATGTAGAAGGAAGTTATTTGTTAAACTGTGCTTCTTATTGTTGATCACTTGTAAGTTACACTTATATCCATATGCCCAATGTCACAAAAAGCGTTAGGCGTGTTTGAGATACGTCATATACGCTTAAACATACATTATAATGGTGGCCGCTCTCTCTCTCTGACCATCTTATGGAAGTAAATATGATATCTTATAATGAATAACTATAGCAACTCCATAATAAGTAAGAACTAGTATGTGCACAGGCTATGTATATTTTAACGTTGTAACGTGTTCATAGTAAACGCGACTTAAATGTAACAGTAATACAATTTATTGCATTATTATGCAATTAGTAATAAACGAGATACGTGAAATTTAGGATTGAAATCAATAAGTCAACACATATGTTTTATATTAGTGAGACAATACCTAAGTTACTTAAGTTGTTTACTCATATCAGTTGTGTGAACATAATGAAATATTCCTTATATAATAGTATTAGTAAATGTATTTGCACTAAAATGATGAAATAGCAAACAAAAGTTTCTATTAACATATGAGCAAATTATATATATAATATGCATAAATTATCTGCCATTTTGATTATTGCTACATATTAGATTTTTCTTATATTTGTGAATTTCTTGTTGCAAGATTTTTGCCCATTAAATGCTTTAATATATATCAACAATTCATTAACATAAAAAGAAAGAAAACTATACATTTTTTAATAATCAAACATGTCCCAAAGAAAATCGCGAGTTCTTATATTTAATAATTCTTTATTCTAATAAATATTTATTTGATATACAATCTCAGGAATATAATTAATCAGATTTATTTATATATAATTATTTATATATGCTGTATTTCTTCATTACTTATATATGCTGTATTTATGCAAGGTGAATGCAAAGTAAATATTTAAAATCTTATTTATATATATTTATATATTATTGAAAACATTTATTTAAATTAATAATCATGAGAATGTGTGAATCAACACTCAAAATATATTATAATGATTTTGTCAGTTTGTCATGTTCATAATTTTGACAGATGTGTCATATGAAATAATGGAATTAAACACAATTAAGAATTTCTTCAGTTGGCTATAGGAAATAATTTTTTGTTTGAAGCAATAAAAATATTATATATACATATATTTACGATATAATTTTATATCTACAAAATCAAACATGTATTATATTTGCATAAATATTTTTTTGGTGTATACTATCAGGCAAATATAAATATTATTAGAAATTTATCCAGTAATTTAGTAGCTTAATAATTAATTCGAGAGAATTATACATTTTCTAGGTATATGACATTTGAATTGTACAACTTCTTTAGTGTTCATTCATTTTTAAAGACCATCATCATTTTTATGGATATTTGAATATGTAATTTATCTTCAATATTTTGATATATCTGATTTGCATAATTCTCTTGAAGAAAATATATGATAAGGTATTCTTATATGCATAATTTGAAAAGCATAGTTTATGTAAAATATTATGTGAAGTGCAATAATAATTATATTATATGTATTCCTGATAGTTCCAAAGATATTCCTTTTTGGGTATGCAGGATTAATTATAATAAAGGAAAATATTTTTTCGAGATTTAATTGTATTATTCTCTGTATTTTATTTCCTTAATAATTTATTTATCTACCTGCATATTCAAAGGGTTGGATTTTTAGATGTTTACTCTTCAAAATTGATCTCTTACTCTTTCGAGATCTTAACCCTTCCAAAATAATATTACTGATAATATTGACTAGCAGATGGTGTGATGATGCACAGATCATGCACTCGTGAGTCTTCACCAAGAAGGGTTAAGACAATAAATGCAACCTAAATCTTTTAAATCTCTACCATATGATAGAAAAAATAATAATGCTATCACACTTTTAAAATCACCGTGAAATCAGAAAGACCAGAACAGAGAATGTAACGCTATCAAAAAAATGTCTATTGCAAACGTGTAAAGGAATAAAAACTGTATCAAGATCGTGAGTATCGATAACTAAATAGCTGTTGTGTTATTGTACTCTTATACATATATATCATTGCATTTGATGCAGTAGCAACGTGTATGCGTCTGTAAAGATCTGAGTGTTAGAGATGATCTAAAATGTAATTTAAAAGATAGCCAAAATACATATAAGTGATTATTTTTATGCAAGTCAAAATGATTGTATATAACAGCATTATCGCAAAGTGATAAATTATGTTTATCTTATGTGATCCTGCCGTGACTGCGGATTTTATTGAGTATTCTAGATTATTTGTTTCCAATGCAAACGTGTTATAATTTCCTTTTTTTACTTGTTTCACATATCACACATTTTTTACATTATCTATATATAATCCCTTGCAAAGATACACGTTTTAAATTTCACAAAATATGCTGACAGTAAGTTATAAGAAAGACTTTTTAAAAACGCATAAAAAAAGGCATATATTTATTTCATATATGCGGTCGCTTTTTCTAACAATAATGTGGTTTTTTTCCAATATACAAAATATGTAGTAATATTAATCTACATAATGTTTACAGTATTTTACATTTATTATACATAACGATTTATTGTACGAATCTATATATACACAAAATCTGTCGTATCGTTTAAATTAAAAATGTTTTATAACTGTTTTATAATTTTTGTTTTATATCTATTACACCTGCTATAATTGTATAGCACATCTTGTAAAATTTATATATTCGTGAAAAAAATGCAAGATTTTACTCCCTAATAAATTTTTGCGTGCCTAATATAAATTTATTTAAGTATATAAATTTTTTTTAAGCTTTTCAGAAATATATTTAGATAGCAATAAGTGCCAATGGAATTAAGTTTTTACTTCATGTAGTGATAGTCTTTAATTTCATTTAACATCTTATACAGATATTTAATCTATTTTATTTAATTTTTACAAAAAAAAGTCTTGTGTTCAAAAACATTTATTTTTTTTTATAAAATATTTTTAAGCAGTAAAAAAATTATACATTTCAAATCTATTTAAAGATTAATTTGCAGTAACAAATTAATCTGTGTGTTTCTATTTGTATAAACGACAACAGTATTCTTTTAGTGCAGATACACATAAAACTCAATATTTGAAAAACGTATTTCATGTTTTTTTGTGATGTTTTTGACGTTTTATTTTTTCTTCTTCTAATTCACTGAGTATACTTGGTATATGTTCTAGAAGATGTTCACTAGTGAGCTTAAAGTCCTCGTCAATCCAAATTTGTTTCAATTTTTTTAAAACTAGGCCGATTATCTTTGGATTCGACACATGTTCCTTCATCATATTGCCGTTGATGGGAAATTTCGGAATTTTCCATTGTTCGACTTCATCCAGAAGTTCCATGGCGCCACGATATCTCAATACCTCCTTCACGTATTCTCGATAGATTTCATATCTGCCTGTTGACTGAATAAGGATCAGTTGCTGATAAGGTTTTAATGGTTTTTCACATGGTATGTACTCTCTATGTTGCATCAGAAAAAATGCTAAATCTCTGTCGGAATTTGACAGTTTCAATCTATTATGTACCGTCATTACTTCATCTTCGTTCCTTAGCATCGACACGATCAAGGATATGGGTTTCAAAGTTACATTATTGGACAAGGCGCGTTGATAAACAATTCGAAAATTTTCTACGACAGGTTCCTCAGGTAAACCGATATGTTTACTGGCGCCGCATTCGAGTAGTTTCAGAGTCAACTCTAAGGCAAAATTGCCCATCAGAATTTTATTCCACTCACTCCAGATTCTTTCACCAGATATTTGTGACAGACCGTCGATATTTTCTTTCAATGCCTTTATCGTAGCCTCATCATGTTTATCAGGACTGTCCATTATTCTTCCATAGAAACGGAAGTACCTAGTATAATCAAATAATGCATAAATTTAATATAATAAGTTTCAAATATTTAATAAGCAACTTAGATTAATATTTAATATTTAATACAAGATACATATATTATATTATAATATTACATAATCATAAAAATGATTTGATATGTATATTATGTATTGATGTATGCATTTATAGCATACCTGAGGATTCGAAGATAATCTTCACGTATCCTGGTATCAGCGTCGCCTACGAAAACCACTCGTTTTCTTTGCAGATCATCGTAACCATAAAAGTAATCATACAATGTACCATCGAGATCGAGAAACATGGAATTAATAGTCAGATCTCGTCTATTCGCGTCCAGTTTCCAATCTTTTGTAAATTCTACCTGCGCGTGCCGTCCATTAGTCAGGACGTCGATTCGCAAAGTAGTAATTTCGAAGTTCTCCTTGTCGTTTATTCTCGCTGTTATCGTCCCATGCTTCTCCCCTTTCTCATTTATCATTCTGATCTCCTCCTTCGTGAACATCTCTTTCATCTGCTGCGGTGTAGCATCGGTTGCGAAATCAAGATCTTTGGGCTGTTTACTCATGAGAATATCGCGAACGGCACCGCCGGCGATTCGTAATTCGTAATTATACTTCTTGAATAAATTCGCAAGGGTCTGCAATTCCGGTGTGAAAACCGAATGAAATTCCGGGCAATCCAGCTTCATGATGACGGGATCGGTTCTCGACAGCACATCGAAGTTTTTAACTTCCATCCAAGTCCTTTTCGTCCTTAAGTTTCTCCTTGCAAATTTATATCTCTCTGTCTAAAACAATAATGAAAATAATAATCATTTTATCTGTCACATTTTTTGCATCTTGTCTCTGTAGAATTATTCGAACAAACCTGCCAGCATTGAAATCAGCTGGGTATTTGACATAACCCAACTTTGACGGTTTTTAATTTTTTATCTATGCTGTAACAGAACGATTATTTTACTTACGATTTTGCGATAAAGGAGTCCGCTGAGCCGATTCGTTACTCGCCCAGCTAGTACACTTAACATAATGTGTACGCGTATATTAATTTTATTATTCTTATACGTAAATCGCACGTGTTGTCATCACTCATCTCGTGTCATCTGGCATCTCTACGAATTCAAATAGCTTTTCTTTCACGAACAGAATATAGTACATGCGTAGAAAATTTGCTATAATTTATTAAATCCCTTGTATACTAGACATATATATTTTATGTCATTAAATATAAGAAAAAAATAAAATTAATAAGAAATAAAAAATACAACGAACATGTATCTATGTAAACTCAAATTCTTTCAATTTCAAATTGTCGAGCGCAAACTATATTAAACTATATTTCCTACAATATTTTTTTATTCACGTTGCGGGAGACAGTGAAGGAGAAAAAAAAATTTAGAAAATTTTTCAATTGTTTGAGAACACATAATTTAATTCAGAAATATTTGACCGCAGCAATACATGGTGTAAAATCGATGCATTTTAATCTCACACGATCTCTGATCATTTATTCCGTAATGTTAATTAAATAAAAGCAAATTTGATAATATTAAACTCTTTATTCTCCTTTCATTTATGTACATTACCATTTAGTACAAAAGAGAGTTCATACACACAAGAATTAACGAGCTTTTCTCGAACGTTTCTCGAAGGACATGGATTTAACATCATTTTACTATATATATTCTATATGATAAAGATCGTGTCACATATTTCGCTCAAATTCACCAACCAGTGTCATATAAACATATATATATTCATATATGTGTTCCAAAGAGGATGCAATTTCCGCAATTACGCATAAAAAGTATAAAACTTATCCACATAGTGTTTTGTACGACATGAGCATACAATTTGGTTGTAAAATGTACAACAGAATTTTACATATTGTAGCTGTAGCATTAAATGTATGTGTGTGTATATTTATAATAACACAATAACATTTCCCAATATTAAAATTTCCACAGAGAATGCCTGTTTTCATTATTAATGCACATAATCATTTCTTTAAAATCATTGAAGAACAAATGTAAATGATGATGATGATATGATCAGATTTTTTTTCTTCTTTTTTTATATTGTGTTCTAGAATTAATTTTATATTTTCATCAATTAAAAAAGCCACTATGTATTAATCTTCAAAACGGACATCCACTGTATTTTGTCAAAATTTTTTATATGCACAAAAGTTGTAACTATATGGTATGCTATTTATATTTACCGATGTAAAAACTCATGATTGATGATTATATCTCTATTTCAACGCATTATACATTTTAAAACATCAAGTGCCTTTCAAAAAAATGAAGATTTTAAATATGTATAGTATATGTGATCGCATCCCCTTCTCAGAAATAACATGACAGATTCACACATGCTTCTTTTAATACAGGTTTGTATTTCATTAGTATCATTACATGTATATGTGTGTGTATAATGCAATAATATATAATTAATCATTATACATGAACTGTGAATTAACCAACCGTATTTGACGCTAAACACGAGATGTAAATATGGTTTACAATATTCACGAGACAGTGCACACATTTTTTTTCCCGAAATATACAAATAAAATGAATTATAGAGAGGGATTTCGATGTTCTACAATTCTCTCGTATCATTGAAACGTAATATAAAAATAACCCTTTAGAATAGTAGACACATGAGTGAAAGGCAACACAAGCTTAAATCAGATTCACATACAAAGATGACGCGCTCTTGGGGCAATTTTATATGATTTATATTTACATTAATTTGCTGATCAATGAAAACATGTGCATCATGTGTATATTTGTATATGTGTGTGTGAAATCATTCGTTTATAGAGTATAAATAGTAACCAAGTTACCGCATATCTTGCTTATCGAAATGAACTCGTATGAAAAAGATTTCCACAGGCCATTTTACTTATCTATAATAGTAAGTTTAAGAATCTATTAATTTTACAAGTTCAAGTGTTGCTGGGAAAATACACAATTGGCGATCCACTTTCTCTTTCATGTATAGCGATTCGAATTGCTCTTGAGCATTCTTCTGTTCTTCTCTGGATTACAATGTCACACTCTCTAAATATGACCTTATCATACACTAATTATATTTCCTAGTTTAAGGATCGTTGATCGAGATCTCCGAATCCGAATTGGGGAGGCACCGCAATAATGTACGGCCATACATTCTCTGATAAAGATCGTACATCGTCGAGCGCCTTCGCATATAACGCACAAAGATCGTGTCTAAACGTTAATATTTGTGGATATCAATAATATCGAGTCATTCAATTTTTTACTTATTCGATACTTCATTCATTCGTTCTTTCTCTCTCTCTCTCTCATTCATATGTAAACAGATAAATAAAAATATTACGCTTATACAATAATGAATTATGTATGTACACACAATACATGTTGCGCTCGTCAATATATATTTATATGTATATACGTTGTTTATTCACTTACCACTCAGAAGATAGAATGTGTTTTAAGATTTAAGAAGAGGCGCCTAACGATGAAGAAATTTCTAATACGCTAGGATTGCCAATACGTGATCAACTCCATAAAGTCTTCCTGCAAATTTCACTAAGTTCAGTTGTAAGGAAACAAAGATGAAATGTTGATTTCATTGACAAAATCGAATGAATGCACATTAATATAGTGATATTTAAACACGAGATTATTTTCAAGTTATTATTATAAAAAAATCACACATGCATATCATTGTGCTTTCGTACTTTACTTACGTAGGTTTTGTTATCTTGGCAGAAGAAGTTTTCTTCTTGTTATTTCGACATTTTCTTACATATGCTTCTATTAGATGCGCTATCTTTTTAGGATTGATTTCGCCTGTTTTATTATGGCATATCTGTAACATAATTAAGATCTCTCTTGTCATCTGTATTGTATGATTGGATTTATACATATTTAATTCTGCAATATTGTCTTTAATTGTCATAAATTACAATGAATTTAATGTGTTCGCACCTTAGGTACAGCTTTGCGCATGATATCTTTGTATTCTTCTTTTGTCACATGTTTTTTGGTGTAATGGGGTTTGAGAACTAATTTCACTTCCTCCACTACTCTCTCTTGCCGGTTTAGTTTCTTAAGAAACTGTAATGATAAAAGCATAGGTTTCTATACTTTCGCACATTTAACAATTTACACATGATATTTATGTAAAATTATACATTAATATCATTGACATACCTTGTCCTTGACTTGCATTTCTACAGCAGAACTAGGAAGATCGTCCAAGATTTGGAGCTGATTTTCGTCCATTCGTACGCCAACTTTGGGATTAGTTGCTATAAATATGTAATTTGCATTGATGAAAACTTGTAAAGAGAATCAAAACTTTGAACACCTAACACATTTGTTATATAAATAATGGTATATATTATATTATTCATATATAATAATTATTAATGAATTTGATATATCATTTGGATAAAAATACATACACTTTTTCGTCTTTTCCTTAGCGACTTTTTTGCTTCTATTCTTGGTTGTAGTTTTGACGGGAGGCAATATTCCACTAAACAGTGCATCGAAGGCGTCCTTCTTCTCCGCGCTTTTGTTAACCTTCGGCGCGGTAGCTTTAGCAGCTGCTGGTGGTGGTGCGTTTGCAACGGGTGAGTTGTTGAAGTTGGCGGGACTAGGCGGATCGAAGAGACCGTCGCTCAAAGTCGATCCCGGTGAATACGGCGATGACATATCGACGACGTTATCGTTCGTCATATCTATAGGGGCATCACTTCCGTTCTGACCTATCGTCGAACTGTTTTTGTTCTGAGTAGATTTGGAAGATCGCGCCATGGTGGATGATTTTGCAGAATTTGCGAATACATTAGGGAGTTGCGGCCTGTCGTTTGTACGTTGTTTCATCTGATTACTCGGCGAGATGCGATTAGACTGCAATGGAAAAATCAGGTAAAAAGATCATAAACATAATCCGATAGTACATTTTATTTAATTTATTTCACTGAATTAACTTTAAATAATCTTAGTTTCTGTACCTGTAACAATGTTCGCTGTGTGGTATTGGTTGTGCTAGTGTTGAAGCTCCTCTGCACCGCGGCTGCCACCGTTGCTAGCACAGGATTAATGGTAGCGAACGGATTGGCAGTTGATTGCACATTCGATTGCGGATTCTGCTGAGTCTTGGGAGGAGGACTGTTGCACGATTGAGCTATGTCAGTTTGGTTCTCCGGCACAGGAGAAGCCGCGGAGACGTCCCTCTGCGGCGATGGTCTCTTGATAGTCACCATTGATATTATTTTTGGTTTCTCCATCGGTTTCTCCTGACTAGGCTGATCCTGCTGCTGGTTCGGTTCATCCAACGGCAACGGAGCGTCCACTGTTCCATCATGCTTCCTCGGCGAATTGCGCTGTGCTCGATCGCGATCATCATTCGGCGTAGCTTCTTGACTCGCATCAGGCGTCGGAGATCGAGATTTGGTCGGGTCGAAAGGATCATACGCGTCTGGTGAAGTCGGCGGAGACGTGGGTGGTTCAGGAGGTGTGTTGGGTCCAATCTTTAGACGTAGTTCCAGCTCCTCTTGTGCTCGCATCTCCAGCTCTTCTTCAACCCGCTCATCTATCATCTCTTCTTCCTCTTCCTCCTCCTCCTCTTCTTCTTCCTCCTCTTCCTCTTCCAACAGCGGATTTATTAAGGACGGTCTGAGATTGCTAGGTTGCTTGTTTATGGAGAACTTAATCTGAGGCTCTGGTGGCGTCTTTGGACCCTGCGAGACAAACTGTTCGCGCGGCGGTGATGCCTGTGACGGCGGGCATTGCTCTGGCGATGCAGCGAGCGCCTCCTGCGCTTGTTTATCATCGTCGTCGCTCAGCACGATAACATCGCGCGGAGATGGCGTTTGCTCACGGAACGGCGATTGATCCAGATCGATGACAGCCACGGGCTTCTTCGTTGCCGCGATTTCCGCCGCTTTGGATTTCTTTTTCTTGTCCTTCTTCACCTTAGGCGACTTGGATCGTTTGTCCTTCGTTTTTTCCTTCTTTGATCGCTTCGCGGAAGGTACAGAGGATTCCGTCTGAACTGATTCTCTTCTTCGGCGTTTTATTGGTGGCACCAAAGGAATAGTCTGAGGCAGTTCCGGCGTAGTCACCGGATTCGTTTCATTGTCCTTGTTAAAGCACACACTTACTAGTATGTTATCACCGCTGGCGAATACTTCCTTAGATGGTGGTGGGGTTCTGTTTCGCTTGCTCTTCCGTCGTTTTTCCATCTCCTTAGACTTTCTGCTCTCTTTCCGGCGCTCTTTCTTCTTCTTCTTTATCGCTTCTTTGTTTGTCAATATGACAGTCAAGTTCTTCGGCGATACGCTATTTAGCACGGGCGGTGGCGACCAGTTACGCGATCCAATTGGCTCTTGCTGAATGTGCGGTGGCGTCTTGGATCTCGATCGTGACCAAGACGGTGTCCATTGTGCGCTCCATGAACGTTCGTGCTCTTCTCGCTCTCGAGGAAACTGTTGCTCGTGGTCGACGCTCTTCTCATTCAACTGATCCCAATTCCTATTCCGATCTCGATCTCGCGAAATCGATCTACCCTTCGATCGGGATCGACTATGCATTTTTCTTTTGCTGTGCTTTTTCTCACGTGACTTGGATGACATTCTCTTCGGTGATTTGCTACGCGATCTCTTGCGATTTCTCGAACGACTGCGTGACTTGTATTTCTTTGTCTTATCCTTCCGTTTGTCGCGAGATCTCGACAATGATCGCCTGGATCGTCGCCTGGGTGACAGCGATCGTTGTCGTTTACGCGATAGTGATCGCGATCGTCTTCGAGAAACCGAGTGTCGTCTTGATAGAGATCGTCTACGCGAAATGGATCGTCTTCGCGAAGTCTTGCGTTTGGTACGAGATGATGACCTCTTGCGTGAGATTGAACGACACGATCGGGAATACGATCGACCGCGATCTCTCGACCAAGACAATCGAAGACGAGATCTGCTCCTGGACCGTCCCTTCGAGTATGATCGACTCCGTCGATCCCTCGAGCCCGATCGAATCTTGTCCGATGAGCGACTTCTTGATCTGCTTCGCGACTTCTCCCTGATATCTCTACCGTACTCATCCTTTCTTGGCCGAGACGGTTTCTCAGCTACGATCTTTCTCACGTCGTACCGCGGAAGTTCCTTCCTCTTCTCCTTCTTCTTACCTACCTCCTTCGTTTTTTTCTTGGAAGACTTATCCTTATCTTTGTCCTTCTCTTTCTCCTTTGATTTGGATCGTTTATCCTTATCGCGATACGGTCTTTCTTTCGTGCTCTTCGAAAGTTTTTTCCACGCAACCAGATTATCTGATGAAATGTTTTCCTTGTTTTTCTCCGTACTTTCTTTGTTCTTCTCCTTCTTGTCTTTCTTCTTTTTCCTTTTGTTGTCCTCTTCTTCTTTTTCCTCCTTGGATTTTTCACGTTCCTTCGCGTTTAGTTTGCTCTCGTCCAGTATTTCACCGTCTTCCATTTCTTTCTCCTTGCGTAACGCCAAGGCGTTTAATTCTTCCTCGAAATTTATCGCCTCATCGGTCTCGGAAATAGCTTCGGTACCTAATTCGGCGTAACCGGCTGGTGGTGTCCTACAATCGTCGAGATCATCATTCGTCTTATCTTTTGTCGGGGTGATTGGTTCTAAACCGACCTCGAACGATGCCGCGCGTCGTTCCGATACTTGCGCACTCTCGTCTCTCACAGGTAACTCGTCTTTGCAAGGAGTGTAAGCGCCATCCGAGTCCCAGTTGTTATCGATTGGTGCAGACGGCTCATCCTCCAACTTCTCCTTTTCTATCGGGAATTGCTCGATCTCGTCGTCTATAACCGTTTCCATCGAGAAGCTCGCTTTCTCCTGCCGTTGATCCGACGAATTCGGATCCTCATTAGGATCACTCGATGTTTTGTCGTCATTGTCGTTATCGTCGTTATCGTCGTGATTCACTTTGGCGGGTTTGTCACTGCTCGGCGAACGATCATAGTCTTCGCTGCTCGATTCCCGCTCCTGCAAGTCATCATCACATGCGCTCGCTTCCTCTTGTAATACATCGTTCGAATGGCTCGATACAGCTTTGCTCGTTGTTGCATCGCTGCCTTCCAAATCCTGCGAATTGCACTCTATATTCAGTTCACCGTCATCCAACTTTTTTGGAGATAGCCGAAAAGCGGACGATATCGTACTCTCTTCAACTGTAATGTTTTCATCTGCCGTTGCTGCTGGTCGCGGTGACGTTTCCTGTTCGCAATCTTCTACTTCTTTCCTACTGGGTGACGCGACGTTAACACGTCTGGATTTCATCTCGTCCATCTTTGCAACCTCCTCGTCCGAACTCTCCGAATCGATCTCTTCGCTCTCGCGTCGATTAAATCGGAGTGGCTTCTTCTTCTTGAACGAGCTTGGCGTAGCGATTTCTGTCGACGGACTCTTATCGTCTTCTTCGGCAAGTTGCGGTCCTATCAATTGATTTAATGCTATCGACGACCTTATTGCTGTAGATTCCATTGTTGACTTGGATGAACTGATAGTCTTATCGCTGTCCGGATCTCGTTCTTGCTGTTGCTGCTCCTCGATTAGCGGTGCCATCAATACTTTTTTTTGTTGAAAACTTGGGTTCTGCGAATTTATGCTATGATCGTCGGAGTGTAGTCCGCTCAGACGGTTGTTTAGTTTCAGTTTATTTCCAATCTTGAAAGTGATTTTACCGCGATGCAGGTCGTGCGAGATCTTTTTCGGTGGTATCTTGCTCAGAGTTTGTCGCTCTTTCTGCAATGCCTCGACGTAAGGATCGGCAGGTTCAGGAGGCACGTCCGGTAAATCGCACGCTTGGACATCCCCCACGATGATATCATCATCATCGGGGATATTAGGAGGTAACGGCGGCGGTTGAAGCGGTCCGAGCTGTTGCGATAGTTCCTGTTCCGTGTGCCTGGCTACATCCATAGTCTGCGACGAGTAGATGGAGAAATTCGGACAGTCTGACTGGGAGTCATTGTCGTCATCATCATCATATGCGGTCAGCCGGATGGGTTCCTGTGGCCGTTCTCTGCTTTCAGCTGTTGTCGCGGCAACTGTTGGCATCGGAGGATAACTCGTGGCAGAAATCAACAATGGTGGCATCGGTATGTTACGACTATCCAGACTATTTCGCGATGCTTGTACTTTCTCAAGCACCACCTTTTCATCTAGAGAAGCAGCAACATCATCGTTGCTATCACTATCGGCGGCAAATGGATCGTACTTGTCACCGCTCGTCGGCACGTCTTTCGGCGTATCCTCTTTATGACTATCATCGATCACCAACTCCTGCTCGCTATCGTTATCCTTGTCGCTTCTGGAATTCTCTTCAAAATCTAACAAGCCGGACGGCGGTTCCGGTGGCGGCAACAGAATCATCGAACCATTACTATGAAGTTCCTCTTGTACATCACTATCAGGCTTGGACGGCGGCTCGATATCGCAATAAATGTCACAGTCGTCGTTGTCCTGGCGCGTAGTAGCTGGCGCGGCTACAGGCTCCGGCACTACGATGCGATCATTCTGCTCGGGAGACGACGATCGATAATTTCGTATCGTGTCCTCGGGTAGATTGACTGAAGATAAACTATTGTGTAGGCGCACCGGCGGCTGCACGTTCAAGTGATCTGGTGCAACAGGTAAAGCACTGGCAGGCGGTATGTTCAACGGAGGAGGCCTGGGCCGGGGAAATCGATCCGTCGCGTGCGGAAACGGCGGTCTTGGCTCGAAACCGCCACTACCGCCATCCGTATAATTAAACGGTCGCTCGATGGGCGGCGGTGGCGGCGGTGGGAAACGCAATCGCTCATTTCGAAAATGCTGCGGATTACGGCTGCGGAACGGCGGCGGCGGCGCGTGGGCGCCGAACATGGGAGGTCCGCCGCAGTGCTCGAAATTAGGATTGTAGAACGGCGGCGGACCAAAGTCGCGGTTCCCGAAGTTGTCCCGCGGACCACCACTGCCGGTTCCGCTGCTGTAACTGTGTCTACCACCGCCCGGCGGTAACGAATCGCGACCGCCGTAGCTCTGCCCCCCATGGCTACCGTGTCGGCTATTGTCGCGACCGTAGCCACCTCGGAAGTTGCCTCGATTACCGCCACCACCACTGCCACCGCCGCAGGGATTGTTGTACATTGGTGCCTGCGTGATATCATTAGGATTGACATTAGACAGATCCAGTGGTGTGTCTACCACCTTCAAATGATTCGGCTCTTTACGCTGCGAAATCTCCTTTTCATTTTGCTTCTCCTTCTTTGGACTCTCATTGTTATTAATGCTGTGTTTATTCTCCTTATCAGGATTGTTTACTATTAATGTACCATCGGCCTTTAGTATTACGTCGTCCTTCTTCTTGGTCGAATGCCACAGCTCCTGATTGTTCATTATACTACTTAGCAGATCCATCGCGTTTGCACTTGCCACTTCATCGATTGGATTAGCGATAGATTTTAGAATGGCGCGACGTCTGATCGACGGTACTGCCGACCGTCGTTGCCGTATATTTATCAGTGGACCGTTTCCAATGGAATATTCATTATCGTCTTCATCCGATCTAATTAAACAGAAATTGAAATTCATTGAGATATTTAACTGAAACATTACTTATTTTTATGTATATAATATTTTTTTCCGAAAGATAATTTATGAATAGAAGGAATTAAATGTTACGTAGCATACTTTCATATAAATATATTCTGCATAAAATTGAAAAATAACTTGCACGATGCAAAATAAAGTATTATTAAAATCAAATGTAAAAAAAGTTGTTGCAATATTTTTTTATTTGTGCATGATGATACAAAAGTTGCAAAATATATCTTAGGAAATATTTACAGAATATTAATATAAGTAAATAGGTAGAATCGATCACTTACCCAGGTGGACTATAATTTATTCCTAGATTATTCCCAAAGAGACTGACTTGGGGTATACCGGCGCTGTATCTGGCGTTGATGAGAGCGCTTTTTTCAGGAATAGGAGTATTACTTTTCATGGTAGGTACGAGCAGCGGCACTTTTGGTTTTTTCATGCCAAGTGTAGAGGCCAATCTTCTTTTTACTGTATGTTTCTTATTCAGCACAGATGCTACAGTACGCACTCGTCGTTTGTGTTTTCTCCTCTGGTGAAATAGTATAGTAATCTTACATGTTTTTTTTATAAAGATTATGAAGATGAAATATATGACAAGTAACATATATATTTCTATTTAATATAAAATTAATATTTAATATAAAAAGCACCAAGCAATAAGAAAAAAGATAAGAAGCATTTTCTTCAACAATTTTTTATTTAATGAGAAGTTATGGGATAAAAAAATAAATTAATAAGTTAGTAAAAAAAAGTAAGCAATAGATTTTATTATACTATACCATACTAGTTTTATATTATAATTGTTAGAGAGGAAATATAAACTTCTATTATTATTCTGTAAGTTATTTTAAAAGCAAGAAAATGAAAAGTTCTATAGTTTTTTTTACTGAAATAGATATATCGAATAAGTTTGTAAATTCATTGTTCTTCAAAATTTTTTATTTACATTACCCTCGACATAAATAATTGTATTTTTTCTTCAAGATAGTACTTATTGTACATGATACAATTAGTTAATGTGTAAATATATATTCAAAACTTTATAAAAAATACTCTTTTATTTAATATATTTATATTTTATTTATGAGATTATAGTATATTAAAATATATCATACAAATAAAAAACTGATATTGAAATGAGAAATTAATAATACACATTATTTCTCTCAATTTTAATTATATAATTAACAAACTGAAATTTTTAAAAATTTTGGCATCAATATAATAAAGTTATTCAAGCAAAATTAAGAAAAAAAACCAAGTGCATCTAGTGGGAAAATCGTTTTATTTATATAAATTAAGAACAATGAGTTACAATCGAAAAATCTAATTCAATTGAATGTTACGAAGGTGGCATAAAGTATAGTCAGGAAATACAGTAATAATTGGGTAGTGTGGATCGGAAGTCCATGAACATTTAATAATGAGATATGGTGGCGTTGCCAGATGACATATTCCAATCTGAAGAAAAATCTATACATATTATAACAGAAAGATATAAGTTGCATAAAGATGTATTTATTAATTGTTATAGTTGAAATATTATAATAAAAAACCTCATGTATTTCATTACAAAACAAAATGATAGCTTTAGGTATAGCTTATCAAAATTTATAATTGTATATGTATCTGGCAATCTCCACAAGCTTAAATGTTATGTGTTAAGCTATAATTCTACATTTGAGGAGAAATTAGCGATGTACCTTGCGCGTTTTCTTTGTTCTTTTCTTACACTTCCTCCTCGATGTAGATGATGCGACTTTGACAAATGTCACTATCTCCTCCTCTTCGCCATCATCGTTCAATTCTGTGATTCGTACCTCTCGAAGTAAACTACTGCTGCTTCTCTCGGAATTTTTCACGAGCTTCTTCTTTTTTCTTTTCGTTGTTTTAGTCTTGCATTTTTTGTTCGAGCGCGTAGACGAAGAAGCATTACCTTCTAAACTAGTATTCGGAGAACGACTTCGACTATTGTCACCAATCGAATCAAGGCCGGACGAAGTAGATGGCAAATTCGGATCGATAAATTGCTCGGGAATGTCTGCTGGAGCGTCATCGCGCACTTCACGAGTTTGCACGCTTCTGCGATTGCGAAGGCTAGCAGGTACGTACGTACGATCATCATCAACATTGCGAATATGAGGAAATATTCTACGAAATATGCCTAAACCATGTTCACTGTCGAATTGAAGGATACGTTGACTGGGACGTCGTGAGCTTATCATAATACTTGGCAAAAAGTTCGTTACAAACTGCAAATATAAATAAAAGAAGGGATTAATATACTTTTGACTGCATACACTTAATTTTTTAAATAAATTCTTTTATATATCATTGGGGCATTTACATTGCAATCTAGGAATTATCTTTGCTTTGTAGAATGTATAATTTATAAAATATAGTTAATATTTTAAATTGTGATAATAGTTAGATTCGTCGAGTATGAGAGAATAGAAAGGTTCTCTCTTACCATTCTATTATTTGTGTGAATTGTACAATCTGGGCAAAACCATTCCTCTATGGGAACTGCAGTCATTGGAGGTGTTAAACATTCCAAATGGTAGCCACGATCACAATTATCGCAAAGTAACATGCGATCTTCTCTGTCACTTTGATGACATATTTCACAAAATGTTGGATCATCTTGTGCTTGATTTTCAATGCGTGGCACAATTTCTACTGGTACATGTTTTATGATCTAGAATAAATAAAGATAGAAGTGCATATTACAATTGCAATACATAAATTTGTAACTTATTAATTTCCTTTTTATATTATATAAAATACTTCTGTAAAGTTCTCTATATTATTCACTAATATTTTTTAATTTTTTACAACTGAATATATATATATATATATATATATATATATATATATATATATATATACAGTTGTGAACAGTACATTTACATATAAGTAGAAAGCGAAGAGAATTACCTCGCCTCTGAGATTGTCTCTAACATGGATGACAGTGAAAGATTGACGATCAACAGGGCAAGTGTTGATGTTTTTACTCCATTCCACTAAACAATCTAAACAAAAGCAGTGGTCACAAGCAGATGGTGTACCAACTTGCTGTTTTCTAAATGGCAGTAGGCATATAGGACATTTTTCCGATTGTTCATCACTACTATCACTGGAGTGGACATCGGCATTGGATGATGAGGAAGGACCGGGATTACCGACTTCCTCTCTTTTTTTAGATAAAACTTTACACTTAGCATTGTATTTCTTGCAGTCTTCGTTTAATTCATCAGAACTAGACCAATCACTTTGCCATTCAGTTGTGGTACTACTATCTGTAACATACATGGCATTGGATATCTGATAGATAGGGATATAAACTTAATGCATATTTTAGAACATCATACTAACCACTTTGAGTGGATTTGCTTGCCTCTGATGCGTTACTATCATAATTAGATTCATCCTCACTAATAACTCTCTGCAATAGAATAATTTTGATAAACATACATGATTATTATAATAAATTTAATTAAATATTTATATAAATGTAATAGAATTATAATACTCACATGGTTTTGTCTTCTAATCACAGGTTTAGGTACATCACTATCGTCACTGCTATTTTCTCCTTCGCTAACAACTCTCTGAAATAATGATAAAAATCATTTATTTAGAAAATGATATTTAAATCATTGTTTTATACATAAAATTATATGTTAATATATCTGATCTAAATTATCATAATTTTTCATTATATTTGTTTAATATTTACATAAAGCGAAAAAAGATTAGATAAATAAAAATTTAATTTTAGAAAGAATTTCAAGGTATAATGACTTTAATGTATCAACAATTAAGACTTTCATACGTACATATATCTTTTTTTTCCTCCGTGTTTGTACAATAAAAGAGTCATCGCTGCTATCACTGTCGCTGATGACAATTTTCTTGCGTTTATGAGTATGACGACGTACCATACAAGTATAATCACTGTCACTTGACATCTTAACTTTTCCTAAAATTCATATCCACTGCATTTCCCCTAAGAATCTGTAAACAGAAAATTTCATAATATAAATATCATCCATCGAATCTCAATTTACCTTCCTATTACTTTTCTTAATTCGTACAAAAATATTCTACAGCCACAAATTACGCTACTTATCAGGTTGGGATTACGAGTATTTATTTATCAATTATTGTGATAAAAGTTATCCAGGCAAGATAGAAGAATCTACACGAAGATTATCCTTTAGACCTTCAGAGTTATTTGGCTCGAATCCCTAATCTCCGGGAAATAATCGAATGATGAATTACTTGCTACTGCGCGGTGAGGCCCGCTCGTCACTCAAGTCGTCCCTCGCGGCGACAGACTCGACATCGAGAGCGTCTCGTCCGGACGCGGATTCTGACCCCGTCTTCGAGATGCAGGTGAACGGCGGACAGGAAACGTGCGCACAGGAAAAGTCGCCCCGCGGTTCGTTTTCGCGCCGAACACGACGATCGTCGACGCCGATAATCCGCACGATTTCGCGAGATTATTCGGCTAATTCGAGGGGATCGTTTTACGTAGTTGCTTGTATTCCACGCGTAAGTTAGCAAACGACACGGTAGAGTCTTGACGCTCGATTCCCGTCTCGTTCTGCCTTTCTCACCTTACACTCTCTCTCTCTCTCTTTCTCTCTCCCTCTCCCTCTCTTTCCCTTTTTCACGGTATCGCTCCCGAGGAAAGTCGCACTCGTGGACCGACACCCCGGTGAATCGCGAACGCGCGAACGTCAATCCCTCGATCTCGTCGAGCGAGCGAGACGGCTCGAGCCGTTCACGTTTAGGAAGCTGCCCCGCGACGTCTCCCTTGACAGCACCCCCGAAAAGGTACGCGTTCTATCGCGAGACTGCGGACATCTTGGATCGCGGACGCCGTGCTGTGTGTGATGTGTATGTATAGGCGATTCGTTGCGTCACTTCCTGTCTCGCGATGTTCGAGACGCGAAATTGGCCGCTCGCGTTGGCGGAATCCCGATTTCGCGATTGATTTACGTCGACGTGATCGAATGACCGGCGACAGCCGATGATCGGACGTGGCGAGAGGACGACGATTCGGTAAATGTCGCACGTAGTATCGACCGGAAGCGAGCGGGCCGTTGATTTGAGGAGGCGCAATTTCGATCGCGAAGTTTTGACAGATCCGTGCGAGACTCGTGTCACTCACGCGCGAATTCCTTCCCTTACGATTTTATGTGTGTTCCAGATGTATCAAGATCCTGAAGACACGAAGGACGAGAAGAAAGACTGTACTTGGTCCTCCAATTTTCCCGCGCGAATGTTCTATCATCTTCGTGGACGAGAGAGATGTTCAAGTAAATTTTTTTCTCCTAAAATATAAAAATTAATACCAATATAAAAATTAATGACCGGTATTCATAGTCCAATCTTATATTTGAGATCGTCGTAAGTTCGAGCTTAAAATGCTACGCAGCTATTTGATTGGTTGATTGAATGAGGTCTTAAGTCAACCTCGGACCAGACTTAAGACGATCTTAAATATAAGATCGGACTATGAATACCAGCCAATATATAGCAATATTCCTTGTTTTCATTAAGATTTGATATCTAGCAATATTTATTTTGGAATTTTACGTTCGAAAATTTATTATCGATGGGCTATCAAGCTCTAGTCAACTAGTAAATTCTAGAGTTTTTTAGCAAGAAAATACGGTGTCACGCAATTGGCTATCAAAACAATTTTTTTAAATCCTGAAAATTTTTCTATTTGACAGCCAATCATATGACATCCTATGAATGTATGTTTTTTACTAGAAATAGTAATGCATTTTTTTCTATGAATCAACGTCTGTTATTGGCTATCGGATCTAGTCTGTTATTTTAGGGACCGTGATTGGTTGATTACCTCCTATATATTTCGTGCATATGACTATGCCAACTACATAAATATATTATATATGGATAAAATCTTTATTCGTGGAGGGCGTTACTGTCTTTTTCGCCATCCCTTTTTCTCTTCTCTTCCTGTGGACGTCGTTGCTGGTTGAGAAAATCTATCAAAATGGGTCGTATGCACTCGCATGGGTAACGATATGTTTATTTTGTTGCTAAAATTGTTTATTCCCGACATTATTCTTGCGAATTTTGCTGCGATGCGAAAGTTTGAATGGCGTCATCGCGTCGAAACGTGGCCCACGTTTCGGCGACCATGTGTTTCTGACTTCATTTTCCGCCTTTCGCGCTAAAGTAAAATTTTATTCTTCAATTTATCAGCTATATTATACGTAATCGTCGTATTTTTAATAATTTGAGTTTCTCGAAGCAATATAACTTGGACCAAGTATGCCGGTTTTTAAGAATACCTAATTTTCATGTATGTGTATAATAATGATAATGATGCTTGTATGTGGTAGTGTATTATGGCATCCGATATTTATTTGGCAGCATAAGATTTGAAAAGTTACTTTTTTTTATTAATAACAATATACAAACATTGATTTTAAATTAAATTAGATGGATGTATCATATTGTTGTATATACATACACATATCATTATGTATAAATCTCTTAAATCTTATAAGAAAGAAGAAAAATGATAAACATTTTCAATCTTTATTATCTTTATTTTTCCCTCTTTCCTAAAATTTATGAGAAAAACATCATCCCTAATGTCTTATATATTACATTGATATTAAAAATACTTAGTTTAAAAAAGAAAAATAGTTTATTATGACATAGCTAAATGAAAAATATCTATGTGCTGAATTAAATTAATTAAAAATAATATATTTTTCTTTTCTTAGAAAGGGTATATCCCAGTCTGCGCTTCCTTATCGACGAAGTGTACCAACCTGGTTGAAACTGACACCAGAAGACTGCAAAGAACTTATCTATAAACTAGCAAAAAAAGGACACACCCCTTCTCAAATTGGTAATATTAATAACATATTTATATTATTTAATGAAAGATATATTTGTCTTATTAATTTGGCAAGATACAACATAGATTATTAATTATGCAAGAGCAAACTATTCGAGAGATCTTAAATTCTACTGAATTTGACCTCTTTAACAAAATAAGTTTGCAAGATTATAATTCAGTGGTTTTTGATATGAATATGATAACTTATCAGTTCATAATAGGTAACCACAGACACTTATAGATTATTGAAATTAAATTATTAAATTAAAAAAATAAATAAAATTATGTTTGCAGGTGTCATACTTCGTGACTCGCATGGTGTGGCTCAAGTGCGATTCCGTACAGGAAACAAGATTCTGCGCATAGTAAAAAGCATTGGCTTGGCTCCAGATCTACCAGAAGATTTATATTATTTGATCAAAAAGGCAGTTGCTGTTCGTAAACATTTGGAGCGAAATCGTAAAGATAAGGATAGCAAATTCCGTTTGATTCTCGTCGAGTCGAGAATTCACAGGCTAGCACGTTATTACAAAGCGAAAGGATCTCTGCCGCCGAATTGGAAATATGAAAGTTCGACGGCTAGTGCTCTTGTAGCCTAAGCTCTGTTTATTGTATTTACTTATATTTCAATAAAACTTTGGAAAACACTGACCTGCTTTTCCATAATCTGTAAGTGTTAATGTTAATATTTTATTTATATATAACAATTGGTATGAAAATTATAAAATAAAGTTGATGTAGTTTTAATTAAACTACAGAAAAAATTTCTAATTTCTTTAGAAACGTATATATAAAGTGTAAATTTGATAAATTTATTAATTTGATTAATACAGTGTCTGTTTTAAGCAGAAGTTATATAAAAAAATATATTTGATAATATATTAGTTCGTGTTAAATCATGACATTTCTTTGTCAATTGCAAAACATTTAATAATAAATGTACAATAATGCATATTTTGCAAATGATAAAAGAAAAAACGTTAAAATTTTATTTATAGGGCAATATTACAATATTCTTAAATATTATATTTAAGAATAATATGTGGTCCTTCACGTTATTGATTTTCGTACCAAGTGCGTGAGGAAATAAATAATAAAGAATATATGTTTCATTAACACGATCAATTGCAATATAATCACTTTGTGAAAAAAATGAGCAAATTGGAGAAATTAATCAATTTTTTTTAGAGTTTTTGAATTTTAAAAACCAAGCTTTTATATTTATCACGAGTTAGTTTATATGCATTTATTTTAATACTTTCTCTCGCACGCGTGAAGGATCATTAAAGTAAATTAATTTTCTTCTAAATTATGCTGCATATATGTATACAAGGAAATTCGATTTCTTTTATCTTAATTTATTGATTTTTTAAAGGTTGCGACAGCGACAAATTTCGAATTAATGCTTATGTGATGCTGTTATCACCGGATCTATTCTTAGCAAAGCAATGAAAATAGATATACTTTTTAATTGACGGAGTGGACACGGACATATACTCCCGCATTCCTGAGATGTCGGACAAAGAACGCTTAATAAAAAGAGCGAGAGTAATTCTCCAGATTCGTCTCGATGACCTTACATTTATCGTGAGTCCAGCTTTAAGGATCTTTCTCAAGAATTAAATTTATCTGTTATCATCGTACATACACCCTCGTACGGTACCATAAATTCGCAGCGCGGTCGAAGATAAAAAAAGAAAGGAAGTGGGGATATTAAGAAGTGATAGTGCGTCCGCGAAAACCAATATAGGACCTTTTGCAGAATATAAGTCTGCTGTCATGTGTGTAAAATGCATAATGTAATTGGTTTAATTCGAAAATTATTTTTGCGAAAATTTTCAAAGATTTAAGAAAAAAGTTTATTTTAATTACAATTATTATTTCTTTATTTTCATTTATTTATTAAGACTTACTTTCTCATGTTTTTTAGATACATATGTATATGAATTAAGCATTCCAAACATTGCTTTTTAACTTTTCACATATGTATAAGATTTTATTATTTATAAATATTTGTATTTCAAAATTACGCATTATTATATATTTAAGTATTTTATTTAAGTATAAGTAAATACAATAAAGATTAAGCTACAAGAGCACTGGCCATCGAACTTTCATACATATGTATTATCTCCTTCCAGCTTTTTCTCCACGCATATCCATTCCCTTCCTCATCGCTAAACCGCTTGCCGCCTCCGGCCCTGTCGGGAGTTCGCTAAGGACGGAGGCGGCGGGAAAAAGACGGAGATAAGGAGAGGCGAGGTCCGGACAGAAGACATCGAGGGACAGTTCAGTGGCCCCTCCTCCTCTTCCCTTCTTCGCGCCGCGCCTTGTAGCAAAGGCCACCAGCTCCTTGTCCTATTTTTGACGTCATCAGCGGTGAAGGTAGACAGCAGGGGGTGGCACGCGCGCATGCGCTCGCGCGCGCGATTCGCGGAGATGGTGAACGTCCTGGCTGACTCTCACTCGCGGCGGTGCGAGGCGATGCAAGGTCTGCTGCGGCGGTCCACGACGGTGGCGGCGAAGCAGTGAACGGCGATACGTCGCGCGAAAAGGAGGCTTTCGGGCTACGGCCAAATTAAGGGCGCGCACCGCGTTTAATCGCGATCAGCCGCCGTCACCGGCTAAGGATCATCCGGAGTCGTTGTTCGCCGTTGCCGATGATAGCGTCCGTCGAGTGTCGTCGAGTATTTCGGACGACGGATCGCCACACACGGCCGCGTCGACGCGACTTTCGCCGATTATGGATAGGAGAGAGCGCAGTGACGAGCGCGAGTGCCTATCTCGAGTTTATTTGTGAACCGTATTGAAGACAACGGAAGAGGAGGCGGTCGCGGCTCCGTGCCGTGTTCACCAGGTGCTATCACTCGAGAGGTACGTAGAGGAACCCGCGGAATCGCGCGCAATTCGGGAAACGTGCGCAACATATGGGGACTGACAGCAGAGAGAAAGGGAGTTTTGACGGGGACGCGGCGACCTCGCTGCAACGCGGGGGTGGTATCCCCCTCCCAGCGGAATGCGATCGCAATTTCCGCGAAGATCTAAAATATATTTTATAATAATAATATAGGAATATAAGCGGGAATATTAGAGACATAAGATACATATATAAGTCAAGATACAAATGTATGTAAATAATGTATATCGCGCGCGATGATACGTGGAGATAAAACTTTAATGACAGTGGACATTATGGAACTCGCTGCAAGCGAGCGCGACATTTGCTTACGTGCAATACATTCCTGCTAAAAGACGCGAAGAAGGAGAACGATCAGGAGGCGAGCGAGCGAGCGACGTGAAAGTGAGTTTTGTTCGCGCATTGCTTGAATGGCGATATAGTTCGCAAAGTCATCTACGAGCTAGTTGCAAACACGAGTCTTCTTCAGCTTGTATCAATCACAACTGATCGCATGCTCGCAAAATTTAACAATGCATTGCATTTATTTTTTTTTATACGTATGAATGTATGTTTGATTTGACGTTGCATTTTCTCTCTCTTTCTCTCTCTCTCGCAATTCGTTACCAGCGCCGAGCTTGTCGGTCGGGAAAGCGGCCTCGCTGGCTTTTCGCGAGCGTGAGCCGCGAAATTTCTGCCGTTGGTATCGTTTTCGTGCGAGAGCGTAGCGTTTCGCGGGCCGCGACCGCGATGCGATGTTGTAACAATTTCCCCCTCACCGCGTTCTTGTGCTCGCCTTTTCTCTTTCGGTAATCGTGCTGCACGAGGCGACGCTCGAGGGAGAGTCTTGGACGACGAGCGCCATTGGTCTTAAATTCTAATACAGATACACACATTTCAAGATATAAAAAATTGTTTAATATCCTAGACCTAATAGCTAAAATGTGGGTCCATAAACACTAAAATTAACGACTGTAATTAACGTCTTAATAACTTTTACATTATATAGAGATAAAAAGCAGAAACACAATATATATCGTAATGTTTTCGAGAGATGAAAGATCCGGTCCTGGGGGAATCCCGCGGCGAGCGGGATCGCGAAAACGGGTATCGGCAGGGAAGGAAACCGGTATAATTTTGCTGAGGTCACGCATTTGGGTGGACCAATAATCATATTTCCCCATGAATGTGCAAAACGTGAAAAAGGGTGAATCTTTTTTTAGCGCGTAATCACATACCATGTGGAAATTAAAAGCGAATCGAAAGTACCCATATAATTTACCGAAATTAATCTTGTCGACTTTATACCGGTTTCGAGTTTCGCGTCGCGCCACGTCGATGATTGCGAGATTGACTTTCGCGCAAGCTGCGCTCGCTCGCTTCCGCGGCACAACGGATTCCTTGCTTTCTATCGAACGCCAAGAAACATACCAGCTCTAAACGCGCTGGAACCCGCCTTCACGCTCGACGTATCCCTCGGTCGCTGGATGTTTACCCTGTTGGCGGTACCACGGACCATGTCTACAATTTCTTTTCTCGTTCGGCCCCGGCTGACTATATAGGCCAAGGAAACAACGCGGTGAACGCGCGTTCGGAGCGACCGCTCGTTTTTATTGGATCGTCGAATTTAAATTTGTTGGCGTCGATGATGAAGGGTTGATTTAACAAGATTTGCGACTAAGAGATCCGATTAATGACGTTATGATCCTCGCGCGAAAGTCCCACTCGCGTATAAAAATATATTTCCAGTCCGAAAATGTTACAATTTTAATTTAATTGAATCTATGTCAAAGTAGAGAACTTATTTTTTCTATATAATATTATTAGAATGCTCAGATATTTTTAATACCGTTTGTAGATACATATCAGAAACAAGATTGGACGAAAGGATTACGTATGTCTCTCATATGGGACACCGATAATCAAGACACTGGAGGATTTAAGAAATTTGTGGCCAATATTAGAGGGAGAGCTGTTCGTGTCATCGTTCATCAACGGGACTATTAAAACAGAAGGATCTTATTATACGAATGACTGGTCATGGGTTTTCCCCAAGGGAGTCTCACAAGAAAGTATAGTCACGGAAAGTGATAGTCGAGCGCTGCTTTTCATCATACGACGACGAAAAAAGGGAACGAATCTTCTTCATCGACAATTTCGATAAGCTTATCGCTACGTAAATTAGGCGAGGATATCAGATCCTATCGACGTTATCAGCGTAAGTTTCGCAGATTTATGGCGCGCGATAATCGTAAAGAGGAATAATCGACATGTTTTAGCATCGCGGCGTGCGAATCGTGATAATTGCGATTTACCGTCCTCGCATCCTCGTTTAATTCTCGCTTTCGTTCAATCGTAGTTTTGTTGTGTTTTAAATGCGTAAGAGAGTATTTCGCGATGGCCCCCGTCGCGGGGTTATCTCCGCAAAGGGTGTGTGCGTAAATGCTTGACCGCTGCACCGCGCGGCCGAGTATAACCAGTTCCCTTCTACTGCTTGAAATCTCGCTGTTGCACTCATCGAAGTCACTTGGCGAGTTGACTGAGACTTTGCGAAAGAGTAAGGAGGGAGAGAGAAAGAAAAAGGAGCGCGAAAGCGATATGGACATGAGCGAGAGAGAGAGAGAGAGAGAATGAGCGAATGTGCGAACGAGTAGGTAGTGCGTGGTAGAATGGCGAATGAAAGAAAGAGAGGAGGGTGTAAAAAGAAATGTTAACAGAATTATCAAAGAAAATAACAGGGTGAATAGGTGAATTAGATTCACACAGGTGACAAAGATTCCACTTCTTTTCGCTGTAAATTGAAGAAGGGATTATAAGAAAGATAGGATATGATAGATAAGGTGAAAAAAACGATTAAGAAAACTAGTCTTTAATCAGATGTTAAATAGCGAGGGCAGAGAAAGCGTGTCGCCAATGAATGACAGAAAATTAGATATATGAAGACTAATAAAAAATAAAATTACAAATTAGAAAATACTTTCTCATTTGTAACTTTATTTTTCTTAATGTTCATATATCTAATATATATAATAATATATATAATATATATATATATATATATATATACACACACAACACACACACACACACACACATGTATATAATAAATATAAAGAGCTATATGAAGACAGTGTTGAAAAGTGAAAGGAATCGCAATAAAAAGCAAAGAGGTGATGAAAATTTATGAAGAGAGTAAATGCAACAGAATGTAAAAAATTAAGGAAATCGAAAAAAAAGGAGAATCGATAAGATGGATAAAATCTCTTAAGAGAAGACATATTCATGATATCGTCTGCAACAAAGACAGAGAGGTACGTGAAGACAGAAGTTGAAAAGTGAAGAGAATCGCAAAGAAACGAGAAAGAGAGACCAAGAGACACGGTAAAATATTCGTCGAGAAAAGAGAAAAAAGGAAAGAGGCAAAAAGGAGAAAAAGAGCGTGCGAATGTTATGCATGTATGTGTATGTCCGCGAGTACAAGCACCACATCGAGAGAGTGAGCTACACCGCCGATCTCTCGTACAAAAGGTGGGGATCTTTCTCGGTGTACACTCCAGGCCAGGCCATGCTAGACGCCGCCGTTGGTCGTATACAACAGCCTTCGCATTCTTCGGAGAAGTGAAAGCAGTTTCAGGGAAATTCTGGTGGCGGCCGGGCGTTCGTTCGCCACAGGCAAGAATCGGTCGTGTGACGTTTCTTTCGCCTGCGCCGCATAGTGGTTCTCGCGACGCAGTGTGACCCGGAGACCCGATTTCGGGAGGAGATTTTTCCTCTTTTCTTTTCCTCGATACACATGCTAATCCTGGATGAAAAATCCCATTACAAGATCCCGTCCTGAGGAGATGTATGCGTACGTGTGCGCATAATCGCGAAGCAGATGGCGAGCTCGGACGCAACTCTGTGCCCCGCGGTGAGATAATGGACAAGCGTCATGAGGCACCTACTACGTGGAGAACGTTGCGAAATCATCGTCGAAGAATAGAAAAGCGCTTGTGAGTCAGAGATTTCGTGGATTCTATATATTCTCTCTCCGAGAATATATTTCCAATTCTTTCCCCGAGTATGTAAGGGAGAACATCTTGCTCTCTTTCATAAATAAAGGGGGAATTTTACCGTAGCCATCGTCGCGAAGAACGATCGCTTACGTAAATGTTGCATCATTACGCCAATTATTTCTTCTTATCTTCGATATTGCTGTAAGAAACGTTTACCTTACTAGAATTCTGATACTCTCTTGTGGAGAACCGATTAACCGAGTATTTGATAATTAAAACTTATTCGTTTAGAATACAAAGAATGAGATGGAGTATCTGAAACTCTCTAGAAATTTGAAAATGTGAGAAAACATTATATTAAAATAATTTGTATAATTTTAAAGGATATCTTGATTGATAGCCTGATTCTTCAAATCAAAGTCAAAGAACAGCTCTTTTTTTACCGTTAATACAATTTAGGCAACTGTTTAACTTTCCGACTTACACCTCTCCTCTCCAGCGACATTCGCCACTTTATCTCACTGCGGGTTGAGTATTCGCGTTGATGATTTTTTTTCTGCCGGTTTTTTGTCACACGTCTTTTTCCGATGAGACATCGACCGATTGTCGCCTTGGCGCGCAAAATTCCACAAGTTTGTGAGCCAGGTGATCGGAATTCGATCTCGCGACATCACGATGGCGACAGCGCTTTCGGGGATTTAACACGGAGACATCGATTCGTGCCGCAACTACTTAAGCGATATTACGGTACCCGCGGACGCGCCTCGACCCATACGAGGCTCTGTTTCGAGACGCGTTGAATACTTAAAGTAACAATTAAATAGCGGTACACGGTATTGACTTACATCGAGGAATAACGTCGCGCAGTGCGAAACGAGTCTCAATCATATACGTTTCATCGGTGCAGATATGTCGAAAATAATCCGATATCTAGGTGTGTACGCGTATAGTTAAGTTACTCTTAATTAAGTTATACTTCATTATTATTTATTGTGAAGAAAGTAGATGGAAATTTAAATAGAATAAATTATATAATTGAAGAGCTCATTTTCAAAGCATATTTCAAGTTCTTCTTTTTAAATACTAGACATTATTAGAGAAAGTTACCAAGCTCTTCTAGAAATAATTATATATGTATGCCTTAGTAAATAATATATGTATTTTTTTTTCAAATATTTATTTGTGAAAATCTAATGGTTCTTGTGAATGAGCACTTCGATTTAGTTTAGATTTTAATTTATGCAATAAGAAAATATAGTATAGGAGATATATGTATATTTTGCGTGATAAAAGAGTGGAGAGAAATGAATCGCGCATGTTATACTAACGGATCTCTTTCGAGAATATTATTTTTTCTTCATTGATATACAGCCATAAATAAGATATTCTGCGCAAAAGAGTAGTCGCGTGAAAGCCAATTCGGATGTCAGTCATAGCCAACCGATACCGATGCGTTTAATAACAACACTTTCACGAAGCTCGTGGTAAATCAAGCGTACTACTCCACCTGCGCTATCGCTCCGTTGAATCTGTTTTGTCCGCTTTCGCATAATTTTGTTGTTTTTTTTTACATTCGAGGGAGTGGCAAGCTCGTTTCCTGATTTTTCCGAACAAGATGCCTACGGCGATATAATTTCCGATATAATTAATTAGGACGAAGAAAACACACACGTGATGTTTTGTAAATTAGACACGTTCTCTTGATTGGTCGAAATCAAGTATCACTGATGTCAAAATCGTCGATTTTGCAATGTCTTACAAAATTAAAAGTGTCGATACTAATGAGAATTCTATTCATGTAGCGATCGGCTGTCAATCAAGGTTCCATGAAACAAACAATTCTTGATATCATTTATAGACATGTTTACAGCGATAATATGAAAGCTTAATTTTTTCGACGTTTATTGCAAATAAAAAAATACATATCGTATATTATATACTCTTTATATATTTTATATATTTTATATATTTTATATATATATATATATATATATATATATTTAATTGTATATATTTATATTTTTATTACAAGGATAAATGATATAGATATGTAGTTTTTGTAATAATATAAGAATGTCCATTAATGTATAAGAATGATGCACTATATGTGTGTATGTGTGCATGCATGCGTGACTTGAGAATATTATCTTCCTCTTTTCAAAATATACTGTAAACATTGTGGTAAGATATATATGGAAGTCCGTTATGGAAGAATGAACGCTGGAGAAAATAGTGAAATGGCGTGTATTCTGAGATTCTGCGAAGATCAGTTGAAATGACATCACGTCGGCGAAGCCGGATTTAAGTTTCCGCCCACCACGTGCGTGCTGCGGATTACGTTATGAGCAAGCCGCGCAAATATGTGCCGTAAATCGCGCCAGCGATTTTTTTTCACCCTCGCCACTCGAAGAACGTCTTGTGCTATCTGCGGTGAGAATGAGTTGGCAGAATGGCAGAATAGCCTGATATCCCGTGTTGAATTTTCAAGCGCTTGAGCTCGCTCAGGACACCGAGTCCTTTTTGGTTTACGTCGCGTTAAATGTCTGTCCTGTGGAATGCACCGCGACATTCGTTATGCAGATATAGTCGCGCTTTCGCATAAAGCCTATCCCGTTTGTTTGCGAGAAAAATGAGAAAATTATGAGAGACGCGATGTCATGAATAATGAGAGGAAGAAGTATACTTGTCGAATAGTAATGTCCTTCTTTCTTTCCTTCGGATATCAAAATTCCTGATCAATTTTTTAATTTTTAAATATGTATAAATTAATGATACGATGAAAAGCAAAGCGATTTATAATAATACTTTTACGAGTGAGAGCAAGAGATTCATTATATAATTTTGATAGATAATTATAAACGATGATTTTCATTATCCATTTCTTGATAACTTTTCTTCTGAATTTCTTGATAAATTAGAAATTTTCTTCGACGTAAATGTTTTGAAGGAATTATGATAAAGATTGTTTTCTCTTTACGTCTGCTTTCAGATTGAATACCAGGTCACAAAATGGTATCGAGGCGGAAGATACTTTCGCGCTCGCGAGATAATCTCGTGGAATCGCAATACGAAGAACAAGACGAGGAGGATGTATGGTATAATTTGGATAAATTATACAAGGTAAATTTTCAATCACAATACATAATAAACTTGTGAATTTTTATTTAAAAATAAATAAAATCTTACAATAAAATGTTATTTAACAATATAGTTCACTAATATATCTATGAAACAGCAATATTATAGTATGGTCTTTTATATTCGTAGGATCATATACAAGAAGTTTTAGATAAATGGAATCAAATAGATGACGAAATTTGGGCGAAAGTCATCGTCTTCGAGAGAAATAGACGGGTTGCGAAAGCGTACGCTAGAGCACCTGTTCTCACGATAAATGGTTCGAATGACGGATTTGATGGCTTCAGGTACGTGTAATGTGAATTTAAAGTACCAAAATTATTTATTTTATATTTTATATGGTTTCATGATTTTTTATAAATATGCAATAAATATGTATTTGAAATCGTTTCTCGAAAATCAGAAATCTTACTGGCCTATTTTAAATTACGGAATTCGAAAACTTCATGAATAGCTGATATAAATACTTTCTACTATTAAATTTTGCATAAAGATAAAATAACACATAGCGAGACACATACAAATAATTTATATTTAAAATCTCACGAATTATAATTCCGGCATATTAATTTATAGGATAGGACTTTGTGGATTTGATAATCCCATGCGAGATTCGAAAACGGAGGAGGCCAAACGTCACATAAATCAAGGAGTTAAAATAAAAATGGATGAGCAAGGCAATATACTCATCAAAAGATTATGTAAGAATAACGTGTATGTCAAGTCGACGAATCAAGAGGACAACGCAATCGGTCCGGAGATCATACGTAATTCGCAAGGCGCGCTCGAACATGAAAAACCCGGAAAGGTGAGAGACATGAATTTCATGGTTTCTGAACCATCCGTGTGTGTTGGATCTCCTTCGTGAAATATTTATCGGCGAAAGCATCAAAATGGGTCAATCACGTGGAGTGTAGTTTTAATTAGCTACCTACTTCTTTCAATAAAAAAAAAAGAAAAAAAATAACAAGCACCGCGTTTTCCTCACACACATTTTCGTGTTGGTTTTATCATGATACTTGTGAGAATACATGTTGATAGAGAAACTATTGCCTTTCTAATTAAAGTTGCAAATCGAGCAACCGAACCGTATAATAAGAAGCGTTTAAATCTCTTTATCGTCAGGAAATCATATACCACATGCTCGGTACGAAGGAGAGCGAAAAGTTCCGTCATTTAACACAATCCAAAGCAAACAATCATTCTTCTTTATGTAGATTAAAAATCTCCATTTCCATTTGTTTATTCCACATTTTCTTTATCGATAATATGCTTTCATGTCTTTCGTTCTCTAAAAAAATATTAATGCTATAAGATGACGCAACTACACTTTCCCTTTAATATCGCGGAACGCTACATGACGCATTGGACACACATTGTCATTTCTTGTTTCAGTTGTTCGACATGAATAAATTCCAAACGAATCTGTCACGGGAAACGCGAAGAGCTTATCCAGACAGGCGACGATTGGAGATGCAATGTCTGAGCGCCATCATATTCGTGAGAACAGAGGCCGACTTACTGCAATGTCCCGTATGGGTACTCATCGTCAATGTAGTCGGACTGGACATGCTCAAGTCAAAGCTGCCGCCAGGTGAGAAAGCGTGCATGACGTATATTAAATGCTACAACTTTTGTATAAGCACATAGCATTCGCACAAATAACATTCAATATTTTTTCAACTAAGTCCTATATTATAATCCCACGTTAAAATCAATTAAAGAATAATTGTCATGCTTCTTCAATTTTTCAAATAATATTTTAAAAGCATTTTATCTCAAAGATGTGTCAATCGGAGTATGATGTATTCTCTGTTTTCATTTTTAATATATGATTTAATATTGATATTATATAATTTCTTGAAAAATGAAAAGGAAAATTAATAAAGGATATGTTTAATGTATTATTACTTTGTTCTATTTTAGTTTTAGCATTGCAAAGGCCGGTAGATATAAAAAATAGACCTAGAATACCAATCCCCGATGAAGATCCTTATAGCGTGGCCGGCGTGTCGTCGTCTATAGGTCCTAGCGAATTAATACCGGCAGATAGAGACTCGCGAGAACAAATCTATATGCAATCGACGAGTTATCAACATCGACGCGCAGAAAGACCGCCGAAATTGCCCCCTCGAGAAAATCTCTACGGCCACGGTATCCCAAAGGTAAATATTCAAAATGAATTTTAGGAAAATATTAAAGTTATTATACTGTTATACATTGAAAAAGATTATCATGTCATTATTGTTTCAGCCTGATTATGATGATATAGAAGATGATTATAGCAGAGCGATAAAGCATCCTATGATGAATGAGGAAAAGCGAAATAAACACGACGATAGAAAAAAATATGGTGAGAAATAATATTTTATATATGTCTATAAGAGATTTGATAGATGATTATGTTAAAAAAATATATTTAAAACTTACTATGTAAACTTTAAATTTTTTCCTGCAAAGACATTTATATTCTATTTACAAAAAAAAAAGATTAATTATTTCATGAATCTGATCTCTTGCATGTAATTTATTAAATTTTACGTATAAAGTGCGATCATTTATCGTATGTTTCAGATGACCCATATTATTGCGGTTTACGAGCTCGTGTGCCCAATTTCGTTAAAATGGCGAGAAATGGTCACAGTAAGATGGGTCCTCTGCCTGCTCGAGGACATCCCAGGACACAGCCGGCGCCGTCTTACGCGGGCGCCGCATATGCTAGTAGTCAATCCTCTCAAATATATGGGCATTTGCCTGTCCATCGACCACCCATTATGTATCACGCTAGAAGTTTTGAAAGCGGACTTGGTAAGCAATAATTGATTATGATAATTATATTTTTGCGCTACATTTAAATTTTAGAAACTAATAATTAATCTAATAAAGTTTAACTTTACCGTATATACAACTAAATTTTATTATCGCGGCTTAATATATTTTTTTTGACATGGGATATGTAAAAGTATTAATATATAAATTTAAATTTTATACATTATATTTAAAAATAATATATAAACGTTTCATTAAATCTAGATTAATAATAATAATATATAATTCTACTTTGTTACAATATACTTTTAAATTAATAAAAAGTGATTTTCCATATGAGGAGCTAATTATTCTGAAAAAATATCGCTTTATTTTAGATTGCTTTATGACCACGTTTATTAGCAATAATTGTTACTACACTTCCAGATTCGGATAATAGGAACGAGTCACCGTATAACCACATATACGGAAGGTTACCGATCCCGACGAGAGGCGTAATACCTCCGACACCGCGTGCTATGTATATTGGAGAGTGGGATTAGATATAAGAAATATCTCGGCGTTTGTACTTATAAACTTTCTGTATATTGTTAATACACCACATAAATACTCATATTTTTATGCTAGCATCTATACGTGTTTATTGTTTTACTCCTGCAAATAAAAATTGTCAAACTTGGCATGAGCGGCGAAACAAACCAAACAATTATTAGAATTAAAAAACTGGAAGTGCACATTCATATATATTCATTATTAATAAAATAATGCTGTTACTAATGTTGCTAAAAACAGAGACTATCTATAATTTAATTAACATATCTCGATTCAAATTTTAATCGGTCTTATAATTAATGTGCGGGATAATCAAATTTAATATACGAAATATGGTATCTCTCTAAATATTTGTACATGACAAAGCTCAAAAAAAATTCTATCTAATAGTTATCTATCTAATATAGTCATTAATAATATTTAAATTGTTGATTTCTTTTTCTCTTCTATATTTCTTAAAATGCGAAAAAATATAATTTGTTCGCATTATTGCGTTTTCTTTAAATAAAAAAACTTATGTTTTCCTTTATCAACTTAATAATATACATAAATTACTATTAGATCAACGAGTTGATTGCTTTTTTTGTATTGTTTATTCTTGAACAACTAAGTATCGTGAGATATGTGATTGTTAAAAATTATAAATATTCAAATAAATAAATCTTTAAAAAATACATTTCTAAAAATAAATATTTAAAAATACGTTTTAAAATATACATTCGAATCTTTATAAAAAGGTTTGAGTCTTTGCTAAACGGGTTCGGATCTTTGCTGAGACATCATAATGTAAATCAGCTGATCAGTTGTATCAAATATTAAACACGCACAGTCATCTCGCAAAAAAAAATATATACTATGTATCAATGATTTAAGATAATTGCGATATGAATCACACTACCTCGCTTATACACGAATGCAAAAATCTTTCATTGTGTGATTGCATTTATTCTAATCATAATCTTGACGTGTTTATGCCACATATGAAAGGATATTCTAAACATAGTTATATTTGTACATATGTATATATGCACATGTGCACATATCGCACAAAGTTCTGACAAAGAAACGAGTGGTACGGATTCAAACTAGAAATGTAGAGCATATTTTGTTTATCAAGAGTTCCTAAATACAGTTGTCAAACAAAGCCACTGCAAGACATATCAATGAGCTCTCATCAACGGTTTTATCAGGCATTCTGTTGCATAAAGCAATTATTTTGCAAGTGAATATTACAGAGAAACCGATGGATTGTGCTATTACAGGATGGAGACGTTATATATTGGTTCAACCACCTGCGATGCTACTGGTGCTCGCTATGTCAATGTCAAGTAATCAAATCTTTTTACATTGACTTTTATATTGATGTAATGGCTGATATACATATATTTTTTACAGGTACTATCTTGACAGATCTGATAGTATACCGTACATGCATTGTAACATTGGGAATAAACAAAACAGAATGCCTGATACTTCACAATAATAGTAGCAGCGAGGAGGCACTTAGAATAGATACAAAAGTGCAACCACAGGCAAGTTTAATTCTGATGAGTAAATCCTTTGTTGAAAGTATTTTTCCTTCGCTCTTATCTTTGTTTCTGGGACCATGGAGTGATAAATATGGAAGGAAACCTGTTATACTTTCAGGATATATAGGTATACTCGTGTTCATGATTAAATTAAATGTTAAATATATATATATATATATATATATATATATATATATAATTTATATTTATTTAACATTTAATTTTTCTAGGTATATCTTTAAGTTATCTTCTGCTCTCTATAATGGCTAATTGGGAGGTTGTGCCTTGGTATTTTTTAATAGCTTATATCCCTATGGGTTTCCTGGGTGGTATAAGTATATCAATGTTAGCTTCATTTTGTTATATCACTGATATAACTAATAATAATGAACGGGCATGGCATTTGGCCTGGTTAGATGCATTAATTTCTCTTGGTTTGCTAGTCGGATTATTGTCCGGTCCGACAATATATAAAACATATGGATATACTGCTGTGTTCAGTGTTGCGACTGTGCTGTGTACTATTGCAACATTATACATATTATTTATTCCAGAGACCATACAGAGTCATACTTCTGTGAGTGTTTTGAAATATTTGTTAAATCAAATTGCAAATGCAAATATTTTTGATGCACTAAAAATTGGCATGAATTAATGTCATTCCTTTTATAAATAATAAAGTAAATAATCATTGCTTATTTATCTTTGTAGGGTATCTATGACATATTTGATTTTATACTTGTGAAAGATCTTATTAATACATGTATCAGAAAAAGAGATGGATTCGATAGAACATTAGTTTGGAGCTGCATAGCTTGTCTTACATTACTCTTAATTACCTTTGAAGGTACTCTTGCTATCGGATATTTATTTGCGAGTGCGCGACTTGGTTGGACTGTAAATCAGTTCTCTATTTATGTAGCTACAAATGTTGTGATAGGAATCCTCGGTACGATATTTGGTGTTAAAGTAATACGAAGATGCACAGGTATCATTTTAACATTTATGGATTTTATATTATTATATTTACTGATCATTAATAAAAAATTTATAAAACATTTACATTATATCTAGGATTTCCAGAGGCAGTAATTGCAATAATATCCGTTACATCGTCTCTTTGTACTGCCTTAGTGTGTGCTTTTACATGGCAATCCTGGCATATGTATCTATCAATAGCTGTAGGTATATTTGGTGATTTATCTCGACCAATGATACGTGCCATATTATCTAAAGCAGTACCTGAGAGGGATACAGGTACAAATCTTATCTTTTAATCTTAATAATTGAATAATTATTAAACATCAAAGTAAAAATATTTATAGATATATATTCAAATATGATTATTAATTTTTTTAACACAATCACATTAAAATATCTTGCAAGAAATATATTTTTACATCTATTTCAGGGAAAGTTTTCTCTCTAGCAACATTTCTAGAGACACTGTTACCATTTGCTGCAGCTTCCTTATATACTTTTCTTTATTCTCACTACATGCCGCCTTTGTATCCTCTGCCAGTGTGGTTTTTATCAGCAGTATTTTACGTCATAACAATTATAATATTGATATATATTCAGATATATATGAAACGCAATATTATATCTTTCACCCCAATAATAGAAGATAATGATTCAACTTGTTAACATTTATTGAACAAAATCAAATATGAATGTTTATTTCAAGATAAATGAAGTAATCAGCTGATAATGAAAATATAATATTTTAAAGCATATATATTAATAATATATGATATATCTTTTATATGTAGATATATAGATATACGTAGATATAGATTTAGAATTTCTATATCATATATACTTTCAATATATTACATTATATTTTTATATATAAAAAAAATATGATGTTATATATATAAATATAATTCCAATTGTATATAAATTTTATTTTGTATATATATATATATATATACAAAATAGAATTTATATACAATTGAAACAATATCATATAAAATAAATGTGATGGTTTATTTCATGGTCTGTGATCTAAGAAAATATTATACTCTGTTGATTATTTATTTATTATTATTCGAACATCATTAATTTCTATTACCTAATTGTAAAGAAATTTTAAAGAACATTTATTAATTAATAATATAGATTAAAATGATAAATAATTTATTTTTATACTATTTTGTAAAAATTAATATCATGTTTAAAAGAATATTGAGTATTAAATGATATGTTGGCACAAAGTAATAAAAGTTTTGAAAAAAAAATCATACAAAAAAATTTCCTTTCAAATATCTCTTCTGTTTTTCTTCTTTAAATATTAAAATATTGTTATTGTACCATCGCCGCTACTCTAATTGTCGAAATAGTCTATGCGATCACCTGCGTTATATTTTTGTTCTTTCAAGATTTTCAATAAACGCTTAACTGTCTGTTCTGTAGTCAATACAGTGTTGGTTTCTTGCATGTGTTTCAATCTTTTCTTAGTCTCGGGATTCTTGACCGTTTCACATACTATTTGAAACATATCTGTATCAACTGGTCCCGGTGAATAATTTAAGACATTAACATCGGGATTTTCTAAGGCAAAGACCTGTACAAAATCAAAAGATGCATTAATGATTAATAATTTGTTACAACAATATGATCTATTGCATATGTCGTATATGAAATACATTTAAAAAGTCATATATACATATTTACAAATACCTTGAAGAACATTTCTCGTGCTGCTTTCACCGAGCAATAATAACCACAAGCCGCATTCACTTGAATAGCAAAGAGAGATGTAATATTGATAACTACTTTCTTAGTATTTGTGCTTTCGTCAAACAAATTCATAATTACTGCGTTCAAAACAGCGGGCAGAAATAAATTTAGAGTATAATATTGTTTCCAGTAGTCTATGTCCAGCATTTCGTTTGTAAGTTTTGTAACATCGCCTATAGTGCCTACATTATGCACTACAACTACTCGATCAAATGCGTCGCGAGTGGTTTCTTTTAGACATCCCAATATAGTCTCTAGAATGACATGGAAAAAATACTCTTACAAAATTATCTCTCTAACATATACATTAGTGATGTACTTAATCTTAAATAAGAAAAAACAAAAAAAAAGAATTTTAACTCACTTTCAAAATCGGTTTTCGTCACTTCACCAAGATCCATACTAACAGTATGAACTGTTACTTTAGAAGATATATTTTTCGCGATTTCTTGTAAACTATTCAGGTTCCTTGCTAATAAAAGGATATGCGAGCCCTCTTGCAATAGCGGACCGAATGTTATTGCAATTTGACGACCGATACCACGACTCGCACCAGTTATCACCAAGAAAACTTTACCAGATAATACTTCAATCGACATGATGTCTTATATAACAAATTTACGGAAGTTAATTATTATCTTTAGATTTATAAATATGCTCTGCCGACAACTGATTTGCTTGCAATTCTTCCGTGATATTTTGTTGTTGCTCAGTTTCTGTGGTTACTTGTAGTACATCTGCCTTCAATAGATGAACTAATTCGCTGGCTGTTAGGGCCTGTATATGAAGAATATAAGTTACAGTTATTATAAGGCGAGATATATATATGTATAAGTTTACAGATAAGATGCTTGTGGAATAACTTATTATTTTGAAGGATTTAATTGAGACTAAACAACTTAATTTACTATTCAATTGCTCACCTGCAAATGGGGAGCTATATGTCGTATCAGAGGATTTGATGCTAATTCAGCTTCTTCCTCAGATTGGGGATTATTTCCAGAAGTAATTAGACGTGCAATGGAATCTTCTTTTGCTATTGACAGAGATGTTACAAGACTCTTCTTTGTTGTATCTCCTTGAAGAACTCTCAATCTAGAATCTATTACATTTAACAGAAAAAAGATTAAGAATTTATTATATAAACCAATGATGATAATCGTGAATTGATTATCTTGTTTGTCTCTTGTAATATTATCTCTACATTAATTTTTTCTCATTTATCTCTTATTTATCTCTCTCTCTCTCTTTCATTTATCTTTCTTCCATATCAAAGTGTTTTAAAAAAATTATAATAACTGTAAATTATATAATAACATTATCTTTTATGTTGTTTCAAAATAAGAATTATATATTTTTTTCGATAAGAGATGAAACAAAATATAAAACGAGAAGTAACAAGAATCTTGGAAAGCGAACACGCCTGTTTTATATATGGTATCTCTAACAATGAAATGAAGGATATGTCTTACAGAGTTTCTGTAGATATTGCTCCGAATCGGATAATCGTCGATGATATGTATTATTATCCAGAAAAGAGTCCTCAAAACGATCGTTTGGCGCGTTATCGTTGACTGCTGTTTGCACAGCTGTTTCACACCAAGGATCGTTGGTATCAGTCTTCATCTTACACTGCGTATTATTTTATATACGCCCCTCTATATCAGATATCCTTGATAAATTATGACACATACACACTTTCCTTTTTGCTATCAATGAGAACGTGAGGCTGGATTGGTTGTATCGAATAATAGAGATATGATAATTTAACGATGAAAATTATATCCTCAATTTATACTGTTTCTTAATCTGATGCAACTTTGTGAACTGATAAAAACATGAACTTATCAATACCAAGAGTGAATGTTGAAACAATGTTGAATAATGCTCTCCCGGCATTATGAATTTTTAATGGACATTCTATCAATTTCTGCATTATATAATATCAATAATACTATATAATATCAATTATAATTATTGAATATAAGAAATTATTCTAAAATATTCTAGAAATAAAAAATAATCTAGAATATTTTATTTTAAAATATTCTACATTATCTTAGAAGAATCCTTTAAGAGTGTCAAATAATTAGATAATAATTAGGCACATGTGTCTTGTTAAATATATAAATATGTATAATTAGATAATAATTAAGCACATGTGTCTTGTTAAATCTATAAATATGCAAATTCACATTTTACACAATGTTGTTTAAAGATAGAATACCTTTTTTATAAGCAGAACACAAGTTGTTTACAACTTATACTTTTAAATTATGAAAATTTTATTTGATAAAGGAAACTATCAAACATGAAAAAAATTTAGAGGAATATATTATTCAAAGAGATATATAGATTATATTGCAATAATTCCTATAAAAAAACAAGATATTTCTCTCATGATAAATGATTCTTTTTATGACCATATAAATAAATATTTTATCTTAATCTAACTAATATAACTTAAGTAATATCTTAATTTCATTTTTGGCTCTATGTGAAAATATGTGTGTGTCATGAAGATCTTTTTTATACACATTTATAGGTGATTTTATTTTTTTTGCATTGATAACAGATCACATTGATTGACAAATACAGAGAAGTAGTAGATTATATTACAGTAAAGGAGAAATATTGCATAAGCGACATTTTTCTATAAGATGCATTTGCAATATACACAATTCATTTTTTTTTTCAAATACATACATGAAATATAATTAGCTTGATAGATTCTCAAATTGTAGCATACAACTTTTACAAAATAACAAATAAACTTATATTTTATAAAAATTATAAAAAAATAAATAAACTTATATATTACATTTTATTTATAATTCACACATCAGAGCAATTCATATATATTTTAATAATATAAATCATATAACTATTAAGATTTATTTTAATTCCAGTATTAAAAAATATATAAATGGATATAATGCACTTTTTTATCATTATAATTATCTGATAATGGAATAAATATATTTTTAGCAATAATTGGAATACTCTTTTCTTACATGAAAATAGTAGAGAGAGACATATTGACTGATTCCCGGCTCTCTTTATAAATATTATATTATAATCAATTTTTATGAGATATAGTGACAAATACTGAATCAACATGTGCACCATCATATATTATAGAGTGTACATGTGCATTTGCACATGTACTCAACAATGTACAGCATATGAGAATATAACAGATATATTTCTTTGTATATATATATATATATATATATATATATATATATATATATATATATATATAGTTATGTTATTGCTATATTCAATAATGAAAAAAATGGGATACTATACATCTCCATTCATTTTCTTATGGACAAAAAAATCAATTTGTCTCTTATAAACAATTCTTTCTCAACTGTAAACTAGAACAGTATTTCCCAACATTTTTTTTTAATACATAACTCTTTTATGCAAGAAAATTGAAGATAACACAACTCTTCTAGGGAGTCTTATTTTTATAAATTTTATTTTCTCACAATATCTAATAATTTTTTGCTTTACTTTTTAGTATTAGTGAAATAAAACATTTCTTGTTTTATATATATGCACATATGCGCGCACATATATACATACACCCACATATACCCACATCCACATACATACAACAAAAAGATTTATTTAATAAATAAATCTGTATAATATGACAAATAATATAAAAATACTTTTTGTGAAAATTGAAAAACAATTATTAATTAATTTCTAACTGACAAATTAACTTATATATATGTTAAAATGATTTTACATATATACAAAAGATTATGTAATATGTAGATTCTATAAATGGAAAAAAAACTATATTATTTATGTATTACACAATTGTAATATATGTGCTTAATATAATACATATATAATCTATATTAATTATATATGTATTTAATGTACTTAGCTTGCAAATAATTATTAATTAATAAACTATTGCTTGAATAAATGTACTTTCGTAAATATTACATTTTTCTTATCTCTCTAAGAAAGCTGCATATTTGTCAATACCCTGAGTGAGAAGTACTGTTCTAGAATTACAGTTCTAGAATTACAATCAGTGTACATTAAGAATTACAATCAGTATACAAGATATTGTTCTCTGAAAAATATCTCTGACGGAATAAATATATGTATATATGTATAATACAATATACAAGCTATAGGAATGCATTTAGCTCACACTATTTGCTTATTGCAATACTGTGCTATATTGGTTATAGAAATATTCTTTCTCTTGATATAATATAATTGATGATATAATTAAGATTATAAGCTTAAGAATCAGCTGAAGAATCATTTTCTAAACCTTAAATATTGGCAATAAACGATATTAGTGCAACTGTTCTATACATACACACATACATATATACATACACATACATACATACATATATATTATATATGTATATATATATAAGTACTACTTGTACAATGTTTTCAATATCGATGTCTTACTGATTTAATTATGTTTTGAAGATACATAATAAGTCATAAAGAAGAAATGCACCTGATATTCATACAACAGATAATCCTTATATTAAAATCCAGTATTGTATGTGTTTTAAATATTTCCATCTTTTTTTACATATTTTCATAGTAATTATATTACACAATTTTCATAGTAACTATATTAAACAATAATTACATTATTTATGCATCAACCAAATATTCTTTCATGTTGTGTCAAATTCTTACTTCCAAATTTGATAAATTAATTCCCGTCAAATCCTTAAAATATGTAAAGTAAAAAAATTTCTCTTTATGAATTGTTTTAGGATTAGTCAAAATTTTAAGTTAAATTGAGATTACATTAAAGCAGTTATTACAACATTGAAAATATTATATATATTATATGAATTAATGTGATAATCATCTCTAGAATTATAATAATGTTTAAGTATCATCTATGTACTTATATTTGAAAATATGAAGTTAATTTGCATTCAGGTATACATCATAATGCAAGTATCGCATTCAAGTATACATCATAATGCTGGTATATTTTTTATCTGTTATTTTTTACCTATTACAGAGACTCTAGATATGTGTATACCATATATACATATATAGTATATATATATATATATATATATATATATATATATATAAATTTTTTTTTCATTTTAAATTATTTCTACATAAATTACTACAATCTAAAGATACGTTTTTGGGATAATCAAAATCATTTCAGCCCAAGCGCACTAAATTTAAAACAAGCGGTCAGAAGCGCTTGCACTTTACTTATATTTCTAAAGTTAGCATATCCCAAAATGAAATAAGGCTTCTTACTCTAGGCCGCCTTCTTCCTCTAGTTTGGATAAGAATTTCGGAACTCTGTAATTTGGTTCTACTTGACGTGTCATATCTATTAGGCAGAGTAATTTCTTAATACCAATGAATACACTGAAAGCATAGAAATGAATTGAATATTAGATTAATTTTAATGATGAAATATCTGTGACAAAACATTTTTATTTGTAACATGTATCCTTACATACTAGCTAATATCACATATGTTGCCTCAACAAAGTTATTAAAATGTAAAATAATTAATATTTTACCGTTTTCCTTGAAGCTTTGCATGTAAGGAAGCCATTTCATGTTTTGTGAAGAGATCAACTTCTTCCAATACATTTAACAGGTGATCAGGGGTTGACAAATTAGGCACATGAAGAACGGTATTAAATGCCGAAAGTATTTCAAAATCGTCTAAAACTTGTCTGCAAAAAAAATATATTGTTAGGAAAATAATGATTTAAAATATTGTTTTGTTTAACTGCAGAAAAAAAATTCTTATTTTACCTGCGACTAGAAGTGCATAAAATTAATAGTTTACGACCTGGCGGTGGTGACTTCTTTAATAGCACCAAAAGTGCTTGCAATGTCAGATTAGAGTATCTTGGTCCGATCGGACCATAATCTAATAAACGTTCTATATTATCAACTAAAATACAGCTAAGCTGTGAACGATATGCATCATCGAATACCTAAAATATATAAATACATAAATGATAAGCAATTATTTTTTGGCCCTGGTAGCATGTGTTAAACTTTAAGGTAAATTTGTAATATCTATATATAAGTAATATAAAAGGCGAATTATTTATTACCTTCCGTATAGAAAGACATTTTGCAGATTCAACAAAACCGACCATATCATCAGGTGTACAAACTTTAACGAATGGGAAGTCCGAATTCTTTGCAATTTGTGCGGCAAGTGCCGTCTTTCCGCTATTTGGTGGTCCTTCCAAGAGAACAGACACAAGACCAGATCCCTCTGTCGCTCGAGCTTGTTGAATGCATAGACTGCCATCGGCAAGGATTTCAGCTACTGGCTTACCCCAATTAATAATTCCACGTATTAATAATTGACTCAGTGTTTCCATGCTTGTACCAAATGCCTAAAAATTGTTTAATTATATATTTTTCAAATTGATTTGATATAACAATCATGTCTAAGTTAAAATTAAAAGCAAATTTTATTTCCTTAAAAGTAATAACAAATAATAAAATAATAATAATAGTCTTCATTAATTGTAGAAAAACAATGTTTATTCATCAGAAATATATAAGTGAATGAGAGTACTAGTAATAACTAAATAACACCAGCTTCTCTGTCCAGTATATAAATGGTTTTGCACTAACTTACCGGTTTGACATCATGTTCTAGCGCATGAAAAAAATCACTTTTAGTGATCACAAGCTTCTCCATCGCGGCTGGATCAACCTCCACTTTGCTGGCAGCTTTTATTAATCGATTCATAGCAGTGCTTTGTGCGGCTCTGACTAGGCCTTCTAATTCCGCCCCGCTAAAATTCTTAGTTTGAGCCGCCAATTCTTTTAGATCTACATCAGAAGCTATCTTTTTATAATCTCTCATTCGCGCTGTGTGAATATTAAGAATCTGGTATCGCCCATGTGCATCTGGTAAGCTGATCTCCATTTGCAGCTTTAAAAATAGAAAACTTATTTAGAGTGTGAAATAACAGCAAATATTATCATAAAATAATTATATCAAAAATGAAGAAAAAATAAGATGCAAAATCAAATTCATCTAAAAAATTCTACAATATCTTGTCTTACAAATCAAATTGAATATTATATTCATATGAATATTATACATATTTTTCAGATATTAATAATAAAAAATTGCAGTCATTCAATATATATTCAATTTTAACAATTTATTATGAACAAAAATCACTTCTAATGACTCTAAATTTTTCCATCACAGCTGAATCAATCTCTACTTTGCTGGCTGCTTTTATTAATCGATTCATAGTGCTTTTTGCGGCTCTGATCCTCTGATCCTCTAGACCTTTTAATTCCATTCTGCTAAAACTCTTAGTTTGGACAATTTTTACAGATTTGTATCAAGGTGCTATCTTTTTATAATCTCTCATTCGCGCTGTGTGAATATTAAGACCCTGGTATCATCCATGTGCATCTAGAACTGATCTAATTTTACCTCCAATCGGCCAGGTCTTAACAAGGCTTCGTCGATCATGTCTCTTCTATTGGTCATACCAATAACAAGAATGTTATTTAATTGTTCAACGCCATCAATCTTTGCAAGTAGCTGATTAACCACTGTGTCATGAACTCCTGTATTTCCAGCAACACTACCTCGAGATTTACAGATAGCATCTATTTCATCAAATATGATTATATGAAGTCCACTGTTTGGACCGAGCTAAAAATATATAAAATCTCTTAAATAAAATATATAATACATTAATTCGTTTTTATACAATGATGAAAATATAATCTTATACAATTGATGTGGTCCTTATACGGGCTATGACGTGGCTCTTATACAACGAAAAGTTCCCAATAGCTTATTGGAAACTCTTCGTATCATCTTTATTTTATCTTATTTTCTTATGAAGAAAATATTTCCATCATTATTGCATGTGTTATTTCAAATATTTCACTTTTAAGAGTGGCGATTATATTACCTAATTACGGGTGACAAAGCAATCAAAATATTAAGGATACTGATTTGAATATCTTCATTAAAGAATACTTGATTGATGCATAATAATATATAATTATTGTTTATTATAGTTACTATGAAAATATGTAAAAACAAGATGAAAATATTTGCAATAACATGCAATACTAAATTTATATATAAGGATTATCTGTTACATGAATAGATGTATTTTCTCTCGCTTTGTATAGCTGCACGCGCAGCCTGACAGAGTTTATAATTCACGTGGCAGTCAAAATGTTAAGTACTAAATTGGAAGGACTTTCACACAATCTTTAAGTAATAATATTTGTGTAATAAAATATTTAAAATATATCATTTCCTGTAAAATTTTCTGTATAATAAAACGAGTTTAATTTTTATTCATGTCTTCCATAATCAGTTAAGTCCCTTTAATACATCAATGCTTAAAGATTTATATTGGCTTGAATATTCTAATTTAGAGCCATTTCTTTCCAAGTTATGTATAAAAATCTTAATTTAAATATATATTATATTTAAATAATTTTTTGAAATTATTTACCCTTTTTTCTTCCTCTTCTGCATCAGCAAACAATCTTCTGATGTTAGCTTCACTTTCTCCAACATATTTATCCAAAATTTGTGGGCCATTTACAATCTTTGGTTCTCTTGCATTTAACATAGTTCCTATTTGTCGAGCCATTAATGTTTTTCCTGTACCAGGTGGCCCATACAGTAAAATTCCTTTTACATGTTTGCAACCCAATTGAGTGACAATCTCCGTTGGAAAGACGCGAGATGCAAATGCTCTTCTGAAAATGGCACTGAACTCCTTATCTAAACCACCAATACCCATTTTCTGGAAGTCCCAGTCTGGATTAATAATGGCCTGGCGAACAGCTTTTCCCTTAGCTTGCCCAGTGAGATTTAAGCTTGAATTTTCTGCTTTTTCAAATTGTATTAAGGTGTCGCCTAAGCAACGACCCATTTTAGTCTTTTTGGGCATTGTACTTTGGCCTGAACTAATAGCCGATAAATCAGCAGCCTCCAAACTTTTGACAACTAATCCAAGCAATTTCTTATCTTTAAACTGAAATGCCAGCTGCTGACCCACGGTGAATGCCTGGCCAGAAAATTGTAACAGAAATTCCTTGGCCATTTCATCTGTATTATATGGCTCCAAAGTAACTCTGAAAGAATATATGAACATATTAACAACAATAATAGGAAAAAGCCTTCAATACATAGAAGAAAAATATCCTCTAATTTATTAATAAACTTTTAAATAAATGAAAAATATTCAGTATTTAAAAAATATTTTATAAATGATAAAAAGATTCTTAATTATGATATAAATCATCTAGTAATCATACGTTTTTTTCTGCAAGAAGTCAGCTTCCAAAACAATGTTGCATAAACATTCTGTATTAGAGGTTGGATCAAAATGATATGGCCGAACCTCAATCTCTTGATTGAGAGACAGTGTTGCCCACTTTCGTTGAGGCAAACTGAAACCAACTGTACCAGGTGGAATCTCATGATGTGTTTTCACAGTAAACACAAAATGATAATTTGGTGCTGTAGTCACCTCAATGTGCCTGCAACAAATAATGAAAAATATATATATATCATAAAGGCAAAGACCAAAAAAGAAAAGAATACTAAGTCGGAATCTATAAGTTTATATAAATTTATTTGAAGAAATATATTTGAAGAAATATATTTGAAGAATCTAGAATAAAAATGAAATTGTTAATTTCAAATTATTTATTTATTATTAAGACAAACAGATGTATATATACAAATGTATTAATAGATATAAATTAAATTAATATAAATATCCAATTGTATTGAATTCTCAAGGCGATTTATCGCGATAAATTCTTACTTGACATCGGGAAGATCGTTAGGATTGACAATTGCACAATTTGAGAGACTGAGCTCATCTGTAGGACATCTCACTGCTTTCATCCGCTGAAAGAGACAAAATTATGTTTTTTCACATTTCATACGAGAAATGGAACGCGTGAAAAAGCTTTGCAAGGGGAAGTATTGATGAATTTTCAAGGGGAGGAAGCGAAGAAGCTTGCGATCTGTAAGAAAACATTCTCGTCTCGTGAAAATTCAAGAGAATGATTCATTTGTGCGGCGAAACATATTTTCGAAATTGCAGTCGTCGATTCGTTTTCGCGGTTCGTACTCACCATCATGGATTTTTCTTGGATGGAAATCAACAGACTCTGATCGTACACTAAAACACCACTGATAATAGAGTCTCCGCACCCTGCACCTCACCTCTGATATTGATGTAGAAAGCTACGGTCATGCGCAAGAGACAAAATGTGAGAAAACAACTGGTGTGAGTATATATGTACGGTATATATGATATAATCCCCTCGACTCCTGCGTGATGTTTCTAATTTTCCTACGTGTATGTTTCTAATTTTCCCCGAAAGCTATTAGTCATCACTAAATTTCATTTAAATTATACATTATAGGACCTTCTAATAATACATTTTCATTTTTACGCAACGAGATTCACAAATTTGATTTTGATTCACAATATAAAATAAATATACATTTATATATGTGTGTGTCTGTGTATTTTATATGTACGAAGTAGACATCACGATCTATAGAATGTTCGAAATCAATCCGTGGGATATAGAGTAGCATTAAATTAATAAATCAGGAGAAAGGAATCTATACTCCTTATCTTAATTGGCTAATTAAAAATTTGTTATCGTACAGGAAGAATTTTCGAACGCATTTCAGCAATGACGAATGCGCATGTGCCTATCCCCTCCACCACACCACGTTGTAAGCGTACCAGCTGACATCTGACGTCTTTGCAAGTTTCAAATCTTGAGAGGAGCGCAGGAAGAGCGATGCCTTTGGGTCTGTTCTTTTTAGCTGCACTGCTGCACTAGTGCAATTAGTTAGAGTGAAAGAAAGTATGTTTGTCTCTTTCTAACTTATTGCACTAGTGCAGCAGTGCAGCTAAAAAGAACAGACCCTTTGTATATGAGGTCATTTATTCGATTAAAATGACAAATATCTGATTCTAAGATCTCGAGATATGTCATCATCCTAGTCACTGCAATTCCATTTTCGATTATGCAATCATAAAACGAAATTTATTCCGAGGAGACAGATTTTTATATATATTGAGAAGATTAGGTTAGATTTACAGCTTTATTTACATTTTCAATCAACTACAGTGTATGTGTATAAGTATTTTTTTTACATAATATTCATAATAAAATTACATTCAAAAGAAAAGATTCAAATGTTTCTATAAAAATTTATCAATCTTTACTTAATTTTTATAGCTATCTTTAGACAGAGGAAATATATACATCATGGAACGTGGAAAAACTGGTATTGGTAGGGCAGTGAAAAGTAAGATTGCTCAACATCCTTCCGATCTATTTGCACTGGGATCAAAGAGTTCGCGAAATGAAAATTCTGACTCTAAAACCAGACCAGGTGTTATTCATCCAAAACCAAGTGGCAGTTCTACAAGTTCTGGTATATAACTTATTCTTTTCTCGAACAGATAATTTTTGATTAGCATTTGTGCTGTGCAAGTTATTGATTGTTGTTAACAATTATATAGGTAATGATCGGAAGAAAGAAGCATCTTCTGGATCACTCCAATCATTTCCTTATGTTCCACAAAAGAAGCCCAAGTTAGCTCATGTTGGTTCCCATCAACGACAACCTTCTTCTAGCGCAGAAGCATGGGAAGTTTTAGCTATAGATATCGATCCTGCAGATTTTGTGCCTATGGCACTTGAAGCTAATGACAATGATGAGGCTGATAAAGTTATTGGAATAATATGTGGCGCTGTTAAAACATTGAAAAATCAAAAATGGAAACCTGATACATTAATTTATATGGGCTTATTATATCTAGCAAAAATTCGCCCATCCATTTTTTCAAATGATTGTGTATTACATGCATTGTCATCTCTTTTAAAGAGAGATCAGACTTACAATTTCAAGAGTAAAGGAAATCCACTGGTTCCAGTACTAGCTGCAAATCTTTTAATGAAAGGATTTCATGACAAGAAGAACTGGCCAGAAGTATTTGTGAAGGTTCTTTCATATCATTCTATCTTTTATATTGCTTATTGTATAATTTTATCATTATTACTGACTTAATTAATTTTTTTTTACAGTTATACATTGAGGATGCACTAGGTGAACGCTTGTGGATCGATCATGAGGAATGCAAGGGTTTTGTTGATAATATACTGACTGGATTTAACACAAGGCATCCGCCTAAGTCTGTATTACAGCCAGAATTCCCTGTATTGATGCAACGAGATTGTCACAGTCCGTCTACAGTGGATGACGAAGATCTGGCAGCATCAACGATGTCATTGTCCGGGGATAAAGAAAAAATAGAATTTCCAGTGGGTCCACGGTATGCGCATTGCGTGGAAAACATAGAATCAATAGTGTTGGAAGCTGTAAAGGAACAATTAAATAGACGTCAAGCTGAGACCATAACGAGAAATTTCTTAAAGCTGCTCTCCTCAGCGTGCGGTTTTGTTGAGATCAGAAACATTGCCGTTCCTAGATTAGAAGTGTGGCTACATAATCCTAAACTAATGAGACCAGCACAGGAGTTACTTATTTATATTTGTTATAATTGCACGTCTCACACTCAAAGAGACGTCGAAGTCATAAGTCAGTTGGTGAAAATGAGATTGAAAACGAAAGCTGTAATTAATTTGTATTTAAATGGCGTCAAGGAACTTATCGGATTACATCCAGAGAATCTAGCTACTATATTGAAGCACACGATTTATAACGAATTGTCGAATGCACGCAATCCAAACAACATGCCAATGTTGGCTATAATGTTTCAAACTTTACCCGAGCAAGCGGCAAAATTACTCGCAGAGATTTTTCAAGATTTGTTAATGAACCGTGAAGATTATTTAAGACCATTACGTGCATTACTTAGGGAAATCGTGCGTGTATGTCGACATGACATCAATCTTATCGCTTTTGCTCGAACGTTAATGGCCGAGAGACCGGACATAGCTCAACAACTGCTAAATTTCGAGTTTAAAGATCGTATGTTCATGTCGATAGCGGATCTACTTTGCCTATGTATGCTCCTGGCTATAAGTCCACAAGTGAAAGAAGCGGCGACATTGTCACAACGCGCGGATAAGAAAGACGTAGCTTTACTGCATCAATTCCAAAATCTCGTAGCCATGATACAATACGAGGCTATATTGTGGCTGCAAAATTTGGCGCAGCAGGTGTACGCCGTAGGACGAAACGAATTGTTGCATGCAATGCATAAGATCTTGCTTCTAGAATCTCCCGAGCAGTATTATAAACTGGATAATTGGCCACCAGAATCGGATAGAGTGTTCTACATACGGCTAGTATCCGACGTTCCTCTGTTGCAAAGTACATTGTTGAGACTGCTAATTATCGGTTTTTCGAAGGTAAGTGCTGAAACTTACTTATTTATGAAACGAGTTTTTAGAGAGAGTAAGAAACTTGATTTTACTTTTGTTTATAGGACAATGGCATTACTCATTCGGAGACGTTGGATTTGACTGATCAATTGATACGGCGAGCAGCGGCTAATTCGACAGAAAATTTTCCAATGTTACAGATCGAAAAAATGGACATAATTGAACTTATTTTTAATCTCTGTATTTATCAACCACCAGGAACAATAAATATACCTGCAGGGTAAGTGTACTATGCATATGGCTTATGTTATATATAATCTTATCTTATATGATGTACGTTTATTTTATAGATATGTGCCACCAACGTTGGCGATAGCTAATCTCTATTGGAAAGGATGGATAATGTTATTAATTTTGGCTGCTCATAATCCATCCACAATTGGTGCACTAGCATGGAAACGATATCCTATATTGAGAACATTAATGGAAATGTGTATTACGAAGTGAGTTAATAATTTGTAAATATTTGAAACCGATTATTTTGCCCAAATAAGTCTCAGTTGCGCTTCAATAAAATACGTATTTTAGTCATTTTTCGCATCCACCACCGACAATGGCTTTGCCAGAAATCATGGAACAAGAACGCGCAAAGGAACTGCAAGTCGAAGCTATCGAAAAACAAGAGATATTAGAGTATGAATCACATTTGGCTGCTGCATCGAGTAGAATCCAGTTATCCGAACAGAATAGTTTTCTGCTATCACAATTGATCACTATGGATCCGACTGGAATCGCTAGAAGACCACCGCCGGCCGTTCTCGAACAGATACAGTCATTGAATACGTCACATAGATTGGGTCACCTGCTTTGTCGATCACGTAAACCAGATTTTCTATTGGATATTATTCAGAGGCAACAGCAGAGTACATCACAGAGTATGCCATGGTTAGCGGACTTGGTGCAAAACAGCGAAGGTTCTCTGAGTCAATTGCCGGTACAATGTCTTTGCGAGTATCTGTTGTCGACTAGCTCGCAAACGGTCGAAAAGCAGCCCAGACAACAACAACTGCTAGCGCATCTTCAGACACTGCTGACTGATCCGAATCAGGCTCAACAACATGCTTACGAAGTCTTGGAATATTTCTTGAGGAGATTAAGTAGCCAGCAAAGTAGTAGCCGCGTCCAAGCGATTACCGGATTAAAAATGGTTCTGGACTCGATACCATTCGAGGACGAGAGCATGGACATAGACGGAGAAAACGAAAAGTAAGTACTTAAGCGTATATTTTGAAAAAAAAAAAAAAAAAAAATTGGTTTTAACATTTTGTTTTTTTTTGCAGGGAGATGTGGCTTCTCCGAAAATTACCATCCATACCTCATTTCTTGTCGATACGTTCACTGGTTTCCACGGCGTTGCGTGGCGCTTGTCAAGTCGAAAATAGTCCCGATCTCGTGCACACATACATATCATATCTTGCCGCGCATACCATCGACGACGATTTGCCCGATTTAACTGACTTGGCGAACGAAATCTCCCAATTGGTCGTTGAACGTAGTACTATTATCGCGGCAATATTACCTCAATCCGAAAACGATAATCGACAGGCCAAACAAACGTTACACGCCTTTATGGCAATCTTCTGCAATTATCTTGAAAAAGCACGATCGCCTAGAGGAGAGGCTTACCAATGGTCCGAAAGTCAGGATCAGATTCTAGTGCAATGGAGTAATGGCGAGGAGTGCACTATGCATATTTTAGTGGTGCACGCCATGATAATACTATTAACATATGACACATCCGAGGATGATCCATTATTTAACAACTTATTAGAGACATGGTTTCCACTGACGGAGCAACCAAAGGCCTTCCTTGTTGATACTAGCGAAGAAGCACTACTCATACCTGATTGGCTTAAGTTACGAATGATCAGGAGCAATGTGCCGCGCTTAGTTGATGCGGCACTAAAAGATCTCGAACCGCAGCAGCTAGTACTTTTCATTCAAAGCTTCGGAATACCCGTATCGTCGATGAGCAAACTGCTTCATACTCTTGATGCTGGTGTGCAGATAGATCCGAGCTCGGTCGGTGAAGCGGTGTTGGATAAAACATACATGGCACAATTGGTCGAGGTGCAACATCGAAGGGGTGCCACGGGCGGATTGGTGTTCGTACAGGTGTTACAACTGCTAGAGCCGCAATTACCGGATGAAAACATCGTGCCTATCAATAAACTGCAACAGTCATTGCCAGCTAGTGCTATGGTGCAGAAGCAATCCGTTATACAGTGCTCCGTGAAGACTGACGTGCCCCACTTGATAAATCGACTGTTCATCGAGAATATTCCGATGAATCAGAAAATGGACGCGTATCGACGTTTGCATAAGACTTTAGCGAAGGATCTGCAAAGATCAAACGTGAAGGAGAGTGGCGCCGTGGTATTAGCGATACAACATATCTGCAGCGTTTTGAGCTCTATGCAGGTCAAGCAATTCTTGGCCTCGCTCGTACATATGCCGCAGTATTCGTGTACGCTAATGCGCGTGATATTGCTACCGCTGAAGAGACCGTCGACATCGAAGCACGTGGTCGAATTGGCGCGCAACATGTGTCTGAATCTGATATCACTAATAGGTGAAGTAAAAGCGCCGGTTCTGTCGATTCTGCGGGACTTCGCTAATGTGCGGTCAATGAAGACACCGCAACGCGCGGAACTGTCGATGCTAATGCAAAGTCGCGGCGAAAGTCCTGGCACGATCCTAGAGAACACCGATCCCGTGAATCTGGAGAGTGTCGGCCGTAAATTGTTAGATTTATGTCTGAAACAACAGAAGAATGATGTCCTGGTCGAAGCCATGGCGAAATTATTGGTCAGCGATAGTAATGAAGGTGCGTTGAAACCTCGTACAGGCTTGTTGATAGACTGGTTGGCCTCTATGGAGCCCGAATTGATCGGTACTTGTCCCAATCTTCAAATGAAACTTCTATTTGGAAAGGCGAAAGTGCATATAAATATCGATAAGAACGTCGTGAGTTCGCATTCCTGCAGACCTTATCTGCTAACGTTGTTGACACACAGAGCAAGTTGGGCTACTTTGTATAAATGTGTCGGACATTTGTTGGACAAATATGACGATGGGTGAGTAGAGCGGAGATGACCAATCTTTTTTTCTGTTTTGTCGATGTTTCTTCTAGTCATAATATTGTTTTATCAATATTTTCTTATATTCATATATCGCGAATATATGTTTATAGATACGATCCGACCGCAGTTCTGGATTTCTTATGGGCACTGACATGCAATCCCAAGTTATGGCAAGGTCGAGACAAATTTACACCGAAGCATTACGTTCCTGAGAATATTCTGTTGTTGCAGAAATGGCAACTACTTAATCTTGTGGCATATCTAGTGTCCGAAGCTGTTATTATCTGTAGCGTACAGAACAGAAACGCCGCTCTCGCAAGGATGGATATTAGACTCGATTTACTTTTACATTGTATATCTACCGAAGATGACTTGATCTCCAGTGTAGTTAATTACTTGGCGGACCGTATAATGGATAACACGGAGTACGAATTTTGTCATCTCATTTATTTTACAGCACATAATTTATCATTCAATTGATTTAATGTGCCTGAATAAAGCGATCGCGTATTTAATTTTCAGCTTAGATTCGGCGGATATGGCGCATCAGTTTTTGCTACACATGTACATGAAAATTCCGAAAGTCATTTGCTACCTTGACACTTTCCAAGCGAATAAATTCGTTAAAGGAGCAAAGATAACCGATTGGACGGGTTCAGTGCTCGATTGTATGAGTCATTGTTTATTGACTGCACTGGCGGCAACTCCCAGACAGAAATCCTGGAACGCCAAGTCCCAAGAATTTGAACTCTGCGCGAGAAAAATGGCCGCGGTACATCCTATATTAGTCCTACGACAATTGCCGATGTTGGCGTCCTCCTTGATGGGAAGATGTTATCTCGATTTCAGTCAATTTAGATCCGGCCATCATTTAAATCTCTTCACTCAAGTAATGGGGCTACTGGAATTGTTGCAGCCGCATTTGTTTAATGAGCAGCATGAGATTCCGTTGGAAAACACCTTAGAGAATTATTTTCAATGCTTTCAGGTATTACAATTTGTGTAATTTTAAATTAGTAAAAAAGATGAAATCGATTTTAATTATAAACTACAAAAAATAGAAAGAATAAATATAATATCTATCATGATTTAAGATTAAACGTCATCTACGTTTTAATCTTTATTAATATAAAATTACGAAATTTACTCGATACATCTTGCTTTCTTGATTACTTGACTCAAATTTTTCAAATATATTAAAAATTTCAATACAATATTGTTTTCAGAATTATGGGCATATGAAAGATCTCAGCTCATTGTTGAACAGATTCGTATCATTATTACAGTCGTATATCTCACATGATCCACAACGAGCATTGAAATATCTACACAAGCATGCACAAGTTTTGCAGTAAGTTGCTTTCTAAAATGTATATATTACACGCGATTTATATATTATTTGTTTATATATATATAATTTACACATACGTATGTACAGTGAATTACAGGTAAATTATCCTAACTTAGACGCTTTGAGAATACTTGTATCGGGAATACCGATGCCGAGAGAAGGAGAAGATGTGGATGACATTCTAATCACAATAGCTCCCGTGCCACATCGTTCGGAACCCGTTATTCCAGAACACTGGCAATCTCTACTGGGCACACTTAGTAAATTATATGGTGAAGGTACGAAAAAATAATTATATTGAATATATATATATATATATATATATATATATATATGTTTGTTTTTTTATTATAATTTTTAATGTGAAATTTAGGAGGAAAAAGAGATTTAGGAATGGCAGTAAAAGAAAACAGATAAATTCATGCCTGATCCTTATGTTACTTATTTAAAAAAATCAATTCCCTATTTTCATTCAATTGTTATCATAAAATATTTATATTTTCACTTAAATTTCCTTCTTTAATTTATGCGAGCTGATAAAGAAGCAAGAATTTAACTTGATCTTTTATTTATTAAATGACTGTTATCAACTCTTTCTTCTGATACATATGAAAAAAATATTCTGTATACATAATCAACAATATCTGTAACAATAATCAATTTTCTATTCTATACAGATGTATTCAATGCACTTCAAGAGGTCGAGCATGTGTCATCGCGAAAGCCTTCGGTTTTGGAACCAATAACGGATAATATAGCGGAATTGCTCGTATCGCCTCAGGGTAATATTAGAACGCTTGCTCACACTCTACTCGCTAGAGCATTAAAGCATCGTCCTACACCGAATGCGACTATATTATCCGCGTTTCAAAGATGTTTAGACAGTGACAGAGCAGACGTTCTTATGTCAGCTTTGGAAAAATTACCAGATATTGTATTGTGTATGCAAGGTAAAGTTGCAACAAGTTAGATTTATATATCTCGATATTAATTTGTCAATAATTTTATAAGATTGTAAATTCTTTTATTTTTTTTTACATTGCAGAACATGCTTTACCATTGATGCAGAGGGTATTTGAGTTGGGAGTAAATTCCAATGTCAATGCGATGCCTTATATCACTAAAACTATTGCTCTGTTAAATACACAGCAAGGTTGTTAATATCAAAGAATGTTAGTTTGTTAACTTTGTGTAAATATTAAGCAAAACACTATACACCCACCTTTTTTATAATTACAACGATGAAAGACTTGTTATCTTTTTTCTTAAAAAAAAAAACAAAAAATATATATATATATATATATATATATATATATATATATATATATATAATACATATATTTATACAAAATTACACTTTTTGAGATTACAAATTTATTGAAAAGCTTCTGGAGGAACGTCATTAACAGCATAATTCTTCATAAATGTAGTGATTGCATTTCTTATATCCCAGCCTGTATCTTGAAGATATTTATAACAATATCGAATATTCATTGTAGTAAGCTCACGTAAAAATCTTAGCAATTGTTCCTTTTCTGACACACTGAGTACTGTTGGAGTAAATTTAGGTGCGGGTTTTTGTTCAAATTTTGTTTCGTTAAATGTATTGGCTGGTGTACCATCGATATAATATTGATCATTGACAATACAGTATTCATTATCTTCTTTTTTGATGATAATAAAAGTTCTATTGAAGAACATAGGTGGGCAGAGTAATACTCGATATGAAAATAATCCTTGAACCGAAATAACTAGATAATTATCTTCTTCATATAATAAGTCAATATAAAATGTTTTGAAGTTATGTATCGTTGGTGGTTGTCGTTGTAAAGCAGTAATTATCTTTTCAGGTCCACAAAATAGAAATTCATTACATTTAGCATAATCGACAAATTTCAATAAGTTTCTATTTGTGGAGAATGTCTTGACAATGTCTTTATGTACATGATTTGTTATAGTACCTAATGTCATGGAATAGAATGCGTTTCTGTCATACAAACCATTCATAACTATTCTATCTTCTTGGTCGTATAGTGTAAAGAAATGCTTGACAAATTGCTTGATCAGAGATATTTTTGTTCCATTTCCAAGATAATTACTTTGCACACTTGGCACAAATTTCTTTTCCATTCCTATTACAATTCCATCTAACTTCTGTAAATGTGGAAAAACATTTTTTACTGCCTGTATGTACTCTTGAGAGTTAGTATACTTGTTGCACAATGGATTTCCATCCAACCAAAGTTCGCTTATTTTGAACTCGGAAAAATAATGTAGATACTCCACATCCAAAATCTGATTGTGTCTTAAATCTAGCTTAGTCAGATGGTAGTTGAAGAACTTGTCAAACAGAATGATAGCTGTGAGCTTATTGTACTTCATACTCAATTCACGAACGGATAATCGCGATTGCTGAGACTCGCGACTGTTGCCCATAATCCCCATTTTGCTACAACGCAGGACCATATCCAGAATTTTCGGTATTGAAATAGGACAGAATATTGAACCCAATGTCTTCTCGTTTTCAAAATCGTCCAGATTGAATATCTTCTTCACAGGTTCATATCTAGCATGCAAGGCTTGTGCTATGATTCTATTTGTGTTCACTTGCAACTCCTGCGTGCTAAGGAATCCTAATACAATGTCCATGTGTACCTCTTGTCCACCAGGTAGTGTTACGCACAATCCTTGCTTCACTATATTTTCTATAGTATTGCTGCTGCCTTTCGCCAAAAAACTACTTTTCTTTTTATCCTCGATAGTGTACATAATCGGTATTAAAACAGCTGGTTCGCAGGCGGTTATTACAGCGCGTAAGATATCGGTTCGTCCATACAGGGCACCGTCGAAAATGATAAATTTGTGCCATAGATCCTTACGATTAGCAAGGGCCATCTCGTGATTGTCAAAGGATGGCTTGATATGTGTGAGCCGGTGCGGCTCCCAGGATGTTTGACTTCCGGATGATGTTGTTGGCGATGCCATTATTTACTATCATAAGAAACAGCGATTTTCCCTCTAATAATAAAGTTCTTTGTATCACTGTTTTTGAATCACCTATAATAAATTATAATTTAATAATATTAATAGAAATAATTAGAATATTTTTTTTACAAATTAATATAATATATAATTAATATAATATATGGATTATTAGAATATTTCATTATACATTTTATCTAAATTTCAAAAATATTTAGAAACCTTTTCTCTTGTTCATAAACTTTTAAGGTTATATAATATTTTGTTGATATTGGGTCTGTTCGTTTTAGCTGCACTGCTGCACTTGTGCAATTAGTCAGAGTGAAAGAAAGTATGTTTGTCTCTTTCTAACTTATTGCACTAATGGCAGCAGAGCAGCTAAAACGAACAGATCCATTAAATTCTCTGACGTTAAGGTGCAATTTCATTGACGCTAAAAAGTAGCGTCAACCATTGGTTAAACAATGATGCTCTTGTCTCTTCGAAGCGTTTGATGGACCAATCAAAATAAAGATTCTTATGCTTCCAAACGAAAATCATCAAGAGAAGCGCACCTCATAATACGGTTAGATATCGTACATTGTCATAAATACATCTCATAAAAAGTTCGTATATTATAGAAAGAAACTCAAGTAAGAATCTCAAAATTTGTTGCAATTCCTTATTTGATTTATATCTTGAATTATAGATAATTTTTTTATATGTGAGACATATGTAAAAATATATAAAAAATAAGTGACATATGAAGAGGTTACATCTTTTAAGGATGTAATATTTTATATCGTTAACATATAAAACATTTTAAATTAATAAATTATTACGAGATGATTAATAAAATATAAATATCTTTTTATTGTGAACATCATTTTTATGAATGATATTGTTTTTATAATTTCTCCTTACAGAAAAGACAATAATTGAGTATGTCGAAGGTACTGGATGAGGAATTGAAGCAAGCTTTTTCGAAGCTGCACGAAAAGATGGTGGATACCAAGCAGAAATTAAAGTTGGCTGATGTACAAATTGATAAGTTACGGCGTACAAAGCAGCGGGCAGAACTCACTTCAAAAGAGATTAGCTGTTTTCCCAAAGACACAAGGATATATGAATCTGTCGGTCGAATGTTTCTCCTAGATGATGTGAACAACATTAAAAGTAATTTGGATAATAGAATGAAAACTTCTGATGAGAAGATCAAGACATTAGAAAATAACAAAATATATTTGCAACGAAGTTTAAAGGAAAGTGAAAATGAAATCAGAGAAATGATTCAACAAAAACAGAGTAAAGAGTCGTCTGGTTAAAATATTTTTAAACCATTATGAATGTTATTTTAGCTTTTTTGGATACTCTGAGCCTTTCGAATTATTATTTGGAATATGTGTCTATAATTATACAATTATACAATGCAAAAATCTTATCTGTTTATTTAAACTCCTGCTTTGCATTTTCACATATAACAACAGTAACATTTTGATATTTATTTGTGCAATATATTTGGAATAAAACTTATTTGGAATAAAACTTATTACTCAATAAAACTTATAACTCAAGAAAAAAAAGGAAATTTAATAATTTATGTGAATTAAATCCAATGTAAATCATTAAATTATAAAAATTGTAAAACAAACTTTTATAAGGAATAATATTATACATCCATGTCAATAAGATAGTTAAATAAACATTCTGATTTTATTTATTGTTGATTTAAGAAATACATAGAGATAGTTTCATCATGTTTGTATATAAACTATGTTAGGAAAATAATATATGTTTTATATTTATAATTTCTTAAACTGATATATTTTTGATTAACCAGAAAAAGAAAGGAATTATTAAATATTTATCACTATTAGTAGGAACTAAAATAATTGCTAAATGCTGTATACAAAATATGTATTTTATTTTAAAATTATGTCAATTTTTGTAACATGTTAAATTATATTTTTTTAATACGAAAATTTAATTCTCGAATTTCAACGTTTGAAATCTATATTTCAACTATATCGTTACCTCAGTATAAATTCGTTAAAGTAGGAATCTATCCATTCCGAAAGTAGGATATAGAGACATCTGTGATGGTACATACAATATTCTTTGAATATTTTATTTGCGTCTAAAACGCGATGCCGGTAATATAACCAGAGAGAAGACTGAGAGATGTCATGGCCAGCTTTTAGATGATTCCTAGAAGCGATACTTCCTCTATGGACATTAAAAACGAGGACATAAACTATAAAACAAACGTCCACGAATGTTCTCAGAGGGTAACATATATGTCCCTCTAATAATATAAATAATATAAATAATATAAATAAAAATATAAATAGTTTAATTAATAATAATTTATTATATAAAAATATTAGTATGTCTCCATTTTCACGCTTTTATTTATATTATATATTTATATTATATACTTATATTATATATTTATTTATTTATGAGTCTTTTTTTCTTTTTCTCAACATCATTTATTTATTTATTTATTTATTTATTTAGTTCGCTCTCAGTCTTTTAAAATGCAAAACTAAATATTATAAGATTTGACTTTGGAAAAGCGCGATGAAACAATCGAATCATTCGTAATTCAAATCATTAGCATAATATACTATGAATTTTCTACGTTATATATTGAATCGAAATTGCGCGAAAAAGGAAAAAAAGAACAAGCCTATGAATAGACATTTCCATCCTTTAGGAACTAAAAGAAAAAGAAATTAAAAATATCTCTCAATTTTTTCTCTATTTCTTCGGACAAGTCTACATATATGACCAATATGATTAATTGATTCCATCTTTATATATTTATCATTATGTGCTATTAATTCAAGCCGTAGACAATATTCAGAAATCAAAGTTGCGCGAACGTTGAGCACAGGAATGGCCATGCGCAGAAACGAATGCGCAGTGGTTCGGCCGCCATGTTGGCGCGTGACTGCTACGTCACTGTACGTCATACGCGTCATACGCGACTCGGAGTCATACGCAGTCACACGGATCGTCGTACATCCGCATTTTTCGCGTCTTTTAACCGTTTTTAAACGAATATCGCGAGTGAACGAGCGGCGAGAGTGTCCAAGAATGATCGCGCGACTTTCATAATGTGTCGATGGAAACGCGCGACAGCGATTTTTGACGATATTCAGTGATGGCGTCATCGCGAAGATGGAGCGAAGTTGCGTCGCGTTATTCGCGCCCTTGATGATGATTATCGGATGCGAGCGAGTATCGGGAGTGCCGAATAAAGTGTCGCGCATTCGCGTTGATGATATCGTGTGAGTTTGTGTGCATCAAGATCGGAATGGGACGTCCCGAGGCGAGCGAACTGTCCCGAGGAGGAGCGGCCTGTGGAACAGCCGGTGAACGGTGAGTAGATTTGATTTATCATATTTGCGTGACAATTCGTGCTCATTCGACGCTTATACAATATCGCGATGTCCCGAATTACATTCGGACAAATCGGCGCCGCATCATAATTCGATTCGGCAATTCAAATAAAGTCGATCGCGTGAAGATGGTTATGCTAGAAGCGATTTCAAATTTATTTTGTACGCGCGCACAGTGCTGCACAGCCTATCTCATAGGGCTGCCAACTGTTAAACGATAAATTTGTTTGATCTAACCTAACCTAACCTAACCTAATCTCTCAGTGCTTTGGATATCGAATGTAAACACAAGCGTATGCTGCCTGGATTGTATCATGCTTTCGAAAATAATATTTAATTATTTCATTAGTGCATTACATTTTATTACGTAGTATATTAATCGTATTAAATGTGCGACGTACAGTTTTACACATTTTAATGAGAAGCATATGATATAATTGGTTAGATTAGATTAAATTAAAACAAGCTGCTGTGATTTATTTAACGTAATAGGATTAATTTGACGAATGTGCAGCTATTGAAGTTACATGACATTTGTGGACACATTTTTAAATTAATCATGAGTGTCTTATCTCATCTCGATTATATGAAATTAAAATATAAAATATTTATGTATTCCACATTAACGTTATTCATTACAAGTACTTTTCTTATATCTCAATCATATTCAACCATTTATTTCATCGATGAAGCTTTTCATATATCGCAGACAATATGATACTGTGTGTGGAATTTTACACAGGTAATACGTGGCACAAAAATAATTTGCTCTCAAGTATTGTACGCATTTCTTAAAAATAAATCAAATTAAATTATTTTCAGAATCCAAACATCGCTACATTGCCAGGATTGTATTTTATTATAACTGCGATATTATCACCTTTTGATATGTGTGCGCAGTATTACATACATAAAATATATAAATTTATTTGAAACGTACTGAAATCTTTATCTTATTTATAATATTCATGATATTATAAAAGAAAATTGCAACTCTAATGAAACCGAGCGGTGGAATAATTGGTTGATACTTATGCTGGTCTACAATATTTACCCTTTTTTCACCATTAGACTTTTGGTGCTTTTTTTATTATCCAGATGTTATCTGTAAATATAGTACTCGTAATGTTGTTTCTGTATCACTGTAAGCATACAAAAATGATAGCATTTGCAGGTAATTATGTTATACTTATATATCGTAAGAAAGAGAAAATAAAATTAAAGTTGAATACTAAATGTGCTCTAAAGTAAATTTCATCTAAATAAATAAATGCATAAATGTGCGCCCCACATTCCTCATGAAAAAAATACATAATATTAATCTTTATGTATTATTTTTAGATTTGTTTTTTATTCTTTTAAATTCTCTAGATGCACTTTTCATTTCTGCTCTCTTTCTTTCCAACTACTAAATATACTACTAATCTATCATTTTTAATATAGATCTGTCATTTTTAGTGTACATTATTGCAGTAAGTGGAATAAAGAGCAAATCTTTTGGCACATTTAAAATGTACAGTAAAATCAGTTTTATCTGATGCGTTTTTTTCAATAGAAATATCTGAAAAAATTCGTACGTCTTTTTTAATTTTAATCTTTCTAAATAAAAATTAGAATAATAAATTTGCAAAATAATTTGCTTTAATATATTTTTATTGCAAACATATGAAGCAAAGTGCTCAAGGTGCATCACTATGAAAACATCGATAGAATAAAAAGTAGATCGTATACAAAAAAATTAAAATATTTACACTACATATTTGATATAGCATTTAATCGATATGTGCAGTAATACGATAAAATTTAATTTTCTCTCGAATTTTTTCACGAAATTTAAACTACTAAAAAAATATCAAATATTCAAATTGTTCAATAGTCTTGCGAAAGAAGCAGTTCTCGCTTTTCTAAAGAATCTTTAGAAAAAAAAGTACAAAAAATTCTAAAGAAAAAAAAAGGACAAAAAATTTTAAATCTCACATGGATATTTAATTTTATACTAATATTTTTAATGTAACACTTCATTTATAAAGATTTTATTTTGTGAAACGTTTATACATAAAAGTACAATGATTATACGGCTACTTTAATCTATTGTTTCATCTTCGCATGATTTTCGTTTATAAAATATTTGTGCCTCTGGATATTTTTCTCTGGAAGCTTTATGCAATGTGTGTAACCTAAATCTGTTAACGTACAAGTATTAGAGTAACGGAATAAGCATATGTAATTGGATTAAAAATACGTTTCTTACATGAATTTTTAATTACATATTTTATCATACTACAAATAAAAAAATCATTCTTGCGCGACGTGATTCTAACAATTTACCGACATGCTCAAAATGATGACTTTACCGGCAGTCGAAGTATCTGGACTACGTAATTCTGGCGTTTAACGCGAATGCAGATGGCAATACTAAACAGCAAAAAAGATGGCCGCACTGTGTGAAACGCGAGGCGCGAAATATTGCATTTCGTATATCGTTCTTTGCGAAAAAAATGTGCGAAAGAGTTGTACACTTATTCACGATTAATAGTTCGGTGTTGATGAATACAAATCGACGCAAGTATAATTTGTCGTGCATTGCATATTTCTTCAAATTCTGTACATGCATCGTTTTCGAATCGTCCTGATCGCACGTTCCGATAATACAATGATCCCAAAAAAATCGTCGAATATATTTCGTACGATTAGAATCGTGCACAATATCGACTTTTATTTATTTGAAGCGCGATATATTTTTGTGCGGACATTTATCGAAAGGAATGCACGTGCTTCTCCAAATTGAGATGAGATAAGATTGCAAAATATCGAAGCTTTTATGCAATGTATGTGTGTCCTAAATCTAAAGGAGGACATCTGGAAAAATATCGGACAGCCAGAGAGCAGTGAGAGAGCCTGAGCAGCCAGAGAGATAT